ATATTTAGGTTGAAAAGCTGTGACCCAAATTTAGCTTCTGCAAACAATACAATAGGAATAGTTTTTAAAGTTGTGAAAGGAAAGGGAATATAATTTTTTTAAATTTTTTTATAGCATTGTTCATTGTTAAACAAAATTTGCTTCCCCCCACCCCCTCAGGTGTAGTCCCCACAGAGTTTCCTTCCCCAAGGCACCCGTGCACCATCACCACAGCCCCCTGTGCGCCTCCCTCCCTCTCCCTCCTCCTCGGAAAGCGAGTATAAGTCTATCTAAATATGCCCTGTGCACAGTTAGCAGAAAAAGAAATAAAAAGAGATTGAATATGTCTTTTTTTGTAACACTTTGCTTTTTTTGGTAAATTTTTATTAGTATAAAAATGCTAATTTTTATTATCAAGTGATACATGTACATATTTTAAAAAGGGGGGGCTTTTAATGAAACACACACACACACTCAGAGTGGTTTTCCACCCCTTCCCTCTCCTCCCCCTCATCCAGAAGCATACACTGTTAATAATTTCATTCTAGCATCCTTGCTCTGGTCTTTCCCTTTTGTATTTTTTTTCAATAAGTTATGTCCCAAGTCATTAGTTTTACACTTTAGCTGTTGACTTCCTATATTCATCAAGGTATCAAGATTCTCCAAATAAACAGAACTAATGAGAGAGAGAGAGCGAGACAGAGAGAGAGAGAGAGAAAGAGAGAGAGAGATTGATTTTAAGGAATGCCTCATGCTATTGCAGGAACTATCAAACACAAAACCTACAGAGGAGTCTTTTTTTCCTCTTAAAACTTTCACCTAATTGGATGAGGCCCACCACATTCTGAAGAGAAATCTTATTCAAACTGTACTGATTAAAGTGTCAATTTCATTTTTAAAAGACCTTCATAGAGACATCTAGACGGGTGTTGGTCAAATATCTTGGTGCCATGACCTAGCCAATGTGACACAAAAATTAACCATCACGTTTCCTAATACAGGTAAATGGCAGATTTAGTTGATATCTGTCTTCTCTCCCCTATCCTGTCAATACAATGCAACCACAGTATTCAATATTGTCATTATTCTAACTATAAATATTGTTCATAACCTGGCCAAGAAGTATATACCACGATTGCACCCTGCTTGTAGAATGCTTTGTTTTTCCTCGTTTTTCCATTACTCACTCTTCTTTGAGCCTATTACTAAGTCTTTCCTCACCCTCCAACAGCTTCTCAACTAAGTTTCAGGTTGTTAAAAACATCAGGTTATTAATCCCCCCTCCCCTACCTCCACACCTGAAGACTTTCCTTCTGGAACTTGGTCCGCCTGCTCCTGTCTGGACTGAGGATTCTCTAGACCTGCAAGACAGCTGTCTAGGCTGGGAATGAGCAATTCCCATTGGGGCTGAAATGGGAAGTCATCCTGGGAATTTCCTTCACACGTTTCCTGAGATAGACCACTCTGTTTCTGGATGTCAAGCCTTTATCTTTCATGGTTTAAGCTTCTGAGAAAAGATGAGAAAGGACTTGGCATTTCTGAAAATGTTTATACTCTACTTTAGCACTTAAGTCCTTGTTGGACCCAGTGTAGATTTTGAATGAAAATAATTTGCATTCAAGTTTTGAAAGTTCTGCTCTATTTTCTTAAGGCCACCATTGTTTCTGTTCAGAAGAGTGATGATATTTTTAGTCATAATTTTGTATATGCAATATTTTATATTTCTCTTCAGAAACTTTTGCAGTTGTTTCCTTGCCCATGGATATAAATATTTCATAATTATATCCTTAGTGAGGGATTATTTATTGTACTAGGTGTTTATTGGACCATTTCCAATTTCCAGAAGCTTAAGTTCTGCATTTTTTTTCTTCTATAATTTTCTCTTCCTGTTAGATGTCCAATTAACTAGATATTGAATTTCCTGAGCTTCTTCTCCAATTTTATTTGTTTCTTTTCTATTATTACTACCTGTTTTACTCTTTAGAGGATTTCTTCAATTTTATGTGCTGTCAGTTGAATTTTAAATTTGACTGCTGTACTTTCAATTTTCAAGATTTTTTTTTTCCTTCTCTCAGACTCCAAAGCATCCCGTTTCTATGTCAGGGATGCAGTATTACTTCAGTTGAGGATTTTTATTTTTAAGATTTATTTATTTATTTTTATACAAGAACTGGGGCACAGGCCAGATGCCCGGGAGGGTGAGAGGATTCACTAGAGACACAGCAGGGAACAGAATATGGAGACTGACAAAATACACTGCTGAAGGGAGCAGCGGGCAAGATAGGAGAGGTCTGCCACGCCAAGTGGGACGCTTGCCAGCAGGCCGGGATCAAACCAGCGCTGCAGAGGCTGCGGACAGCCTCACAGCGCGGTGCTCAACGGCCTGCGCCACCAGGGGAGGCCCTCAGCGGAGGATTTTAACTATGATTTTTGTCTCTTGTGAATTCCCTTTTGTTCTTTTTGCTTTGTTGGACTATTTCATATTGGTGATTTCCCTCAAATATCTGGAGATAGTTGACTATTTTGCACACATGGTGATGTGCTAAAAATGTGATGAGTAACCTCGGATGCATGGGTGGAGCTTTTGTTTTTTTTTTTTTTTTTTTTGTTAAAAGATTTATTATTTATTTATTTATTTATACAAGCACTGGGTACAGCCAGAAGCGCGGGAGGGTGAGAGAATTCACCAGAGCCAGAGCGGGGAGCAGAGCAGGCAGAAGGACCGAAGTACACTGCTGAGGGGAGCAGCGGGCACAGCAGAGAGGTATGTGCGCCATGTGGGACCCTCCTCCAGTGGCCGGGGAGCAGCTGGGGATCGAACTGGCACTGCAGAGGCTGCAGGCAGCTTCGCAACCCAGCGCTCAATCACTGCACCACCAGGGAGGCCCGGGTGGAGCTTTTGACTGGTCTACTTCACAGGAAGAGGCTCAAGTAACAAGCTAACTTTTCCTCCTGGGGCATCTCCACGTGTCAATCATTACATCTGATAGGGTTTTTTTGTTATATTTTTCCTTCAAGGTCATTTCTGTTTTCCAGAAAGGGTCCTCCAGTCTTCTTCCTGGGGCAGGGAGCTCTAAGTCTGACTGGATCCCTCCATTAAGCCCACAGGCTTTAGCTTAACACTTATTCTCAGTCCATGACCTCATTTTTGCGCTTCATTGTGTCTGGCTCCATATCTCCATAGAATGTATTGAATGAACTATGTCTATATCAATGGGCTTCTTCCCCATAATTCAAGGCAAATGTCTTTTCCTTTGCCGAGGGCATCAGCTCGGGGACTCCACAGTGACTTGGATCTTTTAGGAAGGGTGGGGACCAGAGAAGTCTATTCCTTTCAGACTTTAATTTCTGTGTCTTCAGCCCTGTTAGGAAACACAGTCATTCACAACTTCTGGCATCCTACATAATCACCTCGGAATGGCTCTTGGACCTGGACCACTTCCTTACCAAGAAGTAAAGACCCTCACAGCCTGCAGTGGTCTTGTGACCTTGTGCAGGGACACCTCTCCCTCTTCGACTCAGTGTACCCTTTGTTCTGCTTAAGAGCATGCATCGGTGGTCCTAAGGCAGGGATGGTGGGGCTGGGGCCTTTCAGGACAGCACCAAATAGGTTTTGAGCAGTAACATCGCCCCCGCCAGCTTCAGCTTGAACTGGCTGGCCCGGGATCCAATGCACTGCAAGGGACTGAATCGTGTGCACCTTCTCTCCTTTCTTGCTGTAAGGAAAGGCTGTCCCACTTGAGCCGTGGGGAGGGGCAGGGCTGTTCTCAGTGATAGCTTATCACCCATTGGTCTTTTCCTTGCCTTTTAACCCTGGTGACTCAGTTAGTGGAGAAACAGTCCCCACCTTTTCCTGTGACAGTCACTGCCTCCAATTTCTCAGCTTCTCTGGGATTTTGTGGACCATTGGATTGTTTGTCCAGCATTTGCTTCTGTACGCACCAAGCACTGTAGGTCTCACCACTTTTGGCTCTGCTATCAACTGCCATCCTCCCATCTACCATTTTCATGTATTTTGATCCAAGGATAAGTATCTGGCCTTTTCCCCAAGATCCAATCTGTCATTTCTACTGTATAGCACCACACACACTACCTGCTCACTGTAAGCACACAAATACCCATGCTACTCAGAAAATTTCTTGGTTTGCTGACATTTGGGATCTTGCCTTTTCTGAGAATTTCTTTAATGTTCATGGTTGTGTAGGGGATAACAGTGTAGCAGGGCGACCATCAGGAGGCTACCAGAGGAATTCACGTGAGGTGATGGTGGTTAAGCCTAATCTGTTGACTCAGGCATGATTCATTATCCGGAGTGCTGTACACTTCCATCTTTGGGATTCTTTTATTCTCCTGTATCTCTAGCTCCATCCTTCTCCAACTTTATATTTCTAGAAATAAATTAAGAGCCTTCACACCTAGTCAGTGGATGGGTGCTCTTCTTTGTGGCCCACTGAATTGTGTGCGACTTTTCCGTATGTCACTTTGCAAGATTGATCAGAATTCAAGTCACTGAGAGAAAAGACATTTGCCTTGAATTACAGGGAAGAAGCCCATTGATACATAGTTCAATGAATCACTCAACTCTTCCCTGGCCCACCACCACCCATGTTGGATTCTGTTATATATTCTCAAACTCTATGTATGCTTCTATCATAATTTGTCATGCATCATTCTTGAAATTATTTTCTTGTGATTCTTTCAGTTCCATGAAGTCAGGGTCCATGTCTGTCACCTTTGCTATCTCCCCAGACCCAGTGTGTTGCTCAGAACACCAAGGGTGCCCAGCAGCTGTTGAAAGCATGGGTGATGAATGTCAAAGCCCAGGCTGCTCAGAAGCCCTCGCAGCGAGGGCACCATGAACAGAGCACGTAGCTTTACACACCGCTCACCTCATTCCACTGCCCCAGCATAAACCCTCTGACACCCAGTTCAAGATCAGAAGTAAGTGAACTTTACCAGACTAGCTCTCCAAACTTGGCCCAAAACGGGGGGAAAGAGAAAAATCAACATCTGACACGAAATTAACTTATAAATCAGTTTATTTACAGGTTTTATCTTTTCTTAAAGTACATTTCAGTTAACAAATCTATTTACACAGGTATACATGGGAATTCATCCCAGTTATTTTACAAATCATACTTACAAACCACACCCTAAGTCTTCTGTGCAAAGTTGCACTGGATGTGACTATTGGCTGAAAATGGCCTGATGACCAGGCTATTTACACATACACAGTAAACGGGTTTCATTTTTTCATGTCTGCACAATACAGTACACACACGGAGGCCGGGCCTCCCAGAGAACGCTTTGCAATATATTTACCTAGAAGGCTTTGCAAAGTCCGGAAGGAAAAGCTATTAAACATAGGTTAATTAAAATGACAGTACCTCCTTTACATCAGTTTACATTTTTTTTCTTCACATTTTTATAATACAAAGATATTTTATTGAATTGCTGCACAACCAGTTTTAAGATGATTTGTAAACATGTAAATTCCTACAATTTGCATTAAACATCATTGTAGTTTCTATCATTTGCTCTTTGAATTAATGTTTTATTCACTAGTATTCTTAAGGTAGTAAAAGAAGATGTGAGTTTGAACTTCTTGCAGAAAAGTTATGAGTCTCTAATGCTGTGCGAGTACACACTTTATTCAAGTATTGCAAAAAGCTAAGGCCACTTTTTTTCAAGACAAGAAAGTGAACAAAATTGTTTTTATCAATAGGCCACAACACTCATATGAGCAATGAAATCTCTTTTGAAAGATAATTTCTCAGAGACCTGTAGTCATAGAAGGAATTTTCTTCTTTTAAATAAAAGAAAAATAAATTACCTTCCTTGTTAACTACTTTTGAGCTCTTCCCACTTTTCCCTAGAGTAAAAATTCCTGTTTAGACCTGAAGAGGGAATCTATACCCTGTACTTAATTAACCCAGAGTTATGTACCCTGGATAGCACAAATTATTTTGGACTCAGAAATAAATCTGAAGTCTACATGTTGGTTTACTACTAAATTCTGATAGTGCTATTCTAAAAGATATTACTGCTGATGCAAAGATCTTTTTCTTAGAGGAGTTATGAAGAAAGAGTGAAAGAGGATGGGAGTGTGGGGAAAAGGAACAAAGATTAGAAAGGGGAAATATTTAGATTCTTGGTTAAGAGGCAGAGCTTGATTAAAAAGATCCCGATAAGGAACAAGTGGCTAAGTATCCGCATTTATCACCCCTAATCCTAACAACAAACCCATTTTCCTTTATGTTCAAATGGTTAATTCGGCTAATTATAGATACCTTGTTTTCTGCTACCAGATGACGGATAACCATTTCTAGTAAGAAGTAAGACTGATCTAATCCTGCCTCACATCTGGAACCCAAGATTCTCAAGATAGTAACAAAGGCTGGGAAGGTTAGAACTGTGACAGCCACGTTCCTGGCAGCGCTCTTACCAGAGTACTCTAAGTCCAGACTGCTGATTCATGGACTTAAATTCCTTTTTTTCCTTTCCTGGAACCATGTCATAAAGAGTAAAGATAAACTTTGTTGTTAAAAACTGATTTAGATTCAAATAATAAGGATGTAGAAAAACAACCTATATTCCTATAGCATTATTTTCATATTGTTTATAAAAAATTTACAGCAGCTGTAAAGTTTTAGTATTTAAGGACAATGTAATCCTACAAACAACCAAATGATGTAGATGATTTTCTGTCTTCCAAATAACACAAACTGGAAAAAAATTCCTTTGCTTTTCCTTGGCCATATGAAAATAGTATCTCCACACTACTGGTTAATAACCCCAAGAAACCCTAGCTGCTCTCAGTCAGTTTGCTTATTATGGCTACGTGACTAGAGCTCCACATCAAAAGCCTACAAGAAATGCTGGCGATACATCAAGCCAAGCATTTCCCGAGACCCAATCACAATAGTTCAGTGCTTTCCTTATTGATCAAGAGCTATCACACCAGTCCTTGTGCAAAATGCAAAATTCCAATGATTATTTTAATAAGTTTCTCATAATGACAAGACAAAAGCAAAGAGGAGTGGAAGTGTGCATAGTGAAACATTTGAGCTGCAAAGGCATATTTGGAGGAAAGATGCAGAAATGAACGAACATGCACACTTAAAAGATTATACCGTCTTTGGGGTATTTTTCTAACTTATTTTGAAGCTATAACATTCCAGGATATTTGTAATATGAATCCAGTGGATGTCTTATATCATGCTTCTAATCAGGACCTTCAATATTAAGGCATTTACATTCACGCCTAAGATATCCACATTCTTCTGGATTACTTGAAGGACATGACTGATTAAGGGAAACCAGTCAAAAAGGCAGGGCACTGATGATGTCCTGGAAGAGCGCCACGCATGCTCTCACATAGCAGCAGGAGTCTTTTTTTTTTTTTTCCCCCCAGATTCAGGTAAATAGTTGTGAGAAGCTATGCTGCAAGAGAGGCAGAATCAAACTTGACAATGTCTTTAAATCATTTCTCCCACTGCAGGTGATCTTGGAAAAGCTCATCTTCTTTTCACTGAATTAAACTGCCTTCTTCGATATGTGTATGGGTTTGTTAAAACCATAGGGTCCTGTGCAAAGGCTACGAACCACAGAAGCTTCAAGACAAAAGTTTTAACTATTACAAGAAGAATCTTTCACTTCTGAATAGGGACACATATTTTCAATAATTTATCTTAAAATAAATTAAAAAATGTTCCGTAGCACAAAACAAGCACACAAACAATGGACAATTTTTTTGTCTTTGGTGCACACACTCATTTCCTAAATCATTCAAGTAACAGCGTCTGACTTCTTGGGGAGAGATGGGAGTTGAAAGTTTGAAGGCCAAAACAAATTATTTCCACTTCTGCCATGCCTGGATGCCTGAGGTGGTCCTGAGGATCTGGGATCTGGGAGCAGCTGGTAGAGGTTCAGGAGTAAGAAAAGTGCGGGGGTACAACAAGGGGTGGCAGACCAGCCCTGCATCAGTCCTGGAGCCCATTCTTCGGTGGGGGCATTTCTTTGTTTTCATGTCCACCATTTCGAGAGAACTAAAAATAACCATAGGTTTAAAATTCTTTAGATGGTGCTCAGAAAGCAAGGCTACCATCGACTTGTGTTGATAGTCCATCCACTTGGTGCTGCTCAACTGCAGTGATGGAGAAAATGTCTTCCAAAGAGAAACTACGTGAGCTCCAGAATGTGAAATAGGCCCACATTCTTAGACTTGCCTATTTAGAGGTGGTGAAAGGTTTAATACTGTTTGGAGATGATAATGTCCATTTATGACTTTCATGGTACTGACCAGGATTACTCTTCAAAAATGGTATGATGCATCTATATTACCTTTCTTCCCGACTTCAGACTCCAGGAAGTGATACCCTAGGTCTAAGCTAAGAGGTAAGTCTGGTGTTTCCAGCCCTCATCTGAGACCCAGTAGGGATGTAACAAGAGATGTAGGATTATACTCTGTGTCAGTATCAGGAGTCAACCCTGCCCACTGAAAATAACCAATTAATCCGGTGGACAGTCTCTAAAGACAAAGGCTGCAATACCAGATACACCGCTTTGTCCCACTCACTCCAAACCAGCAGTCTTTCAGAACAGGAAGGTCCGGAAGCACTCTTGCTATGATGGAGATGGGGTGTTTAGCAGGAGGCAGAAAGGCCCAGGACTCATGTTAGCACTCAGTGTTCGATTTATTTGCAAGATGTCACACAAGTAGCATTCTCCCCTGTTTTTCACTGATCTGATTGAGAACATCAATAGTATCTCTGATCAAGGTCTCAAAGATCCCATCAGCTAGCTGCATCTTTACACACAACTCATCCTCATCATAGTTCACCCACTGGGCCTCCTCTTCGTGGAGCTCCTGTACCTAGCATTTAGGGGGGAAAAAGGTAGAAAAATCACTGTTACACAAAGGCTGGGAAATGAGTTATGTCTGCTGACTTGGTAGTCCCATCATTGAGAACACCTGAGAAAAAGAGTAAGTTATGCAGTGACATCAATATCCCCTTTAAAGTTATGAAGAGTTAAAAAACTCAATGGCCAAATAAAATTAAAATGAATTCAAAATTATCAAAATGGAATATGATAATACTCTAGCATTTTATTAATATTAAGGATTATAAGTGTGTTATATATGTCAGCCTAAGTGAATGTATATAGGAATTTAAGAGGCAGAGAAAGCAAAATACTAGTTATATGGATCTGCAATTATAAAATACATATATCCAAACACAGTATTAGATGATTCTGGAGAACTATAAATAAATATACAAAACTTAATATTCATTACAGTATTTTTAAAATGTAATGCTGTTTATTTTTTTTAAAGTCATTATTATATAATACTTTTTTTTTTTTTAGCACTTTAGGATTTAGGGATTCCTAATGTAAAATGAAAAAATCAAATTAAAATAATTGCTCAAGATTTTGTTCTTCTTTATAATAAATTCTTTTTGTTTTTTTAAGATTTATTTATTTATGCATACAAGAGCTGGGGTACAGGCCAGAGATGCAGGGGGTAAGAGGATTCACCCGAGACAGAGTGGGGAACAGAACAGGCAGATTGACCGAAGTACACTGCTGAGGGGAGCAGCAGGTGAGTCAGGAGAGGTCTGCCTTGCCATGTGGGTTTCTCCCTGGCCAGCTGGGGATCGAACTCGTGCTGCAGAGGCTGTAGATTGCTTCATAGTGCAGTGCTTAACCCCTTGCACCACCAGGGAGGCCCCTACAATAAATTCTTAAAAGCAACTTACAAGGAAACACACTAGACTTACTGTAAATAATGGTACTGTGAGGGGGAGGCCAGGTAGAGAAAGTAGATTGATTATAAGCCCAGATATAGTCACAAATTCAGCAAAGGTAACTGCAGTGATGGAGGTGTCGAACCCGAAGTCTCATTTAGCAAAAATGCCAAGTGACAACAAGCTCCTGACTTGCCACAATCACAGTTCATTTGAAAAAGACAGAAGTGAAGAGGGGCCCTTGTCCTCTGGTCCCGATGAAGTAAACGAGTAAACGAGAAGACTTGTGGGTCAAAGAGGCTACATCATCCCAGAGTTTTAGAGTTAGAGAGGGAAGAACAGTATTGCCCATTAACCCTCGACTAGGGTTGACAAATATATGACAAAGGGCTGCCACATTTCTCTTTGAGGGGGGTTGTTTGAAGGATATGCCAAGTACTTTTTCACTAAGATACAGCCCATGAATGGATGTACCACCAAGAAGAGTTGTATGGCCAAGTAAGTTTTAGGAAAATCCCTCTGGGGGGTTTTACAATGTATATTAGCCTATTAAAGAGAAGTCTACCAGTAAAGAAACCTATTTAATTCAGAATTTCCATATTTATTTGATCAAAGAATCATTTTCTATGACTGTAAAAGGAAAATTACTAACCTTCCAAGGAACCATGTTCTGCTTATAGGAAGAATGCCATAAGAAATGGCCTAAGCCAACATTTTTCAAATTGGTACTAAGGGAAAACTATGTTCTGGGAAAGCTAATAGGTGTGTCCTCTGAAAAGATTTCTTATCACCCATAAATTTGTTAAAACAAAGCTGCACAGCTTTCCTTTTTATAGATAAGTTCTCTTAGCCTTTAGTATTAAATTTGTTCTTTGAGCAACTTTGTCTCCAATAAAATATTTAGGAAGCATTGTCCTAATTAAATTCTTTTTGCCCTTCAGAGTAGAAATATATGCTTGGGACATTATCCATTGTTATCTCTCAGTGTACCCAGGATGAGCCCCACAGTGCCCTTGTCAGTATTGGCAAAAGTTTACACTATTTCCTGTTCAGCTGCTGAGAACTAACATCATGTTTTCTTTTTTGCTTTGGCTATCTGAACGCACGAAGTGTAACGTGGAACTTCAACTATGGCAACAGAGGGATTGTATTTGACTCCATTTTTTCCTTCTGCACTTTGCAGTCTATTCTCTTCTATTATAGTTTTCCTATTCCTAAAGACGTTATGTGTGTAAATTAAATTATACTAAAAAGTTGGACTAAATTTTTTTAAAATAGGGTATCAGGTTGATAGAAAAGAACAATGTGACAAACAGAATGTGGTTAAACATCAGCAAGTGTCTGTAAGAGTCTTTCATCACATCCTTGTGAACAAGATTGGGAAATAAGAGACAAGTCAGTTAAGTGGATCTGTACTTTATTTGATTAAAGGTAAATTATCAACCTGAAAGGAAGTTTCTACCTGAAAGATGCAGGAACTTTTTTCTTAATCCTTCAATTCTATCTTGTTCTATCTTGTTCATATTATACTACATGAAATTATTATGCAGATTATATTGTTTATGTTTTTCCATAAGGCTATGAGCTCATCAAACTTTTGCATTTCAATTATAATTTCTCAGTTACTAAGACAATGCCAATAGACAGTGCTAAATAAATATCTGCTATATGGTATGTGGGAGTAAAAGGCTGTCTTTGGTTCTCTCCAGTTAATCATTTTAATAGTGATGTAGATACATTAACTCTAGAGATAGGGAAGTTGGGAAATGTACCAACTATGTTGGAAGAAAAAACACGTTTGTGTCAGTAGTGTGGGTACTGGGCCAAATTTAACAAGATGAACAAGAACTGCCTAGAGTAAGGAAAATAAAAGGAAAAGTAAACAAATGGAACTACATCAAACTAAAAAGCTTCTGCATGTCAAAAGAAACAATCACTAAAACAAAATGACACCCTGCCGAATGAGAGAACATATTTGCTCACCATACATGTGACTGATATCCAAGATCTAAAAAGAGCTCACACAACTCAACAAAAAGAAAACAAAAAACACAACCAAAAAATGGACAGAAGATCTAAATAGACACCTCGCAAAGCACACACGCAGATAGCAAACAGGTACTTAAAAAATGCTCATTATCACTTCACATCACGGAAATGCAAATCAAAACCACATTGAGACAGCAACTCACACCCGTATCAGAAAAAGTTCAGAAACAGCAAGTGTTAAGAATGTAAAAATAGGGAACCCTTGTACACTGTTGGTGGGAATATTAGAGTGGTACAGGCCCAATACAAAACAGTATGGAGGTTTCTCAATATATTAAAAATAGATCTACAATATGATTCAGCAATTCCACTCCTAAAGAATGCAAAAACATGAAGTTGAAGAGATACATATATGCACTCCTATGTTCACTGTAGCACTATTAACAATAGCCAAGTTATGGAAGCAACCTAAGTGCCCAAGGACAGATGAGTGGATTAAGAAAATGTGTGTGCATACACGCGCACACACACATACACACACCTGCAAATGGCAACATTGCTAGAAATGGGATTATGATAAGCAAAATAAGCCAGAAAGAGGACAAATAGCACACGACTTTTCTTCTATATGGAATACAGACAAAACAGAGTCAGACAAAAACCAAACTAAAAACAATCTGACTGTAAAACTAATCTACCTGAAGAGGAACAGGGAGAGGGAGAACAATGGACAAAGGTGGAGGACTATCGGTGCTTAGGTGGTGGGTATAGTAGCATACACCCAAAGAGGTGGAATCCAATATTTCTGAATTATATACAATGTTGTAAACCAATGATATCTTAATAATAATTTAAAACATATGGCTTCTTGGGTCCTTGATAAATGTTTCAAAAGACTGTAGAAAAAATTTAAATTGTTATATAAAACCCCAAAGCTGTAGAAGCAAATTCTAATTAATTAATCCTGTGAAAATCAATTTAGGTTTAATAAAAGAAACTTATCAACAGTAAGTGGAAAATTGGGAGCTATTGAGTACCTCATCAGCTTCTAGTTGTAAGGGAGATTCAAACATCACCTATGTGGTTTCACTACAGGATTTGTCATTTTAAGTTCAGTTTCTATCTTCCTGAAGTACATATTTTACCCTGTAAATTATGATTAAGTGTCACCCTTAAAAAAAAAAAAGAAGCACTTTTTTAAATTTTAATTTTAGGTCTTTAATGTAAAGGTCTTAGCCTTTGTCTGCAAATGTCTTTATTTTAACTCTTACTCTTGAATTATAGTTTCCTTTAATACAGACTTCTGACTTGGTGGGGTTTTTGCTTCAGCAATTTGAAGATACTATTTCATGGTAATCTGACCTCTGTTGCAACTCTTGAGGAATCAAATGATAGCCCTTTATGGGGAAATCTTTCTATTCTTTTTGGTCTCTCTTTAAGATCGTGTCTTCATGCTACTGTTTCGCTAGATTTGTCCAGGTGTGGATTTATTTTTACTTATTTAATGTACAGATTCATAGCTTCATTCAGTTATGAAAAGTTTTCAACTACTCTCTCAGAATATTGTCTCTTCAATTCTTTCAATTTTCTGTGACTCTTCCCTTGACATATCTGTGGCCTTATTTCACTTTCATGTCTGTGTACTTCTCCCCTAACTAGTTCAACTTCCCACTCTTAAATCCCTGTTTTGGCACTTAGGATTTCTCTTCTTTCTCAAGATATCTTGATGTATCGCAATATTTTTTGTTATATTTTACCCAGTATGTTTATATATTTATAAAATACAATTTTTTTTTGCTAAAACTCATAGTCTTGCCAGCTAATTTCTTGTACAAAGTTTGGTTTTTAATGTTCTTCAGGAGTTTTTCAAATTTAATTTATAAGTAATAAAAGTATACAATATTCTTAATCCTTCCCCTATTAAGAGGACATTTTTACAATCATGTGAGCAGTTACTTCCATTAGTCTAACTAGCTGGAAGCCTCAAATATTAAACCTCTATGTCATTTTGAACTGGTATACCATCTTTGCTCTGACATGTGCTCAAAATAAATTTATCTTAAAAATTAAGCTTTAGGGCCTCCTCAGTGGCGTAGCGGGTTGAATGCCGTGCTGTGATGCTGTCCACAGCCTCTACAGCGCAGGTTCGATTCCCAGCTGGCTAGGGAGAAACCCACATGGCATGGCAGACCTCTCCTGCCTGGCCCGCTGCTCCCCTCAGCAGTGTCTTTGGCCCGTCTGCCTGTTCTCTTCCCCGTTCTCTCTAGTGAATTCTCTCACCCTCCCAAGCCTCTGATCTATACCACAGTTCTTGTATAAATAAATAAATCTTTAAAAAAAAATTAAGCTTTAATAATGGGACCTCCCTGGTGGTGCAAGGGATTAAGTCTCAGCACCATGAAGCTATCCGCAGCCACTGCAGCATGAGTTTAATACCCAGCCAGGTAGCTGACCCACAATGCACAGCAGACCTCTCTTGCCTCGCCCACTGCTTCCCTCAGCCTACACTCCAGCTCTTGTATTCATAAATAAATAAATCTTTAAAAAAAAAAAACTTAAAAAAAAATTAAGCTTTAATACACCAGTCACCTTTCACCTAAATCTTTATAGCTGGTCTTCTTACACAGACTTGTTTCTTTTGAAGCATTCTTCCAGTGTTTTTTTAGTAACTGAAAATCTGATCTTGCAATTTCTTTTGCTTAAATTGCTTGCTTTTAAAATAAAATTCAGGGCTTCCTCTGGTGGCGCAAGCGTTGAGCACAACGCTGTGAAGCTGTCTGCAGCCACTGCAGCGCCAGTTCAATCCCAGCCGGCCGGCAAGGGTTCCACATGGCGTGGCAGACCTCTCCTGTCATGCCCGCTGCTCCCCTCAGCAGTGTATTTTATCAGTCTGTCTGTTCTGTTCCCCTCTCTGTCTCTGGTGAATCCTCTCATCCTCCTGCGCATCTGGCCTATACTCCGGTTCTTAGTAAAATGAATAAATAAATCTTAAAAATAAAAAAAATAATAAAATAAAATTCAAAATCCTTTACATGACTTACAAGGGCACTACAGGATTTATACTCTCTACTTCTCCAGTTTTATCTGACACTACCTCTTCCTTGACTCCAGTAACAATGACATTTCAGCTCAAACCCACATCTTTCTCATTTCAGGTCTCTGCATATGTGACTGCTCTCCTATTGTTTGCTCTCCCATAGAACTCAGTTAATATTTATTCATCTTTAAGATCTCAGTTTAGATGTCACTTCCTCAGGGAAGCCTGGCCCTGACCATCCTCATTAGATCAGTTTCCCCTGGTTTATGTTTTCACAACAGATTCCTTTTATATTTTAATTAATATATAATTCAATTTATAAATTAAATTATTTATAAGTAATAATTTATAATTTATATTTAATTTATAATTACATACTTGCATAAATTATATAATAGCTAGTTTCTTCCAACAAACTGTAAACCCATGGAGGCAGAGTCTGTATTTGTTTTGCTTTATTAGCACTATTCTTAATGTATGCACAGAAATGGTTTGTAAGGGATATGATCAATTTAACTAAGTAATTGAGTGTCTTTTGACTTTTTTTTCTTTAACACTTAAAGAAGTAGAGGAAGTTAATATCTTGGAAATTAATAACTCAAACCTTGAAACACTGAAGAAATATGAGATCAAGTTCACTTTCTTGAGTGGTAAAAAGATTCTAAAGAACTAGCTAGTAAAATCTTGGTACTTATTTGGTGGGCAAGTCACTGAATCTAAAGTTCCTCATTTATAAAATAGAAAAATAACAGTAGTCCTTTCTATCTTGTATCACTATTATAAAAACCAAATAAGGCCCAAGAAAGAATGGTAACTAATGGTAACTAACTACAAAGAGTGGTATATGGTAGCTATAAATGGTACACTAAAGTTTACCTACTATAGTCATTACTGAGTAAAATGAAGTAGCAGAGTAGACATAGTTGGAATAAACTGATAAATTTAAGCATTATACTTCCATTAAATGAATGTTAAATATAGATAAGACAAAAAGAAGGAAAATGTTTACAGATAAACCTGAATCAAGTGACATCTGAGTTTCCAAAGGTTTGCTATTACTTGACATTCTTTTAGGGAGGAAAGGATGAAAAAAAAACTTTTGGTACATATTTTTCTAATGTTAGAGAACCACATTGCAAAATGGAATAAATCCTATCCAGCTAAGGTTCTGGTTGATGATGGTGATGATGATGATGACAACGATGATGACAGTAATTTTGCAATAACAGATAATAATTATTGAGTTATATGCAGGGAACTAATCTATATTTACATATGTAAGTCTAACTAAATCCTCTTAATAATTTTATCAGGTAGGCACTATTACTATCTTCATTTTGCAGAGATGTTTTGCAATGAGACACAAAAAGGTTAGACAACTTATCCAAGATTGCAATAAATTCAGTCTGGCTTCAGTCTCTATACGCTAATCTACTACCTTTAAATTTCATTCTATTCAACCTTTTATTTCTCATGTTTCTTATGTTTCACACCCACAAAATAGTTATGTTAAGCACTCATCAAAGGAAAGCAATTTCCAAAATGGTGAGGCAGGAATGCAGCAAACGAAAGGCATTAAGACTTTACTATCATAGACTTAAGATCAATTATATTATTTTTCCTTTCAGTATCTAACTACAGTCTGATTTTAAAAGAGATGCTCAAAATAAAATTAGTTCAGTTGTATATACTAACCAGGATATGGTCTACTCGGTCTCGTTTCTTTCTTCCAAATTTCATCATTTTCTGCCAATCTGTTTTGTGGTTAGTTTCCTTCTTAAGACTAAACAACTTGAGTACTTCAGTTGCTAAGAAGGTCTGTGAAAGTAAGAAGAATAAATGAAACACAGCAACCCTAGAGCTGCTGCTCAGAGTGGTCCTAGAATCAACAGCATCAGCATCACTTGGGAACTTTCTAAGAAATGTAGAACCCCAGACCTATTGAGGAGGAAAATTTCTATTTTAACAAAACCTCCAAGTGATTCACACACAATGAAATCTGAGAGGCACTGCACTAGAAATATAACCTTTTCTGAAATAAAGAAACCTATGACTAGACAGATAAATTCTCACCGATGTGATTTTAAAGTTGGTTTGTTGGGAATTCTTGTAGCTTCAGGGCACTTAATCTTCTTAGTTAATAAATTTTTTATACATCACATTATCATCCAATATATTTCAAAACCACCTTGCCAATTTGAAAACTCCAAATCAAAGATGGAAAGGTAACATTTATGTGTCTCGCTGGCATGTTTGATTTCTATACGACAGGCTTTCAGGTGTACTTCTAGAATATTATATCTATCTAAATTACCAAAAGCTCACTTAAAATCCCTATCAATGGCAATAATTTATTTATTTCCTAATTTTTTCTTAAATATTATAAATTGCATAATATAGGAAATAACTGGAAGGCAAATAATACTGAAGAATAAGTGCTTTTATGGTATTTATAGATCTGTGTAAATGAATAGCAAGTCAAAAAATGAGGTACTCTATATACTCTGCAGTACCTTTATTTCATCAAGATTGTTCGGATCTTTCACACGTCGGAAATAACTAGAGTTGATTCTACATGGCTTCATCCAGACAGGTTGATTCAAGTTGGGATCCTCAGCAAATATTTCCTCAAAAATCTCTTTTGTTAAATCAAAAACCGCCTTGATGGAGGAAAAATGAAATAAAATAAAGTGGCTAAGAATCCAAATTTTAGACAACAGAGAGAAGTTTAAAAATTAGAACTATCCTTCCATGTTACATACCTGTTTGTAAACCCTCTTACTAGTGCTTTCTATATCTAGACCTTTACTGGCACAGCCAACTAGTTTTGTAGGGATACTGATGCTATGAACATCATGACCTAATTCTTTCCATTTCCAAAGTTCTTCTGCTGCATTATGTACAAGTATTTCTACTTCTTCTGCAGTATGCGGAACTGCCAATAATGTTTCACATGGCTTTTGGGGAACTCTTTTAGGTTCTGCCATGAGAGGAACAATTGTTTCTTCTGCCTTATTTTTTTGGATCTTGTGGGAAGAGCTCAAACCAAAGTCTTCATCAAACCAGTCTTGATCATCTCCTAGTGCACTCAGGAACTCCCGGCTAATTTCAAGTTCTGCAAGTCTCTTAGCAAGCTCTTCTTGCCCACTGGCACCAAATACTGGACTCTCCTACAGAAATAGAACCATTCAAATAGAGCACCATCAACGACCTCTGATCACTTAACAAGTTATTTTTTAAAAAGAAAGTAAACACATTATTTGTGTATTTACGATTTCTATAAACTAGCAAAACAAAAACAATAAGGTGACTACTAAAGAACAATTTAAGAAAAAAAACTAAAAACTATCCTGTTTCCATAATTCTGCTTATATAAGTTTTATAATTTAATTTTTATAAAATGTTTATTGATTAGTTTTTTTTTCCTTTTTGTATCACCATTATTCTGTTTCTGAAAGACTGGCTTGTCCCTGGAATAAGGACATGGGATATGAAATTTCTCACCTTTGGTGATTATCTGGTTCAAGTTACTCAAAATCATTACTTTTGCTCAATTATCCATGGGCAACCTAAACAAGTTGATGGTCTGAATATATGTCACAGCAGACATATTTCCGTTTTACCAGAATCAACATCACTACTGGTAATCTATGCAGGGCAACTATTACTAAATAAGTATGTGGGCAAATAATTTCACAGGCAAAAAAGAACTGGATTGAGAACCACTGGGAAGCTCCATGGGATAAATTTCTTTGGGGCAAGAGAATGTTATCTGTGGTCAGTATGCAGTGATTGCCAAACCAGCATAAGCCTGCCAGTGTTTGTGACAACCCAACAGTGACTACTCATGACATAATAGAGGACAATTACACTTCAGACAAAATAGCAACAAGGGCTTTACAAACAACAGTGCTCTTTATCTAATATCTCAAGAAAAGAAAAAACCTATCAGGAGTTACAGAATCAAAATGTACTACCAAGATAAAGTTAATTGACATGCTTTCTAGACAAAATACTTACAGGTCTGGGACACATGTCTGGTGAGGACATCTCTTCTTTCTCGTCTTCCAATTCAGACCTTAAGAAGCAATCTAGAACACTTGGTGACTGTTCCTCTATATTTTGGGACAGGTCTTGGGATGGCACTTTCTCTTTATCATCATCAAGAAGCTCATGATTGCTAAGCCAGATTTTTTCATTCCTAGATTTCTTGATTTGTTGTAGTTGATTGACTGTATCCTTTACAAAGGCTTTTAGTAAATTGTCTGTTAGTAAGGTGACAGTTTCCATTTGTTGCTTTGACTTCTTTTCCTCACACAGTTGGGCTTCCAGTTGGTTCTTTTCTCTGGTTAAAAGGTCCAGAAGTGGGGTAGAAAGTTTTACTGAAACTTCGGGATATAGGTTCTCTTCCTTTTCTGTAAATTGCTGTTGCTGCTTCAATTCTTCAGAAAACGTATTATCTAAAGTATCATCTTCTAAAGCAATGGAAACTTTTTCTGTGGCACCAGAAACAAGGTTTTTGTTTTCCTTTGAAGAAATCAGTGAATCCACTGAAGACTGCTGGTGAACATGGGCTTCAAGTATGCCAGAAATGTCCTGTATATTGTCAGCTTCTATTTTAAGGCTTCTATCAACTGAGGTTTCTCTATTATGCATACTAGGTGGAGATTTCTCATGAAAATATTCAATTGCATTCTTTTCTTTATCAAATTTGGGTCCTTCTTCATCTTTTTGTTCTTGATTAAAGTATTGATATCGCTCATCTGAATAAGAGTCTTCGTCTTCATTTATGTCTACATAGTCATCAAAGTTTTCTGGAATGTGAGATATTTTTTGAGGAGGAGCAAAAATGCCATGCTTCTCTTTGCACACAAAGTATACAATGCCATCATATGTTCCATTGTTATTCCCTTCAGGTTTATCCAACTCCACTCCAGCCCAAAATCCTTTAGCAAAACTAGTCACACCTTTGAATCGAAGAGTTCCTGGTTGAACATTGCCAATTAATACCCTATCACCAATGTGGAAACCAAGCAACTCATCTGCAATAGAAACTGAAGTCAGGGAGGATGATTCAATAATTCCCTGTTCATGCTCTACGTCACTACGCTCCTTACTTTTCATCAGCTCAGTAGGGGACTTGAGTTCTAGTAGCCTTTCAGAGTGAACACTGTTATGAACAGAAAAGCTTTTCTCACTGAGGCACTCACTGATTTCATCATCACTACCAAAGCTAGTGGCTCTACTTCTAAAGCTCCTTGTTCCCTGTGACTTATCTCTGCAAGACTGAGAGTCTTTCCTTAGTGACAACAAAGATGACATGTCAAAGTCATCTTTGTACAATTCAGCTGAAATTTCTTTCTTGAGAGAAGACACTTCAAAATCTTCAGAGTATGATATATCTTTAGGAGGAAAAAGATGATCTGACAGAAGAGAGTCCCTTTCCTTTATGTTCTTTTGTTCATGAATGTCTTTTTCTGATTTGACGTTTGGACTATGATCCATGTCTTGATTTGACTGTCTATCTTTCAACTCATTTTTATGAAGAGTTTCAATAGCTAACCTAACTAAGTCTTTCTGAACATTTACAGAATCTAAAGAAAGACTTTTTGAAAAAATTTCGGATGAATCTCCCTGCTCCAGATCCAGTTTCAGTAAGACATCAGACTTTCTAGATTGTTTAGAATAGGCATCTTCAATCACACTCTTTTCCAATTTTGTATATCCTACTTCTTGTAGTTCTGATTTTTGACTGGATTCTTCAACCTTGGCATCTGACATATCCAGAATTCTATTTGGGACACTATATTCTTTGAGAAGAGGTAATGAAGGCACATTTTCTAGATAATCTCCAGATTCTGCTCTGGTTTTCCTTGGTCTAAGAATTGGAGATGAAGTCTGAAAATGCTCTTCTGTCTGACTGTCCAATTCATCCACTCTCTTTGTATACGCAGACAAAGATCTTTCTGATATTGATCTCTCAGAACCTGCCAATGCAGCATCTTAAAGGAAAAAAAAAAAATTACATAAAAATTATTTAATCACAATCTTTAAATTTCTGAAACCAAAGTTTAAATAAAAATCAAATCTTAGTAAGGAAAAACTCTGGTAAAATGAGTTGTTTTGGTTATCACATAAAGTAGTTTTTCCTTTAAGAGAATATACTATACTAACAATAAACAGAACATTTTAAATATGTGAAAATTTAAAGTTTGGAATAATTTCTTAAGTGTCACCTTAACTTACAAAGTGAATAAAAACAGATCTAAGTATATGGAGACACTGTTTTGTATGATTATCCTCAAATCTGCCAAAACAGAATTGTATGCCATACTGTTCTTCAGATAGAAAACCAATGAAGGAAGGACAAAGCTGCATCAACATAAACTTATGCCATTCAAAGCAACACAGATGGAGCTGGAAGGGATTATGCTCAGTGAAATAAGTCAGAAGAAAAAAGAAAAATACTGGATGGTTTCACTTAAAGGAGGGACATAAGGAAACCATACCAGGGTTCAGGAAAAAAAAAAAACAAAATGACAAAACTAGCAGGCAAACTATAAATCAGAGCCATTCAGCAGGGGAGGGGGAAGAGGAGGGATCAAAACAGGAGGGAAGAGCACAAGAGACTACGGTGATGGTTCATGGATATATTGGTGGTGGTAATTTATTGGGTGGGGATAAAACCTGAAAGGTAAAATCAAACATTGCACAAAAACGAACAATGATATAAAAATATATAAATTTAAAAAATCTGCATCTACATATATATATATCTAAAAGAATGAATTCTCCTGGGGACTTCAACTAGGCTCCTAAGGGTAAAAAAAAAGATCAACTATGTGTGCAAATATAGTACTTCTAAGACTAAAATTGCAAAATAAGAAAATAAGTATGATTTAATAGGCTAATAAACCAAGAATTCAAAGTTTTTAATTGAAATCTCTATTTTTGTCATTGTTGCTAGGTACACTTTTTTCATGAATTATACTTTATTTTCAATAATTCTTATCTGTTTCGGATTTAACTATAAAAAGTGTAGATAACCACTCACCTCGAGAAACAGTAGAGGATTAAAATATACATAACCAAATACAAAAACCGATTAACAGAGAATTTAGAGATGCTAATGTCATATTTAGTCATTCTAGATGAGTATCTATATACCTCAGTTTCTTTCATAAATTTGGGACAATAAGCTGATTCATATAACTTATACATGATCAATAAATCACTTTAAAATATAAAAGTACCTTAAAATATTAAATAATCTATTATTATCTTTAATATGTTCATTGTGCATGGTTATTACCCAAAAGACAAGAAACAAAAAGGGTTGAAGAGGATTTGTAGCAAAGGGAACACTTGTTCACTGTTAGCAGAAATGTAAATTGATTTAACCATTATGGAAAGCAGTATGGAAATATTAAAAAAATTAAAAATAGAAATCCCATACCCCACACCTAGGTATTCACTTGGAAAATATAAAATGCAAATTTTAAGAGACATACACCCCAATGTTTATTGCAGCTTTAGTTACAAAAGCAAAGAGCTGGAAACAACCTATGTGCCCATCAATAGAAAAATGGGTAAGGATGATGTGATCTATATACAAAATGGAATACTACTGAACTATTAAAAAAAAAAAAAGATAAAATCCTGCCATTTGCAACAACATGGATGGACCTAGAAGTTATTAGGCTTAATGAATTAAGTTGGAAAAAAATAAATGCCATATGATTTCATTCATATGCACATAGAGAAAACAGGATTAATAAACTAAATAAAACAAATATAAACTTTTAGACTGTAAGACCAATTAGTAAGACCAGAAGGGAAGTGGATCAATCAGGTAAATGGGAACAACTGTATGGTGAAGGATGGAAATAGACTTTTAGTGGTAAACTTAATGTAGTATATACACACTGATTTTCAAGGACGTACACCTGAAACGTATACTGTGCTATAATGTAACATTATTTCAATAAAAAATAAAACAAAAATTCTCTGATTAAAATAAGATTTGTTTCCTAGGTGGGGGAATTCATTTTTTAATCAAAAAGTTGTAAAGACAGAATTTTGTAGGCACTGTATAAACCCTCAGATTATATGGATACAGCATAATTACTTTTTCTAGGTACATACCAACATGTTCAGCAATAGACTCTAGGGATCCTCTAGAACGTTCTGATTCTGTTAGTGATTTCCAATTTTTTGCCGTTTCAGATCTGAAGTAGGAAAATTAATTAACAGAAATAAACTTTCTACGGATACCAAAATAAGTGGTAACAAAAACCAGCCAATTCTTTGACAATTACTTTCTTCTACTGCATAAGAGGTATGTATTGTAATCTTTGCCATTTTCATCTAGTCAGTAGCCTTTATTGTTCTTAGTAAATGATTTTGCCTCTTTTCATAAGAAAAACAGGTCATCAGGCACAAATTACCTTCAACATTTCTAACTATTTATTTATATTCATATCAATTCCAACCATCCTTCCTCCTACCACAGCAAGTAAAAGGTATGTTTCTCACACTTGTTCAATGCAAACTATTTAAACCTTTTCTGCACCAAATCCCATATATTTCACCAGCCTTACTGATGGTATTCCTCAATTATCCATTCTCTTTCCTATAATCTCGCTATAGCCCTTCAATCTAGATATTTTCCAACTCAGATTATAAATTTGTATTTAGCCTCAAAATAACGCTCCCCTTTAATTCTGTACTCCACCCCAAGCTACTGTCCTCACTTATTAAGTTAACAGGGAAAGCTACATATATCCACTATCTTCATTTTCTTACTTTCTCTTCATTTGCTAAGACAAATGCTGGCTTTTACCGCTTCACAATGCTCTTTAAAAAAGTCAAACTCTAGCTTCAATCTCTTCACAATGCACTTAAATGCTGCTAATTTATTTTTTTGTAGTTGGCCCCTCTTATTCTCTCTGAATGCATACCTTATTTGGTGACACAGCTGTATTTATGGCTTCAACCACCATCTATGTACTTATCATAACTATATATCTAACACTGACCTCTGTCTTGGGTAATTCCACTTAGATGATCTATAAAGAACTTCAAAATTACCCAAAATCATAAGCTCCCAAAAAAGAACAACTGATTTTCCATTTAGGTTAATGGAACCATGACACAACCACTTACAACAAGCCTGTAATCATCCTTCATTTGCCCTGCTTCCTTATCTAGCACTGAGATAAGGTCTCCTTAAGTATTCCTAAAGTCAATCGCCTATTCTCTATTCTTATTACCACTCCTTATTTGAGACCTAGCTTAGACTACTCTTGTCCCTGCTCCTAAGCTTACTCATTTCTAAGTTTCATACTGTGGTCCGAAAGAGCTCTCCAAACACAAATCTGATGTGTCATTTTTCTGGCTAAAATCCTTCAATATCTTCATTAATGAAACTATAAAACTATTTAATAGAATGCTATCTAGGATTAAAATAAAATTTATAGTGTACAATGAAAAAATGTATGTGTAACAAAAATACACACAAACTAAGCATGAAAAATATGAGAAGGAAATATAAATAGTTACTGACATTTGCTATTTTGGGATACTTAAGTATGACATGATTTAAACTCTTTATATTTATTTCCCTCAATATTTTAATAATAGTAATAGTAACTGTTTATTGTATGATAGGCCCTGTTCTAAGTTAAGTATGCTAACAGTTTATTAGCCAGGTATTATTATCCCTCTTTTATAGGGACATAAATTCTTAGCAAAAAATTGAAGCACAGAGAGGTTAAGCAACTTGCTCAAAGTTAAAGAGCTCATTGGAGGCAGGATTCAAACTTGGGTAATAAAATTAATCATTATGAGTCTATATTATATATTACTTCTGTAACAAATAAAAAAAAAATCCAGCTTTTTTCATAAAAACCTCCAGAGGCTCACATCTTCTAAAAAGTAAAACAGATGCTACTAAGAAGGAGCAGTATAAGGTTTTCACAATTGGGTTATTTTTCCCATTTTTCTTCTAACTCCAGCAACATTCTATTACGTTTAGTTTCTATGATATGCCAAGCTCTTTGTTACTTCTGGCCATTCATGAAGGCCCTTTTCTCTGAAATGCCTCATTTCTCAGTACCCCTGAGCTCTCAAACTCTAGCTCATTATTCAAAATTTGGTTAGAATATAATAAACTAACATTTTAAATATACGCTCTATATCTGCATTTACCAGCTACATAATATTCTGTCCCTGAAAAGACTCATAATTTACTGGGTTATTCACCCATTTTTTAAACAGAATTATTGCTTCCTAAGTTTCATTAATACTAAAGAATATTATAAAAAAATGTATTCATGCAAATAGAGGTTTTTCGTGGCCTATATTTTCTCAAATTAGATTTCCACGAGTGGAATTACTGAGTCAAAGGTTACAAATTGTTTTGGACTTTGAAACACTACCAATAACTTTTGGACTTTGAAACACTGCCAACTTATGGTGCTACTAAGAACAATACTAGAGAATACTATTTTCACTGCAAGCACCAGATTTCAAGATTCAAAATACATTATTGAATTTGTACCTTATTATAAATTTGATTTGTGTAATTTTACTTTAGTGAAACTAAAAATATCAACCAACATTTTTCTTTTCATAATTTAATAACATAACAGATAGCTTCTATCAAAGACCTTTTCTTATTTTTTTCTCAAGCAAGGTAGACTATAGGTAGCTTACAAAATATTTCTACCTGTGTAGTGGAAGGGGCTTGATCTTGGGCTTTTCAGAAGCTGAGGAGAACGTTTTAATTTGAGGCTTGGCTGTTGGTGATGCTTCCAAATCTCGGTTAAGTTCGGCTTCAGTTTTCTTAATGAATTCGTCATATGACTAAGTTTAGAAAAATCATAGGAGTCACTATGCAGAATTTTAAAAAACTTTTAAATTATAAAATAGTATTATCTTTATGGCAAAATAATCAACCAGTTAAAAAGATGTAATACAAAAATCTTTGTCCTAGTATCATTCTTCAGAACTCTGTAATGATATGTATATCTTCCTCAAAATAGTCTAAGAAAAGTATATAATTATAATTCTAAGTGTTCTACATATGAGGCAAATAATTATAATCCTAATATCAATTAGGAAATGATAAAATCTCAATTTTAACTTTACAGAATTTTAATATTTATAAAACAACAATCCATACCGTATCACATTTAAAAACTTTAGCTGATTACATTGTTCTTTAAAGGATGTCCTAATACTTTCAAGGTATTTTTAAGAAGTTTAGCCATCTCACTGAGTTTTAATGGCAGTAAAATTCTTACGGGGTAAGCACATAGGAATATAAGTCATGAAGAGAGGAAGTGGTTGAGAGTAAAATACTTCAGAATTGCAAAAAAAAAAAAAGTTTCCTAGTTATTAGTCATTCTGTAAACAAAATTTCACTAGTCCACAAATGTAATGCATATGAAATCTAAGGGAAATCGTCCATCTATTATACCTCTCCTTAGTTTCTTTGGGCTAAAATTCCAAGTTTTGAATCTCTCTCCCACTATTTGAGGTTACACCTGTTTTATTCAACACTGTATGTCCAGACATACTCAGTGTCTGGTCCAAAGTAGACTGCCAATAAATATTATAGAATGGATGGCTGCTTGTCCATTGTTGCAGATCACTATAACTGGAGCTAAAACTCTCACAACTCTCAACATGCACTTTCACTTTCTGCTGAACTCTGAATGTTTTCAGAAAGTAACTTCTGATATTAACATGTACTACTATATAGCTGGATGGTCTACCTAGCTAGTCATATGAGGACGATGACTTCTCAAATCTGAAAACTATAAAAGGAATATAGTTCAGATATTAAATCTGTGATCAAATAAAATCCAAAAGGTTTTTCATATTAACCACTATGTATTATATATTTCTTCATCACATACTCTAATTTAAAAACCTAAATACTGAGTTTTCTTTTGCCTTTATTTAAACCATTTGACAAAATAAGCAATGAGATCCTAATGACACTTCTTCAGAAATTTTGCTGGCTGAAATATTCATTAATGAACATTTCTGAATAATGCAATTCAATCAAATAGTATTTCATTTAGTTTTCAATGGCTCCTCATCACCTATAGTAGTGCTTTTAAAACCTGGTCCTTACTACAGAGCAATTATATCCAAGTCTCTGGGAGTGAGCATAGATATTTGCATTTTCCAAAAAGCTACTTGGCTAATTCTAATGTGCAATCAGGCTAAAAATCACTGACCTAGAGAAGGAAGGCTAATAATCATGTTAGTTTGATTCTTAAGGTCCTGAACATTCTTTTATTTAAAAAAAAATTTTTTTTATTTTATTTTGCTTCATACTACTTTCCAACACAAACTTCTCAATATCTTAACCATGTTCTTCCAAACATCTGTGTAAATTATAATCCCTATTCTTATCTCTTTTATATACCTGTGTAAGATGACTCTCCAGATTTGTTAGCAGTCTTACTTTTTATGTAGAAAAGAGTGTTGAATAATAATGAGGACACAGAATTTAGAATTAGAGCTAAATTAAAATCCTAGTTTTACCACATAGGAGCCACATATACCTAGATATCATTAATCTCACTGAAGCTCGGTTTCTCATGTATAAAAAAGGGATAGTAACATCCCAACCTCATTGCTTTGAAGATAAAATGACGTCTGTATAGAGCAATGGGCTGAATTCCTGGCACAAAGACACTTGAGTATTTGATGATTAAATTAATAAACCAGAAGAGTGTGTGCTTGGTGTTACCACAATAAAGGACAATTAACAGGACAGAAATTGTGTCTAACATAGCAAAGAGCTTTCTAATACATACAGTACCTACAGTGTAAATGAAACCCACTTCCTTGAAAATTTGAAGTTGCCTATTTTTGGAAGTGTTTGGGTAGAAGCTACATGATCATTCTTTTATAAAGCCATGAGAAGGGATTCTTGTGATGAATAGTTGGATTTAGTTGGATTTAGACTGATTCAACAATGAATGTAGCATTTTAAAAACACCTGGCAGAATGTATATAAGAAAAAGGGAAGTAATCAGGGGTAGGAATATTTAGGAGACCATGCACATACTAGAAGCATGACGGTGCCAAATAGCCTGGTGACAGCAGGAATGGAAAGAGACAAGTAAGGAGCTTTATTATTCATTAAAAGGAATTGATAGGACTTGGTGATTAGATAGATAGGGAGAAGATATATCAAAAGGAAGAGTCACATTTAGAGTTATCAATTAGAAGCTATAATAAATAGTCCAAAGAGCATATGACTAAGTTGTGTGGCATGAAACATCACCCTACCAAAAAAAAAAGGCTTTAAAGTGGTAACAATTCCAATAGCCAGAAGTATTTATCTAATGATTCTTTGCTTAAAAGAACAAGGATATCAACATTCCATTGGCATAATCCCTCTTATTTAGAAAAACAAATCTTGTTTTTAACAAATCTTAATGTAATTTTATTTATTTAAAGTAAATATTTTCCTTTAATATTTGATATTATAATACTTAATATTTCAACTTAATATTTAATGTTTTAAGCAAATGTTTGTTTAGATAGCCTCTGATTTTTTTGAGTTAGGATAAAATGTGGCACCAAACTAATATTGAAAAATCCTAATCCATTATTTTATTATAACATTAAAAACATTTTACACTTCACATAAACATTAGCTTTGCTGTTAAATCCCTTTCCTCCTTTGTCTAACCTCTAACTGTTTGATCAGACTAGCTTCTTGGGCTTTTAGTCTTTCCTTCTGTCTCTTTTTCTGTTCCTTCTTCAACTGGTCCACAACTGATTTTCTTTTCCTCAGCTCATCCTTCAAGGCTCTTATCCTACCTTCGATGTCACTCTGGTCAGATGTAGTTTCTGAAAAAGATACAGATTCTTAATTTTAACTTAAGGATGACATTAATTCTATTAATAAAAAGCAGCAATGAAACACTCCATTTAAATAGTCTAAATGGCCATCACTAGGGAATTAGTTATATAAATTATAGAATATCTATTCTTTGAAATATTATGCAGTTATTGAAATAGTAACGAGAATGTGTAATATGGATATGGGAAAATTCCATGACTTATTTTTGCCCGAAACATAAAAAATGAAGTATAGGGGTATAGAACAGGATCAAACCCAAAAATGGGTATTTTTTACTTCTACTTTACTAAATATGTACTTTCAAAAGAAACCAGACATGAGCTCAAAAGGCATACACTCACTATGGTATCAATCTTCCTATAAAGCTTTCTGCAGCCTCTGCAACACGAGTTTGATTCCCAGCCGGCCAGGGAGCAACCCACATGGCGCAGACCTCTTGTGCCTTGCCCGCTGCTCCCCTCAGCAGTGTACCTGGGTCCATCTGCCTGTTCCCCACTCTGTCTCTGGTGAATCCTCTCACCCCCCCACCTCTGGCCTGTACCCCAGCTCTTGTATGCATAAATAAATATTAAAAAAAAAACTTTCTTAGAATCCCACATACACCAAGCATTGTCTACCTAGATATGACTCCCCAAATCAATTAATTTCTTAGGTCCTTTAGTGCACAGGCTGTGCATTCTTTCATAATCAATATACCTACCACAGGATTTATAGAAGAGTAGAGGATATAGGAAAATAGACAAGAGTTCCCATTATCAATCTGCAGTAAGTACTTCATTTTTCTTCTTTTGAGACTGCTCTACTACCTCTTACCTCTCCACATAGTCCTTATTAATTCATTTTTTAAAAGATTTATTTATTTATTTATATAAGAACTGGGGCACAGGCCAGATTCGCAGGAGGGTGAGAGGATTCACCAGAGACAAGAGCAGGAAACAGAACAGGTAGACTGACGAAATACACTGCTGAGGGGAGCAGTGGGCTCGAAAGGAGAGGTCTGCTGCGCCATGTGGGACCCTCGCTGGCCAGCAGGGATCGAACTAGCACTGCAGAGGCTGCAGACAGCTTCTTCACAGCGCTGTGCTCAACCACCTGCACTACTTGGGGAGGCCCAAGTCCTTATTAATTCATTTAAGATATATTTCAAAAATATATATACTATGTGCAATGCAAAGTACCTGCTAGGTCCTGGTGCTACAATTGTTAACAAAACAGTTCCTCCTTTCCAGGAGTTTGTACTCTAGTAGGAGAGACCTGCTGGATAAAATCTGATTGCAATTTATGTGCTTCTTATATAACAAGTTGAAGCAGAGTGCTATAGAATATCTAAGCAAGACACTGACACATAGAAAAAAATTCAACAATGTCTGGTGAATAAATGACTGACTGATAATGGGGATTAACACACAAGAATAATAGTATGTCATACATTGAGCAATTAGGGATATGATTAATTATCAATAAAAATTCGGTAATTATGCAACTAACCTGTCAAGAAAAAAAATTTCGACAAATGCAGCAAAGGATAACAGTATTCTAGTATGATTAGACAAAGTTTTATGACAGAAAATTCAAATACAATACAAAGAAAACAAACACCTCATTATTAGTCTCACCTGACTGTGTCATAGATAATGACTCATCTGACCAACTGTGACAGTGCTGGTGGGATTTGATAGGTAGACGACATTGTCCTCCACTCCTATGACTTCCTTTGCTAGACTCCTGCTTTGACACAGGTGTGCAGCTTTTGGGAGGTGACTGTCCAAACAGAAAACCAAATGGGAACTGTTTTGTAATACAGTAGCAAAATTCTATTTAAAATTTGAGATACTAGCTTGTTAAAGTCAACTTTATGACATAAAAAAGGGGGAAAAGTTTACAAATTATACAAAGACATCAATATTTTTTAAAGGCACAGAAAAAAAGTTGTTAAAATATATGCTTTTAAAGATGTTTATAATAAATTAGTTATTGCATAAATGATAATAACTCTTTGTCCTTTTAATTTTAAAAGTGTTAAATATGGACATTTGCTATGTCTCTTCCACATCGTGATTTTATTTTTACAGATATATACCTAAAAGTATAAATGCTGGATTGTATGGTAGCTCTCCATCAACTGATAAAAGATAAAGAAAATGTGTGTGTAGATGGATGCATGCATGCGCGCGCGCGCGCACACACACACACACACAGAGGAATTCTATTCAGCTACTAAAAAGGAAGGAAATGCTGCCATTTTAACAACATTGATAGACCTTGAGGACATTACGCTAAGTGAAATTAATCAAATAGAGAAAGACAAATACTCATTTACAAGTGGTATTTAGAAAAGCCTCCAAATTCGAAAATAGAGGAAAAGATCAAATTTGTGTTACTAGGGTTAGGGACTGGGGAAACTGGGTGAAGGTGGTCAAAGGATACAAACTTCCAGTTGTAAGATAAATAAGCACTGAGGATACAGTGTAAAACAGGATGACTATAGTTTACACTGCTGCAAGGTACTAAAAATTATAAAGTAAATCCTAAAAGTTCTATCACAAGGAAAGTAATACTTTTTGTAACTATAGAGGTGATACTAATCTTACTGTGGTAATTGTTTAGTTATATGCATATCAAGTAATTATGCAATAAACCTTAAACATACATAGTGTTGCATATCAATTATAGCAGCAGTGAAAAAAAAATTTTTTTAAAGTAGTAAATAAGAACTACTTTCATGGAAGAAGGGAAGAAAAATAGAGTTTAAGATGACTGCCCACAAAATATTGCTACAAAGGACATAACTTCTACCCTGACCACCAAGTATAAGTAAGACTGATCTGATTAATAGTTATCATCACCTCCTATCCCTGTGACTTCAGGCAAGTTTCCTACTCTGTTAAGCATCAGAGTAGGGCTTAAAACAGTATCTTAATATGATTGTAGTGAGTATAATCCACATAGGGCATTTAGCATGCTATCTGGCACTTGGTAGGTAAGCATACATATTAATTTTTTATTATAAAAATCACCTTAAGAGACACTAGTTTTTACTTCCTTGACATATTTTCTTGTGAGGAAAAAACCTAAATCTTAGTATACAATTAGATGGCAGCTATACTGAACCTCAACAATTAATCTAATCAGTTCACAGGAAATAATATACTAATTAGATTATATCAAAAGGCATACTTTGGCTATAAATTCCTGGAATGCAAGAATAATGTTGCAAGTAAATTATCTATACAATAAACCTATTATCTTATAACAAATAAGAAATCACTGACATGATAATTAGAAGCTTTTTATAATATTGAAACTCTGAAAAAAAATAAAACTCTGTTGTCAAATATGTACATAAGACATTGCAGTATTTTGCAACTTAAGGTAGAATAGGCTCTTACTTAAGGTTGAATGCCTTTCCTCTGAATCTTTAAACCTGAAAGTTTTTTCAATAGGAGAAAAGCAACACATTCTTCACATTCACAATACAAAGGATATTCCATCCTGCAATTAGGTAAATTCCTTTTTTTTTTTAAACATAAAGAGATTTTAACAGTGTTTGTGTTTACTTAATATTTAACACTGTTATGCTAATCTCTCTACACTTTATAAATCAAGTAAAAAAAGAATAACAGTTAACTTTTTAACTTTTTTAGTTAAAAACTTTTTAAGTTTTTTTTTTTTTTTTTTTTAGGTGACAACAGAATGTATTTTAATATACATAGCTTCAAACACTTAAACAAGTGGCAGGGATCTTAGCGATCTCTTAACCCAATCCTAGACCCAAGGTAGGCATCTCTTTCAGGGGGAGACACTTCAGTTCCAGAGACATTCCCAGCCATTCCTGGCCCTCACTCACACCACCTCAGAGGTGAGGAGTATAGAAACTGGCTTGTGAGTTTGAGAAAATGAACAGAGTGAACTCAGCACAGCCTGCTGAGCTGTCTTTCCGGGGGTGGCCTATCTGCAGGAAGCAGCGCGCTGTGGGCTCACATTTGCTCCAAGGGCAGCTGTGCTCCTGTGGAGAGACGGGATTGAGCTCGCGTGACTTCCTCCTTCTCCCCATTCTCTTTTCCCCCTTAGACCTCATCAACAGTATTAAATGATAACAGTAGCACGAATGTACTCAGTAGCACTGAGGGGAACTTATGGGCCAAGCACTGTTCTGGGTGTTGGTCACCTAATACCGCATTTGCCCATCAGTTTCATCAGTAAAAAAAACTGACTTTTTTTCACCATCTATTTTACTTCTGTGTATCTCAAAATTGATTCCCAACTCAGAAGAAGAGCAGATGGGATTTATCACCTCCTCCCAGAAACCTCACACCTTGGTTAACTATTTGCCAAGCCTTCCCTACACCTCCCTCCCACAGATATCTGTTTCCCCTTTAGAGAGGTCAAATTGGAAAATCAGTGTACATTAAAATCCCTCTTCCCGAAACTTGCCTATTTTTATCTTGGTTCTTCTCCTAACGAGAAGGTATTCAGAGAATATCTCTGGATGATTCCTCTTCCGTATGACAATTTTTCAAGTATCTGAATGTGACTGTAACCTCAATGTGAACTTTGACTGTGGACCAAGCCTCTGACCACTGCCCCCCTCCCCCAGAATTCACGTCTTCATTACTTTGAATGGAGTGATGGGAAAATGAGCTGAGTAATTCCCATGGTCTCCTTCTCCTAAAAGTCTATTGTGTCAAAGACTTTCCTCAGCCATCCTTCACAGGACTCGTGGCTCTTACACTGTCCTGTCTGTTCTTCTAGAACACAGTCAACCTCGCCAATGTGTCTTAAACTTTGCTACTCAAGACCGAACTCTGCTTCAGACACAAAATACACCTAGGCAGACAATAGCTGTTATTGTCCATGATGTGATAATGTGCAATCTTTTTGATTTTTTGAGTTGCAGTTCAAGTCCACAGAAATGGATTGATAGTCTGTTAATCATAGTCTTCAATTCATGCCATAGAATCATCACTGGTCCAGGTGTTGCACCTCTTTGTCTTGTTTTTATCTTATAGTCTCCCTTTTCTTTTTTTTTATTTAAATTTTATTTTTATATTCCCCATACAATTACAACCCCCTTATTTTGACCCCAATCCCTCCTTCCCCCCACCCCCCCATAGAGTGTCTCTGGTTTATAGTTGTTTGTTGATTTTGATTTTTTTCTTTCTCATAGTTATTCTTTTTCCTGGTCCCTTATTTAAGTTTTCTAGATTCCTGCTATGAGTGAGACCATCCAGTATTTTTCTTTTTCTTTCTGGCTTATTTCGCTGAGCATGATCCCTTCCAGCTCCATCCATGTTGCTGAAAATTGCATGTGTTTATCTTTTTTGAATGCTGAGTAATATTCCATGGTGTATATGTACCACATCTTCTTGATCCAGTCATCTATTTTGGGGCATTTGGGTTGTTTCCAAAGCTTAGCTATTGTAAATAGTGCTGCTATAAACATAGGGGTGCAGGTGCTCTTTGGAATTGATGTTTCTGTGTCCTTTGGGTAAATACCTAGGAGTGGAATTGCTGGATCATATGGAAGCTCTATGTTTAGTAGGTCAAGAAATCTCCACACAGCTCTCCATAGTGGTTGGACCAGTTTGCACTCCCACCAACAGTGCAGGAGAGTTCCTTTTTCTCCACACCCTCGCCAACATTTGTTGTTGCTAGTTTTTTTAATATGTGCCATTCTCACTGGTGTAAGATGGTATCTCATTGCAGTTTTGATTTGCATTTCCCTGATTACAAGTGATGTTGAACATTTTTTCATATGCCTGTTGGCCATTTGCACTTCCTCTTCAGAGAGATTTCTTTTTAGCTCTTCTGCCCATTTTTTGACTGGATTATTTACTTTGTTTTTGTTGAGTCCCATCAGCTCTTTGTAGATTTTTGTGATCAGTCCTTTAAAATTAGTGTTGTGTGCAAAAATTTTCTCCCAGTCGGTGGGGTTTCTTTTTGTTTTTGTTATTGTCTCTTTTGCTGTGTAGAAGCTCTTTAATTTGATGTAGTCCCCAGAGAAGTTTCTTTTTCGTTCTTCTGCCCATTTTTTGACTGGATTATTTTCTTTGTTTTTGTTGAGTCTCATCAGCTCTTTGTAGATTTTTGTGAACAAGATAGCTTTTTTAATGAAGTTTAGAATTAAGGACATGTGGAAAACCTCTGTTTTTTAATAGTGACCACTACTCTAATTTAGAATTAATAACCATTTCAGATCTGCCTTAAAAAGATGAAACTATTACTTTCATTGTGATTATGAGTTATACAGCAGTTATTAACTAAATTACAGAAAAGAGAAAACAGTATGGTTTAAAGTCTTACAGTTTCTATTATATGAGAAAACACAGACTTCATTAAGAATTTGTATTGTGTCCATATATTATCTTCATTAAAGACTTCAGATGATCCTATCTCCTCACAATAGGCTTCGTTGTATATGATTTTGACTGCCACGATAATAAAAATGTATGTATTTATAAATCCTAGGAGTCAATGAATAGTTTTATTTCTATTCAAATATATATTTTACAGGTATGGGTGACAGTCAATACTGTAATTAAAAGCAAGAATATAAGTGTTAATATTGTCTAGACAGGTTTTTTTTTTTCCCTAAAGCTTTAATATAAAACTTATACATTAACTTACCTGTTTCCTGTTTAATATTTTCTAGACAGGCTTTTTCTTTCCCAAAAGCTTTAATATAAAACTTATACATTAACTTACTTGTTTACTAGGAGAGGTAGAAGATTCTAGTTCTTGTGAAAAAACCATTTCTTCAGTAAGTAAACTATGATCTGGACTCCCCTGCTGTTCCTGAACTATGGACTCAGATGGTATGTATTCAACAGCAGGGCTGCCCAACTCTTCTGGAATAGAACTTTCACTGTGTAGATGAGAGTAGGAAGGTAAGGGAGATTCCTCTTCACTCACTATTTCTATAAATAAAAGGTAAAAACATGGACAAAAGCACAATTTTGGTCAAGAAAAATGTTCAACTGTTACATTTTACATTAGTTTTTAGTATACTTTCACTAGTTGTGTTTAGATTTTTAAATCACATCACTTAACTGATTACATTATATAAAATCTGTTAGTGTAATCAAGAATTTTGGCTGATGCAAACTAGGAAGCTATCTATAACAATCTATAGTAATGATAGTGATTGTAAAATCACTTAAGTGTGAAAACAAAGAGCAATTAGAACTCATATATTCAAGTAGGAATGGAAATTGGTCCAATCATTCTGGAAAATGACTAGATAGCACTTGGCAAAGATGAAAACATGTACCATTCCATGACGTACCGATTCCAATCCTCTTATACATGTTAAAAAACTCTTGCATATATAAAGCACTAAAACACATATGGTCATTAGCCGTACTGTTATAATAGACAATAACGGGAAGAAATGTAAATGTCTATTCACAGTAAAATGAATAAGCTGGTGTATTTATATTATGGAATGCTACAAAACAATAAAAATAAATCAGAACTACATGAATTGATGGAGATAAGGTATGAATTTTATTTAATCACTTTCAGAATTTTGTAGTATTGTCTAGACTTGGGAATTTCCTGTGTATTGTATTCTCTGCTCTTTCTAAGAAAACATGCTTAAAACTGAATAGAATATTCTTGACATTCTACTTACATAATCGTAAGAATGTACACTGCTTTCATATTTTGGTTATTAACATCATTGGGTATCACTAACAGTTGATACACTCAATTCTAAAAATCACTTAAAATTTTGGTCCTGAAATCTGTAAAATAAACTTATTTAATATAAATAAGAAATAGCTATACTTCCAAAGAATGTTTTATATTAATAAACATGGATGACCTGATATTTAAAAGCATTTCAGTTAAAAATTTAAAAGGGTATATATTTATACGGTATATGCAGTATAGTTGGAACAACTGAATGAATAAAGGAAAAAAATTCTCAAAATCCTCAAGGGTAAATCATTATTTGAAGAGAGAGCGTGGATAAGATTTAAAATGGTTTAGATAAAACTTAATTTTCAGGTAGTAGGGTACAGAAGAATCTTCTATATTTCTGATTTTCCTTTACACAGATTTCTAAAAATTTTTGTTTAATAACAGTAACATACTTATTTTAAAAGTTCTAACAATATAGTTTCATATTAAAGAGAAAGTGGAAGTGACCTGTACAAGTAACTCCTGAAAGAGAACCACTTTCATCTGACCAATTCCGTATCTCAAAGGTAAGCAATGGCAGTTATGATGTGTATGTGTATGATGTGTATGTGTGTTTCAATAAGTTTTCCTGTATTTCTCTCTTATAATTTTTTTAAATTATGGCAAAATACACATAATATAAAATTTATCATCATAAATCAATTTTAAGTGTATAGTTCACCGGCATTAAGTATATTCACACGGTGTATGGTCAACACCATCCATCTCTAGAACTTTTTCATCTTCCCAAACTGAAACTCTCTCTGTACTCTAAATAATAACTTCCCCTAGCAATACCATTCTACTTTCAGTCTCTATGAGTTTAACTATTTAAAATACCTCATATGAGTGGAATGATATAGTATTTGCCCTTTAGAGACTCTTTATTTCATTTGTTATGTCTTCAAGGTTTATCCATGTTGTAGCATGTATTACAATTACCTTCCTCTCTAAGACTGAAAAATATTGTACTGAATGTATGTATGATGTTTCACTCATCTGTTCATCTGCTGAGGGACACTAGGACTGCACTGATTTCATGGCTATTGTGAATAATGTTCTTATAAATATTGGCGTACAAATATTTCTTTGCAACCCCACGTTCATTTCTTTTGGATATGTAACCAGAAGTAACACTGCTTGATCATATGGTAATTCTATTTTTAATTTTTTGAGGAATCGCCATATTTCCAAAGCTGTTCCAAATATTTTACATTGCCATCAGCAAATACACAAGTTCCCATTTCTCCAAGTTCTCACAAACACTTTTTGCCTTTTTTTTTTTTTGATAACAGTCATTCTAAAAGATGTGAGGTCATACATCATTGAGTACCTGACTTCTGAAGACAGAGTTCTATGTCAATAGGAGTCTTGGACACTTTTTAAAAATATGGACAGTATTAGTCAATCTTCAGCCTTTCTTTTTAAATATATCCTATGTAATGTGACAAAAAAAAGGACTGAAATACCAAAACTTTATAGATCTTGTATAAGCTGCATGCATTGTCCAATAAGGTAGCTACCAGTCACATATGGCTATTTAAATATCAATTAAAATACAAAATTTATTCCTAGGTACTTCAGTTTTAAAATTTCCATTATAAATGACAGCTTCTTAAAAAAAAATAGATTTTTCTAACCAATTTCTGCTGGTCTAAATACATACAGTCAATTTTATTTATGGATTTTTATAACCAGCAACTCTGCTAGATTTGCTTATCAATGCTAGTAACTGATAAGTAAACATTGGATTTTCTATGTGCATAGCCTTATTATCTATATGGTAATGCAAGTTTTACTTCTTTTCACTCATATGAAAATAAGCATCTTTGCCTTATTTCTAAATTCAAAAGGAAAGCTTTCTATGTTTAACCATTAAGTATGGTATTTGTAGTAGGTTTGATTTTTGTTTTTGCAAGCAGATATCCTGTATAAGATAAAGGTTTTTTTGACTGATACTTTGATCTGAGACTTGTTTTATTACAAATGCATTTTGGATTTTATCAAATGCCTTTTCTAAATGCACTAAAATGTCATCTAATTTTTCTCCTTTAATCTGTTTTAGTAATTCCTGCATCATCAATTTTTAATATGTGCTAAACCGCACTTGGTCATGGAATGAACTTTTTTCAGCTTACAGAATTTTCTTATTTCTTCTAAATTTCAAGTATATTAGCATAAAGTTCATCACAATATTCTCTCATCTTTTAAATTTCTGTAGCATTTGTAGCTTTATCATCTTCACCCTTAATCATCACATTTTAAAAAAAATGATCAAGTAAATCTTTCAGATGTTAGACTTAAGCTTATAATCTAAACACAGTACTTAGTACCTTTTTGTTCTGTTCTCTGTTTCTCCGGTTCTTTCTTAGGAGTTTTAGATTTTATTAATTCTTTATCCCAGGCAGCCAAAGCTTGTTTTTCCATTTGACGAATTTCTGCTTCCTCTGCATCTAAACGTCGTTTCCACTCCAGTAACTCCTCTGCATGTTGTCGCCGTTGCATTAATTTTTGTTCTCGCTTTGTCAGAAACCTATGATTATACCATGAAGGATATTGAAAAAATAGCCTATAGACAAAAATCACTGAGAGCTATATCACTCATTACCTTAGCAACAGATGTGTCAAAAAAAAAGGACTTTTACACTAGTTCTCGCTGAAAAAAGTTAGAGAAAAATGCAATAATTCGTTTTATTTCTAAGATTAACAAAGGAAAAATAATGGTAAATTCAGAAACAAAAATCTTTAGAATATCTAAACAATCATGACTGACAGCACTCAGTTTATGCATTTTTTAAACAGAATAAGGAATTTATAGTAAGAATCAGACCAGAAAACACACAAACTCCAAACAACATAGACCAAAACAACAACAAAAAACAAATCCCAAAATCCCCAAACAAGCAAGCAAGCAAAAAACATATTCAAGTCTCTTTTTGACTTTATTTCCTGAAAAGTTCAGTCTGCTTTCGCTTCAGGCAAAATAAATTTGGTTCCCATTACCTAAGAGATGCAATGTCAGGTCATAAAGTATGGAGATAATACTGAGCACCACAGTCAGATGCCTGATGCTTATAAACACAACCATTTATTTACTTGAATAAAAGGATGCACCAAATGCTTCCAATTTCTCAATTTATTGCAGTTTATAAATCTAAATAGCCCAATATATTTTAGTTCCAAATGTTTAGGAAAAATTATATATATTGGAAAAGTTATTTGAATATTTAAAAGCTATTATTATCTCTCCTCAAAGTAGATGGCATACCTAAATAAAAGGTGGGCTGCTCATATAACTTGCATTAGAACTGTAATGGTAGCTAATCAACAAAAATGCATTCAAGCATTCAATGAACACTTATAATAATAAGTACAACAAGAACTCTTGTCACTCACTTCTTTAACAATCAACATGTCAAATTAATTTGGAAACAAAAAAGTAAATCAGTGGGACATTGGACAAGAGGCCTCGAGGCTGTTAGGAAAAAAGAAAGAAAGAAAAAAAAAAAGCAAACAAAAAGAACAGAGCATGCTCTATCAAAGAGTGCACTGGAAAAGGTGCAGTTACCTGACCAACTGGTTGTAGATATACAGCTGGAATTTGGGATGAAGATTGGGAAAACAGACACTGAGAGAGGCCCAGTGATGAGACGTAAAGACAGAGAAGAAGTAGTGAACAGGAGAGCAGTGTCTACAAAATAAGGAGGAAGATTTTTAAAACCAAAAGATCAAGAAGTAGAAAGAATGAAAAAGGGAAAGAATAAGAGAAGTGTGAAGAACTTTCAATATGCTTCCTGAATAACATTATAAGCTACTCAGTTAAAGCAAATGTTATATTCTGTGTGACACATAAAAAAACCACATACTTTTACAGATCTTACCAATGATTCCTGAATAAACATGCCTTTCTTCTTACTCTTAAGATGTTCCTTAACCAACACCTAGACTTTCAGGTAAATTTATTTGTGAGTAAAGTAATGAAAAGTACAGTGTGGTATTAAATAAGTTTTCCCATAATCTTGAAGAGCGAGTACAACATTCATGATCATGAGCCTATATATCAGCCGTTCTACATATGTGTGTAAACCCTGAATACATTACTTCTGTATCTGTACCTTGCCATATATTTTAAGCTTGAAATTAAATAAAAAAGCACTACATTTGCCTTACAATCATGACCTAACTTGAAAATAATTTAGAAAATCAATTCAGAGCAAAATATCTTGTTAACCTCTATAATATAAAATTTACTGCTAGCAGTACCTATTGAAAAATCTTGTCTTATATTTAATAATGAACCACCTAATATTGAAATAGAATACTAATTCTATAAAATATCCAGATGCATAATTAAGAATAAACTAAGCCAGTCCCAATAAATTCTGTCAGGGAAAAAAAATCATGCTGTAGACAGCTCAATTATAAGGTTAAAGGTAAGAAAAAAATTTCACATATTAAAACTACAACAATAGAAAAAAGACCCACTAGCTTCTCTTTTTGACTAGTAAATAGATTATTATTATTATATATGAAAGGATAAATAAATCTAATAATAGTTTGGAAAGGTTAATTCTCTTTGACAGAGCATGCCTCTGTTCACATGCACACAACAGTAACTTGTATATAGATCAAGGCAACTTTTACTGCCATGGAAGGGCAAGGAATAGCATCAGTATGAGATGGAAGTGAAAAAAGTGTAAATCCAGTCACTCATTTGGATTTTAAAAATCTTGCTTACAAGTATATCTTTAGATAAGACTATTTCAATGTCTGTTTCCCCAAATACAACTAATATTTCACTTCCCCTTCATTTACACACACACACACACACGCACACACGAATGTGGATTGCCTTGATTTTCTGAACCAAAGTTCAAGGAAAAACAATTTTGCCAAATATCAATGAGAATCTGCAACTTTCCTTGCCATTCCTCTTTGAATGTATATAAACTTATTTTGATGCCAATTATTAAAATATTATGCAAAAACAAATATAATTGGCAAAAGCTTCAAAAAAAACCTATGGATAACACTCAAATATCACCCACCCTTTTAAGTGCATAACTGCTAAATGCATGCTTGACCTAGTACAAAAAGTAAAATAACATTTGAACATGTAAAATTAACTATAAAAACAAAGATACAACTTAAATTTTTTGCCCAGTCAATACAGAAGATAATAATTTTCTCTATTAGACCAGTAACTCATCATTTATTTTTCATTTCTAAAGATCAAGCATATTTTAAAGGTTAGAAATGAAGAAAAAAATAAAATAAAATGAAAAAATAGTTTAAGAAATACAAAGTTTAACTTAGACTTCTCAGAAACATGTTCATTATTTAATACACATACACTCTAGAAATAAGTGTCCTTTTAAAAGTTGAATAAAATAAAGTTGACCACTCCTAGGGATCTACCCAAAAGACACAAAAACACTGATTCAAAAGAACACCTGTACACCTATGTTTATTGCAGCACTATTTACAATAGGTAAAACCTGGAAACAACCCAAATGCCCAGAAATAGATGACTGGATCAAGAACATGTGGCATATATACACAACGGAATATTATTCAGCAATCAAAAAAGATAAACTCATGCCATTCGCAGCAACGTGGATGGAGCTAGAAGGAATTATGCTCAGTGAAATAAGCCAGAAGGAAAAAGAAAAACATCGGATGGTTTCACTTATAGCAGGATTATAGGGGAACCAAGGAAGACATCAGTGTAAAAACTTAATAACAGTACAAAACACAACAAAGCAAAAACGGGCAATTATAAATCAGAGACATACTGCAGGGGAGGGGGCAGGAGAGGGATCAGAGGGAGGGAGGGAGGAGCACAGGAAGCTGAGGTGATGTGCACGGGTGCACTGGTGAAGGAAATTCTATGGGGACTATACCTGAGGGGTTGGGGGAAGCAAATATTGTTTAAAAATGAACAATGATGAAATTTTGTAAGCTATTGATCTGGGTTATAAACTACAGTGAAGTTAAAAAAAAAAGTATTATAGCAAATAAAAAAAAAGGTTAACTTGGGTGGTCTCTCATATATATATATGGAGTTTGATGATAAAAATCAACATGTAAAACAAGCTCACTCCAAAAAATGAAAGAAAATAAAAGGTTGGGGGAGGGGGACCCATGGCATGGGATCCTATTGTGGCATTTTCTAAATACATTCTTTGTTGGCGGTGATGAACTATGGGTACCTTGATGGCAGGCTCACTGGAGTAATAACAGCTGAAGGGAGGGAAATCCTATACTTCCAAAATACAAGCACAGATGTAAACCAACATTACTCAATAAAATATTAAATATTAAATAAACAAATAAATAAAGTTGAGATAAAAGAGGCAGTAACTCACACTAGATTTAACAATCCATCAAGATGTTTCATATATAAGAAATAAACCAATTTTCTCAATGATGGAGACATAAATGCCTAACAGAAATGCTACTCATATTTTATGGCTTGTGACAAGTTCTTTAACAATGACAAGACACTGCAGTAGGATCAAATGCATAGTAGATTTAATCTAGTATGGAAATCACTGTGGTTTATATGATTAATCTTAAGAATTTGTGAATATTCACTTTTAAAGTCACACTTTTATACTCTGAAGTTGTGTTGAATAGGTATTCAACTCCAGTGATCAGTCACTATTTTCCCAATTTCAACAAATATTATTTAGAAGGGTTATTTTCAACTGAGTTAACCTTAAATCATAATGTAGTATTAAAAAAAAAATATTGAGCTAAAAACAGATACGCTAACTTAAGCTGCCTAAATTCCAGAGAGCAGGGTTCTAGTTCTAGCTCTGCCATTATGCTGTGTCCTGGGGTTAATTACTTAATCTATATGGTCCTCAATTTGTTCACATAAAACTAAGGGACTATACAAGATGACTCTTCCTCAGTCCTTCTGGTTTCAACATTTTATGATTCTTTCCCCACTCAAGAACTTTTTCACTTTTTTAAATCCCTCAACACAGCCATACCTAACAAGACTATGTGACCTAAATGAAGAAGTGTTTTTCCCATTGACCTGATATAACTGTAGATCACGTTCCACTAGATTATAAAACCATACTATAATTTCAAAGGGCAATATATGATCTAATTCTAAATGAAACTTTCAGTTTCAAAACAATTTTATTCTAAAAGACATTAAGCAAAATCTGAATACCTAAATCATTCCAAAGTTCTTTCTGGATATATAATTCTTTAATTCTATATTGTTATAAGTTAAAATGCTTTAAATTTTAAAATGAATTAATTCTTTCAATTCCTTAAGCATTTTTGCTGATATTCCAAAAGAAAGATAACACAGTAATGACATAAAAGAAATTTCAGTCCTGTATTTTTTTTCCTATAGCAAAATCTATTGTATTACTTAAAACTGTCTAGTATTTACATATTTTCAGGATTTTTTCATCTACTATACTTGAAGACTATCTTATGAACATTGTATTTCTAATTTAAGGCAATGAAACGTAGTACATTATTGAAACTATAATTAAAATGTCTTCTTGAACAGACTATCAAAATCCTTCTCCTGAAAATCCTTAACTTTGTAAATGCATTTAATATTTTAATACTGATCAGAGAATGAAAAATATTTCTGGATAGACTTATGTTATATAATATATATATTTAATTTTTTGATGATTTAAAACCAAGTAAGTTAATATTATTCCTTTAACAGTTTTTGAGCCAGCTGGGAATAATTTTAAATATTTAAAATATTTAAAAGAAATGTTTCAGAACTTTGATGATAGGTTTAATTTTTCAATGAGAATCTGCAACTTTCCTTGGTTTATAATGGCCAAACCAAAAAATAACTATATGCCTTTTTTTTATTCCTATGTTATAAATTCTTAACTTTAAAACCTATAATTTTCTAATTCAAAATATATTTAATTCTGAATTCTTACCCATGAACACTTCCTTGATATACTCTTATCAGTAAAAATTTCTTCCTCTTTTTAACTTCCTTAACAATTTATATACATATGTCAACTTTATATACAATATATACATACATATACACTTCTTTAAAGGAAACTGACATTTATTCTTTTTTCCACTAAACTATAAGCTCTTTGATACCAGGGTTTATGTTTAATTCTTCTTCATATCCCAAAGAACCTAGCACATTCACACATTTCTTCAGTAAGTAACTGCTAAGGGAATGCATATATAATCAATAAATAATATGGAAGAACAAGCATTATAAACAAATGAAAGAAAAGCTGCACTGTCTACTTTTACACTTAAATATGAAGATAACTCCATTCTTTCAGCATTTAATTTGCTCAGTAAACAATTTTCTTAAAAGGACAGGCAAAAGAACAGTAAAAGTTGATAGCATACTAATTTTTTTCATGAATATCTGATTCACGATTATAGGCAATCCACTTTTATATTATAAATAATGGCTCTCACAGCAATGCACAAAATTCAGACTGCATACATCAATAAAATCAAAAAGACTAAGTAAGGGTTTTTCAGTCTGTGGCTTTTACAAATATATTTTCATTATTACTGAGAAATGGAAATTATTTATTATTATTATTATTATTATTTGGCTTTTTCAGGCTTTTAATGATCTTTCTACACCAATTGTAGTAAGGCAACCAATGTCAACTCAATAAAGCCATAGATTAGAAATACAAATTTTAATAAAGGCATGATATCAGTGAAGCATTAAAGAAGGAAATTGTTCACTGGAGCCAGGAACAATCTGACCACTTCACACAAATATTTGTCATAGAATCAGAATTTAGAGGGTTAACAATAAATAAAGCATACTGAAAGAAGTTCCCCCAAAGTTAGCTAAACTTATTGAAAGGGATGAATACTTCTTGCTTTATAGCAATAAAATAAGAATGTCATGGAAGACTGTTTTTTCAAATCTACAGAAAATATAATAGTGCCTAGTAGTAAAGGCTCAAATGATTTTGTTAGATGCTTAATGTATCAAATTACTACAAAATTAACTATTTATTGAGTAATACTCCAACACTGTTAAAAGAGATATAATTCCAAGGTTTAGGTTTAAAAACTAGTTTTCACATTACTTTGTTCTGGAGATCGAAAAATACTGCATAACAATAACTTTCCTTTTGAATGTTTCACCAATTTTGGAAAAGTACTCTATTCTCAAACATCCAAACATTAATTTCTTTGCAACTACTGCCCTACATCCATACCTGCAAACATAACTGCATTGCTTCAAATAGCAAATCAATAAGTCACTGCTTCAAGACCTATTCTCTGACAAATTTCTCAAAAGTTTACTGTAGTACTCGGTAAGAGAAAGTAGAGCAATAAAACAAAAATTCTAGATGCTTAATAAATTGGCTTCTGAGAAAATAACAAAAATTGGAACAAAGTTATTTTTAAAGCTTTAACCAAATTTGAAATAAGAACCACAGAAGTTGATGAATCTCATAAACTACATTTAGGAGTTTCTTCTACAGATATGACTAGATTATTAGAATATTATTAACAGAGACCAGCAATGAAGATCATATTGGTACAGAGTAGTAAGGATTCAATGAAGAAATAACCCCTAAAGCGGTCTCCTCCAACAAGTACCATTTAAAAGGTATTTGGAGGGGCCTCCCAGGTGGTGCAGGGGTTAAAGACAGCGCTATCAAGCTATCACCAGCCACTGCAGCATGATTTTGATCCAAGCCCTGAGTGGCCAGGAAGCTGATCCACATGGTGCAGCAGAACTCTCCTGCCTCACCCCGCTGTTCCCCTCAGCGTGTATTTCAGTAGATATGTATTTCAGTATATATTCTGCTCCCCTCTCTCTTCAGTGTGTCCTCTCACCCCCCATACCTCTGGCTTACACATCAGTTCTTGTATGCATAAATAAATCTTTAAAAAATATAAAAATAAAAATAAATAAAAGATACTTGGAGTGAACATAAAATGTCCAGTTATAAAAATCTATGAGATTATTATAAATTCATAGATACATGGAACAATACAGTATGCCTATATAATCTATTTGAAAATTTTATCAGGAAAGATGAAAGCATCTTTAATGTAAATTTCTACATAATGAAACCTAACTAGTCTAGCACATGGAAACCATCCAAAATTTATTTACACATTTATCAATACTTGCTTTCACCCACTAGTAAATTAATTTTAAAAATTTATATTTATATTTTAAAAACATTTTTATAATCAATTTAGGTATTTTTTAAGTGGTGAGATGGTTTTCTCATAATGAAGGGCCAATGTATAATACTGTATCATAGTAAATAAGATTGACTTATAACTGCTTGATTGTTCAGAAACTAATGAAATCTTGGGTCAATGATTAAAGCTGGCATACAACTCAACTACAATCTAAGTAGGAGTAACTTTTTTAAAGAGCTCTTAAAAATAATACTTACAGATGTTTTAGAAGAATAGTAGTCTATCAAATCACTTAATATCTTAGAATTTCAGCCTTTCTGGTTCTAATTGAGCAATCCACACCTACTCACGGGTTAAAATTTCACTCTTCTGTTTTAATAAGCCTGAGAGATACCAGGGACTCACAAGCTAAGCTCTTAGGTTATATCTTTAATTGCTCCCCTAAACTGGTAGACATGTCCTCAGCTTTCAGAGAAGGTACAAATTATACACTTAAAACTTTTAATAAAAGAAAAGAGAAAACACGGGTAAATGTGCAAATACTACATTGGTGTTTTAAATCTGAAGCTGTAGATATTAAAAACAAGATAATTTGTTTTATAAATAAAAACAAAAGTTATATACTTTTAGGTTGATCTAATAATTCTACTAAAATGCTATTGAATTCATAAAATATTATGTTGTCTCAATCTAACCTGAAGAAGTACATTAAAATGTTATTTGTTGCTACTACTCTGAATTTAATTAAACAGGAAATATTTATAAAAATGAATTACTTTTCATCCATGCGGCTTCTCATTTTCTTCAGTTTTTGCATAATGCTGCTAGTTTCACTGCTGGATATTGAAATGGGGGAAGGACTGCGGGTCTCCAAATCAGTTGGACCAGGACTAGTTGCTTTATTATCCTTTGTATCATCCTCACTATGAGAGTCCTGCAAACAAAAAGGCATAAAATGTTACAACTTTACTGGAATTAAAACCTCAAATCATCTTAAAAGCTGTCATTTGAAAATAAAATTTATGCTTAAAACAGTATTTGTAAAATACTTGAAATCAAGATACTAGTTTTTTCTCCATTACTAAACAACTGTTTATTTTTTAAAATTTATTTTCTTACATTGGTGTCCATTTTTGTAGAGTAACTGGTTTCTCCCCTCAGGCATAGTCCTGTAGTTCCCACCACCATCTCACATATGAACCATCACGAGTCTCTTGTGCTCTTCCCTTCCCTGTTTTAACCCCCCCACCCTCCCCTTCCCTTGTGTATGCCTCCGATTTATGGTCAGCTTGCAAGTTTTGTCTTTTTTCTTGCTCTTTTGTTCAGTTTCTCTATATTCCACATATAAGTGACACCATCCAGTGTTTATCTTTTCCCTCCTGGTTCATTTCTCCTAGCATAATCCCTTCCAGCTCCATCCATGTTACCACAAATGTTATGAGTTTATCTTTTTTTATTGCTGGGTAGTATTCCATTGTGTGTGTGCGTGTGTATGTGTATGTGTATGTGTGTGTGTGTGTGTGTGTGTGTGTATATACACACCACATCTTCTTGCCCCATTCATCTGTTTGGGAGTGTTTAGGTTGGTAAATATCTTGGTCACTGTAAACAGTATTGCAATAATTATAGGAGTGCAGGTTTTCTTTTGGATTAGTGTTTTTCTGCACTTTGGGTGGATTTCTAGGAGTGGAACTGCCATGACATATCATAGATCAATTTTTAGTATTTTCAAGAACCTCCACACAGCTTTCCATAGTGGCTGGACCAGTTTACATTACAACCAGCAGTGTAAGAGCATTCTAAAGGTATTACTTAAAGGACATTATATCACCCGTTTAAAGACAGTTAAAATATAAATTTCATGTTATGTCTACTTTACAAATATTTATACATAATCACAAAGTACAATAATTTTTAAAAAGAAGTAAAAAAATCTAAAAAACCACTACAAATAATCTAGTATCATTAAATATCCTCTAATTTTTAAAAGTTGAACCGCTCAAAGGGAATACAAAATTAGATAACACATAAAACATATATGTACAGACACAAAGAATGAATGGAACACACAAACTTATTTTAATCATACGGAAAGATGGATTTCCCCTTTAAATATTTATTATGGAAAACAACATTTTCCAAATCAAAGAATAATGTATAATGAACATTATATGTATAATGAACATATTTAGAGCTACTGTTTTAATCAATATACTACTTCCGATGAGCAAAAAGTAAAACTTTAGTTGCTTAGTAAATAAGTCTTTCTCATAAAGAGTCATTTATTCTCATAACTTTTTAGGAAGATGGGTAGGGACTTTTATTTTGTGAACAACATAAAGCGGAGTCCTTCTTACCCTTTTTCCCTTTCCTGAATGATTCAATCCTAAAGTCAGTAGTCAGAAGAGAACAAGGTTCTGCAGGGGTAGAAGGCAAGAGGGTCAAGAGCGGAGTCAGAAGCTGAGTGACATGAAAAGGGTGGTCTATATGGGGAGTCAAAGCCCAAGTGGGACAAAAAAGATCTCTATGGGAATGGTCCTACACAGGTCGTGAGCCTGAACAAAGTGAGGGAGCAATGTCACAGAGAACATAGTTGAAAGAAAGTAAAAAGGATGTGGAGGAAGAATAACTTGACTTTCAGAGTCACAGCCCAAGTAAGATAAGAAGGACATAACATGAGGAAGGAGTCACAGTGGTTATGCGAGTTGGGTTAGGGAGTAGGAATCATCAAATCATTAACAATATTAAAGAAAACGTTACTTGTCTGAGAAGTTCCAAAAGAGAAAACTAGACTAAATTTTATGTTGCCAAACTGAAATTAGAAGAATCAGTATGAACTACTGATTAATTGCTTATAATTTATGATACATATATACTGTTGTATATATATTGAAATAAACATACATGTAAAATATATGTATTTATCTACATCTACTTACATATTCCTTAGAATTATTCCTTAGAAGGAGGAAAATCTGAATAGCAATGAACATGCCTAATACTAGAGCTTGTTTTCTAAATAACTTTCCTCCTTGGTACCTGCACCCCTATTTTTAATCCAGCACTATTTATAATAGGTAAGATATGGAAACAACCCAAGTGCCCAAAAATAGATGACTGGATCAAAAAGATGTGGTGTATATATACACAATGGAATACTATTCAGCAATCAAAAAAGATAAACTCATGCCATTGGCAGCAACATGGATGAAGCTAGAAGGAATTATGCTCAGTGAAATTAGTCAGAAGGAAAAAGAAAAATATCAGATGGTTTCACTTATAGGATGAATGCAGGGGAGGCAAATAAGGGATTGGGGGAAAATTATAATAATAAATAAAAAATATTAACAGGCAACTATAAATCAGAGATATTCTGCAGGGGAGGGGCAGGGAAAGGGATCAAAACAGGGGAGGGAAGAGCACAAGGGACTATCGCGATGGTGCACAGGTGATTTGGTGGTGGGAATTTTATAGGGATTACATGTGAGAAGAGAAAGCAAACACTGTACAAAAATGAACAATGATATAAAGTATATATAAAAAAATTATAAAATATAAAGAATTATACAGATTTATCTCTCAGCAATAAAAATAAATGAATAAAATAACTTTTCTCCTTGGATAAATAGCTGATTCCGAGGCTGTGGCAGGGAAAAGACAAGATGGTCCTAAAACATCTTGTTCCAGAAAACATAAAAGAGCTCCTAGACTGATGGAGACATATCAAAAGACACAAAAATGTGTGAAGAGGTTCATCGCGGCCCAATATGGGACAAAGTGAGCACCAAAACAAATGATTGTAACAGACTGTAACTCTGAGTAAAATAAAACTTCATGAGTACATACTGATATAAATAACAGATTTAAATTTGATAAAGAACAGAGCATTTATGTGGTCTCAAAACGCCTCCACGCAAAATACTTAATAATTATAAAGAGAAAGAAAGTAACTTTGCAATGAAGTAAGGCAGACACCACCTTCATCAACTGATCAAATCATCATTATCAATAATGGAATAAATCAATATCAGGTGATCTAATCAAATATAACAAAAACACAGCAGCATTTCCATGTTCTTTATGCCAAAGACACACAACCTGAATTTAATCATCAGGAAAAATCAGAGAAAGCTAACTCAAAAGAATATTCTATAAAATAACTGACATGTAATAGTCCAAAATATAAAGGTCATAAGAGTCAAGGAGCTTTTCCAGATTGAAGGAATCTAAAGAGAAATGAAAACTAAGTGTAGTATGTGATTCTGAACTTACCTTTTGATATAAACAACATTATTGCGACAATCAGAAAAACCTGAATAGGGCTGTAGATTAAATATTAGGGATTTATTTAAATGTACTGCTATACAGCCTGGGTTTTTCAAAACTGTATTGACACTTTACAGTATTTCATGCCAGGTCTAAATTTTGTTTTTGCTTGAACATCTCCTTTGAATCTTGAATTTTAACAATGGATAATTGAAATAAGTATCATATAAAGGATAAAAATAGGGGTGAAGGTGATCAAAAGGTACAAACTTACATTTATAAAATAAGGGGCTGTAATGTGCAGCATGATGATTATAGTTAATAACACTGTATTGCATATTTGAAAGTTGTTAAGAGAACAGATTGTAAAAATTCTCATCATAAGAGAAAAATAATTTGTAAATATATGTGGAAAAGGTGCTTACTAAACATAAGTGATCATTTTGCAATATAAACAAATACCAGACCACAATGTTGTATACCTGAAACTAATGTTATATATCAAATATATGTTGACTTAATATAAGAGAACAAAAATAATTAATTTTTGTTAATTATTTACAAAATTACTTAATTCCTCAGAATTAATATATCCCTCCATTAATTCAGAGGAATATATTTGGATTGAAAAGAGCAAGGCTTTCTATACCAGTTTAGGTTATAAATGAAAAACATCTTTAAACTAATTCATGAACTACGAGGCCCTTTCAAAACCTGGATATTCCATGGGGAAATTAAAATTAATATTCTCACTATACATATAACTTCATTCTAGTTCATTTGTATCATAGTGCTAGAATGAACATATCCATCAGACAGAACATCAGGCATGGTTAGGTATTAGCAAGCAAAATGAGGCAGAAATCAAACTAATAAAATTTCAAGTAATTTACCAATTTATTCTCCCCTGCAGACTTTAACTTCTCCTGTAGTTTTATGGTTGTCTGTCGGATCCTTTCTATCTCCTCCTGCTGTTTAAGAATCAATTGTCTTTCCTTACGAGCTGCTTTATTTGCTTCTTGAAGACGTTTAATTTCTGCCTAAGGTTTAAAAAGTCAGGAGAGGGACTGATATTTAAAGGAGGTAAGTCCAAAGCAATATTTTCAAAAGAATACACAACCATCACTCATAAAAAAATTACACACTATTTCAAGATAAAAGTATGAGCACTGAAAAACTTTGAAGTATCAGAGGAGGAAAAGTCACATAATTGCATCACTCTAAAAGAATTTAACATGATCCTTTATTTTAAATTATTATAATAATAACAGCTGATAATTTCACATCCCTCTTTTAAATTTAACATACTCTTCATATTTCCCATAGTGCTATTCAGTTTTTACACTTAATTAATAGTTGCTTATCAATTAAATTTGTTACTTAATCATTATTTTGCTGTTAAGCTCTTGGGTTCTTTATAATGTTTCACCATCCCAAATTACATTTTAAATGCCTACAGTTGTTTCAGGGTATGAATCAGTTCCTTAAGAGAGATCCCAAAATAAACAAATCAAAGAGGATGAATTATCTTATCGCCCTCAGAAGTTATAAAAATTGCTTTAAAAAAATTGTCCTCATGTAAAATGACACTATAATTATTTGAGACTACATTACACCAAACTCTTTCTACATTTGATATTAAGATTTCTGTTGGTTATTAAGTGAGTAAAAGATGAAACACTTCACTGTAAATAATTTTTATAATGTTAACATTGTCCCTTTTTTCCATAAATTTGCTTTAATCTGTGTTCTTGTCAATAAAGTAAGCATAATAATGACATTAATAACATAATTTGTTTTAATTATGTTTGAGATTTTATGAAACTATGAAAAGGCAGAAAAATATATAATAAACAGCTATATTCCAAAAAACTGCATTATTTTACATACTAAATAAAGACAGAAGATTTGACTATGTAGTGCATTAAGCAGTGACACACAGCCCCAACTTAGGAGAAATATGGTTGACTACTAAGCAAATCCTGTAATTATAGTAAGAGGCATATAAAGAGAAATCAACTAAATTTCATTTAAAGGCAATAGGAAGAAAAAGAGAGTAGACAAGATAATAGATTCCACAATCTAACCTGCCTTTTAAGTTCTCTTAAAGGAATGTTTTTCCTAACATACCTTTTCTTGCTGCAATCTTAAGAGCAAACCCCGCTGTTTCTTCCTGAGAGGGGGCATTTTATCATCTTCTCCTTTGTCTCGTAGATGCCTGCAAGTATTTCCCAGTGAAAGAAAGTTTAGGTCAGATTTCTATTCTAATTTCAAGAATTCTTGATCACCAATAAGTCTCTAAACCAATTTAACGTTTTAAATGTGGAAAAGTTACTACATGTAGCAATTCCTATCCCAACAAATAATTCTACTGAGTGTGTAATAGATACAAATCCTAGACTATCCTTTAAGGACAAAATAACTGAGAAAATTACAATATAGTAAAAGAGTTAAGTATAAAGTGATAACATAAGGGAAGAGTCAGTTAAGTGATAAAAGACCAAAGTTATATGGGTAATAATTCTTCTTGAAATCAGCATGAATGAAAGATTACTACCTATTTCTAGTCTGAGAAGCTGGATTGATCAAATCAAATTAAATAAAAACGCTTCTTTAAAAACAAGATATCTCCATTTACTCAAAGGAGAAATTGAGCATTGAAAACTACATTCACTGAAAGAACTTACTTTTTCTGATGCTCTAGCCAGGCTAATTCAGCCTTTGTTTTCTCCTTCAAGGCCTTTTCACGGAGACGCAAGAGTGAAGACTGGTGAGCTGCTCTCATTTCTTCCTCTTTCATATACTGTCGAACCATCTCCATGGTAAATTTAGAAAAGCTATCTTGTCCTCCTGAGAATGGCATGCTCAACTCCTAAAGTAGAGGGTTTATTTCAAGATTATCATCCCCTAACCTTTCGGGTACTTAGCATCGTCAAAAGAGGTATGTTTATAAAAAAAAAAATCATATATATATATCAAAAGGCTGCCAACCACATAAGATTAATTCTTCAGAAAAGGCACATGAGAAGTTAACATTTATCTGCTAATTTACTCAACCAGTAAAATTTTAACAAACAACTATTATTAGCTCTGTGTACTATTCCAGGGATATAAAGTAGAATAAAAATTTATCCCTTTTATGCAAATCAAAACCATGAGGAGCTATCACCTCACCTCTGTGATAAAGGCCCATATCAAAAAGAATGGAATCAACAAATGCTGACGATGTGGTGAAAAAGGAACTCTCCAATTGATACAGCCTCTTTGGAAAACAGCACAGTGATTTCTTAAGAAAATAAAAATGGAAATTCTGTATGATCCAGCAATACCTCTACTGGGTATTTGTCCTAACATGAAAAGATTTATGTATGCCTATGTACACAGCAGCACTGTCCACAAATCATGGGCTCAACCTGAGTGCCTTTCAACAGAATAATGAATAAAGAAATGATGACATATATACACAATGGAATACTACATGGCGATGAAAAAGCTGAAATAGTGGCTTTTGAGACAATATGCATGTACCTTGAGGTGATTATGTTAAGTGAAATAATAATAATTTTACTCATCTGTGAAATATAAATTAAAAAATACACAGGCAAAATACAGCAGAAATAAACCTTGAACTGAAAGAATTTGATTACTAAAGAGAAAAGGGGGTAGGGAGAAGGGTATGAGAAGAAAGGAGGAGGGGTTTGTGGCACAGGTGATTTGGTAGAGGGTGAATGAAACACATGCACATATGGAAGAGCAAAACCGTAAACCCAAAATTAAAAAAATAATTTCTCCCAGTTATCCAAAGGGCTAAAAATTTAGTAAGAATAATGATATAAATGTAAAATTTTAAATGGAATAAAGTATTAAAAGAGTGAAGCAAAAGACAAAGTATCAGAGATAACACTGGCTCAGATCCTCAAAAGCCATAAATGTATTATTCCAAGGAATAAATGTGTATTCTACTTTGAAGTCTTTTTTATAGAGGCATGTTTTATTTATTTATTTGTTTGTTTGTTTGTTTGTTCTTGTTTATACATGCACTGGGTACAGTCAGAAGCACGGGAGGGTGAGAGAATTCACCAGAGCCAGAGTGGGGAGCAGAGCAGGCAGAAGGACCGAAGTACACTGCTGAGGGGAGCAGCAGGCGGCAGGAGAGGTCTGCGCACCATGTGGGACCCTCCTCCGGTGGCCGGGGAGCAGCCGGGGATCAAACCGGCACCACAGAGGCCGCGGGCAGCTTCCCAACCCAGCGCTCAACTGCTGCACCACCGGGGAGGCCCGTGTATTCTACTTTGAAAGGAAAACAAAGCCAGTTTCTATAGCAAAAATACAACATAAAATTGTTATTTTAGCAAAATCATTTTTGGTAGCTAACAACTGAGTTCAACTACAAAATGTACCTCACATCTTTGACAGAACCTACCCACAAATATTTTTTAAGTACCTCATAAATAAACTGAAACACACCTTGGCAGAAGACAGTGTAGACTTTTCTGGGGAAATTTCTTCATCAGAGTCATCATGATGGCCTCTTTTCTTTTCCATGTTAAATCGGCGATGACTCTCAGAAGGTAATAAAGATCGAAATGATTTTTCTTCTATTTCATCTTCTGTCATGGATTCATCAAATTTCAGAGAATATTCTGTTGCAATAGAAGTTGAATCTAAAAAATAAGGAGAAAGTAGATTTTTTTCATTAGAACAGTATTTAATAGGTATTCTACTAGTAGCCCTGGCTGCCTCTTAATGGGACAATCTAAGAGAAATTTATGTAACTATTTGCTAGCAATTAACAGGCCTGGAATAATAAACAAAATTCACTTACCTTACGAAAAAGAAAGTTTAAAAATATCTAGAAATACTAGTATAAGAAATATGGTAAAAAGCTAATGTACTCACATATAAAATGCTCTTACAAATTAATTAGAAAACTACTAATACCCCTAAGGAAAATAATAGTCATGGTCAGATACTTCACAAATGAACTATAAATGACCAAAATAAAGTCTAAAAAGTTTAACACTACTAGCTATCAAAGAAACATAAATTTAAAAAATTTAGAACTTATACTTCCATGTTTAATTAAATATAAACAGCCCTTTTATGTTCCTGTCTGGTTCCTGTCTGCCTCTGACATCCCTTCTCCACCCCTTCCACTTTCTCCAATCCTTTTGTTTATGAACACTTCATACTTTCTGGTACTACAGATGCTCCAGGCTCATTTTGTATTTTCTCTGCCTAGTCCTAAAATTAGTCATTTCTCCAAAGAGCTATGGTTTTTGATTTCTGGTTTTTTTCTTAGAGAATATTTAAAAACCACAATCTGGGCACTGGCTGTCATTATTATTACTGGGGCATAGAAGCTTCTTTACTCTCTCAATGCACGTAGATAGGTATTATATCCATGAATACTAACATATATATGGCCTCACACACTACACGTGCACGTGTGCACACACGCACACATTCTCTTTCCGCTTCCTCTCTCTTTCTCACACACACACACAAATTATTCCTATAATCCAGTACCACAGGATTCATTCTAGCCTCCCTTTCTTGTTCATCTTTAACTTCCCCTCCAACACTGAGAAAGCTGGATTCCACCACCCAGCATCCACTCACTTACTTGTTCAATCCCAATATATATGTCAAGAACAATCAACACTTTCGTGAAAAACTAATTTACCAAGAGGATTGTGCCTACAGACTGTTCTATTTTTAGGCTTACTATTTCCACTCAAAAAATTTCTTTTTTTCCAGTTACTAAGGTTAGCTTCTTTCCTCTTCACTTCCCTTAGTGCGGTTATACCATACATTTGAATCATTTGTCAGAGGCTGCCTTCCTTCCTGGTATCCTCCAACGTCCTTGTTGATGTGTGTCTGTTTATTTTGCATATGTTGAGGTTTGTTCTTTGTACAGTTTTGGGGATTTAAAAAAAGCACAGCATCATTCAGAACCACACAGAACATATTTGACATAACAGTTCTTTCACACTAAAAGTTCCCTGTACATCCCCTTTGTAGTGAACTACTTCTTCACCTAATGCCTAAAACTATTAATCTGTTTTCCATCCCTACACAGTTTTGCCTTTTCCAAAATGTCACATAAACTGAATCATACAATATGTAATTTTGGGGGGCTTCTTTCACTTAGTAAAATGCACTTAAAATCCATCCACATTGTTGCATGAATCAATAGTTTGTTCATTTTAATCAATAGTTTGTATATGGATTTGGCAATTTGTTTATCCATTTCCCTCATTAAGGACATTTTCTTTGCTTTCAGTTTTCAGTAATTATAAATAATGCTGCTGTGACATCAGTGCATACATTTCTGTGTATACATAAATATTCTAATCATTTGGGTAAGTACCTAGGCATTTGATTGCTGGGTTATTGAAAGACACTGAAAATGTCTTTCAAAGGGGCCACTCTATTTTGCATTCTCATCAGCAATGAATACGAGCTCCTATCACTCTGCATCCTTGCCATTAATTTATTCAATTTTTTGGATTTTAGTCATTGTAACAGGCATGTTACAATATCTCACTGTGATTTAAATTTTCATTTCCCTGTAACATATATGATATTGAAAACCTTTTCCTATGTGTACTTCCTATGTCTACTTATTTTGCACTTTCTTCAATGAAGTATCTGCTCAGGTCTTTTGCATATTTCTTAACTGGGTTGTTGATCTTCTTGTTTTTGAGTTTTAAGCATCCTTCATATATTCTTGAAGTAAGTCCTTTACTCGATATGTGATTGGGAAATATTTTCTAACAGTTTGTCACTTATCCTTTCACTCTCTTAATAGTGTCTATTACAGAGAAGTTGTTGTGTTTTTTTTTTAATTTTGACATAGTACAACTTATCAGTTTTTTCCTTCATGGATTATACTTTTGGTGTTGTACCAAAGAAAGATGACCTAGGTTTTCTCCTACGTTTTCCCTTATATACAGTTTTTTACTTTTTAAATGGTTTCATGTCTTTGAATCTTGGTTACCTTGTGTCTGGAGAGCTTTGGACTCTCCAGACTTCTAACTCTAGTTCTTCAACTCAGGGAGACTGCTAGGCTTAAAGGTCTAGGAACTCTCTCCAGGAAGTTAGCTAGGATAATCACAGTGCTTATATCTCGTTCATCTCATCTGTTTTTTGGCTCTCACGAATTAATACTAAGTACCTGATGTCCAATGTCTTATTTTTTTATTTATTTAGACTTTTATTTATGTATGCATACAAGAGCTGGGATACAGGTCAGAGATGCTGGGGTGAGAGGATTCACCAGAGACAGAGTAGGGAACAGAACAGGCAGACTGAAATACACTGCTGAGGAGAGCAGCGGGCGAGACTGGAGAGGTCTGCTTCGCCATGTGGGTAGCTCCCTGGCCAGCCAGGGATCGAACTGGTGCTGCAGAGGCTGCGGATTGCTTCATAGTGCTGTGCTTAACCCCTTGCACCACCAGGGAGGCCCTGATGTCCAATGTCTTAAATATAGTTATTTCATACGTTTTTGTCTGATATTTTAGGATGAAGGTTAAGTCTGATCACAACCTTCCACTGTGGCCAGAAGTAGAAGTTCAAGTAATTTATTTTTTAAATAAGTTAAATATATCGAAAAGTCACTGTTCATGACATTTTAAATCAATCACTTGACAATTATTTATTCAGTTATTGTAGGCACCATTGGCAAGCACTTAAGATACAGCATTAAACAAGTCATACAAGGTCACTATCTATCCTTCTGAGGTTCACAAACACTATCAATAATTAAATTTGTCATCAGTACTTTAAATACAAATGCTAGTAAGATAAAATTTTGTACAGGTTACATTAGTCCCATAGGAGAAATTAATAAGCAATTTCTCCACTACTGACCTGTATCTGTTATTTCTCCCATGAGGTAAAAGTTGTCATTGATTCTAAAATCAATCTCATTAGTCTCTAATCCAGCAGTTCTCAAAATATATTTGATTTTGTATATCAGTAAAAAACACGAGCATGCCCTCATAATATTTAGTCTGCTTGGGCTGCCACAAAAGATCACCACAAATTGGGTGCTTAAACAAAAAATTATTTTCTCACAGTTTTAAAACACTAGAAATAAAAGATCAAGCTGCTAGCAGGTCTGGTTTCTACAAGCTAAGAATGGTAACCTCTTAGCTTCTCGTTGTGTCCCTAGAAGGCCTCTTCTCTGTGCAATTGTTCTTCTGCTGTCTTTTCTTCTTCTCAGGACACCAGTCCTCCTGGATGAGCGGCTCACCCTTATGACCACACTACAAGTAACCTTAATTTCATCCTTATAGATGCTATTTCCAAATAACACTCACAATGGAAGTTAGAGCTTCAACATGATAGTTTTTTGATAATCTAAAATCTTTATATTATTTTTTCATATTTACCAAGTCAGGAAATATCTATACATCTTATATAAAATGATAAATGGAAAGAATGAAAACTAGATAAAATAGCATATGTCTTTTTAGAACATAAGAATTTTGAAGGGACACAATTCAGTACTTAACATTCCATTCTCCGGCTCCCCAAAACTCATGTCCTCCTACTATGCAGAATGTATTTATTTCATCCCCATAGCTTCAAAGTTCTTTTTTTTTTTTTTAAGATTTATTTATTTATACAAGCACTGGAGTACAGGCCAGAGGCATGGGAGGGTGACAGAATCCACCAGAGACAGAGCAGGGAGCAGAACAGGCAGAAGGAACAAAATACACTGCTGAGGGGAGCAGCGGGCGAGACAGTAGAGGTCTGCCACGCCATGTGGGGATCTCCCCGGCCAGCCAGGAATCAAACCGGCGCCGTGGAAGCTGCAGACAGCTTCACAGCACTGCGCTCAACCCGCTGCGCCACCGGGTAGGCCCAGCTTCAAAGTTCTTTACTCATTCCAGCATCAACTCCAAAGTCTTACTTAAATATCACCTAAATCAGGTATGGATGAGATGCAAGGAATGATTCAATTAGACACAAGATTTCTTTCTACCTGTGAACCAAGACTAATTATGTTCTTCCAAAATACATTGGTAGGACAGGCACAGAATATAAAATCCTATTCCACAAGGGAAAACATAAATAAGAACGGGGATAATGTGTCTCAGACAAGTCCAGAATACAGCATGGAAAATTCCATTTGCTCTTACGGTCGGAGAATAATTCTCTTTGGCCCGATGTTCAGACCTCCAGGGCTTATTGGGGTGGTGGCTATGTTTTCCAGGCCCACAGAGGTGGCCTTGCTCAGAGGAGAACGCTTTGCACATTGACCTTTGTGCTCCTGACTTGTGATTATAGCAGTTGCCTTGTTGACCTCTGAATCACCTTCGGGATCATTCTTCCCTCTTTTTTTTTTTTTTAAGTTTATCTCCTTTCTTTTTTTCTTTTTTTGAAGATTTATTTATTTATACAAGAACTGGGGTACAGTCAGAGGTGCAGGAGGGTAATAGAATTCACCACAGACAGAGCAGGGAGCAGAACAGGCAGACAGACTGAAGACACGGCTGAGGGGAGCAGCAGGAGCAACAGAAGAGGTCTGCCGCACCATGTGGGAATCCCCGCTGGCAGGCCAGGAATCAAACCAGTGCTGCAGAACCCACTGCACCACCAGGGAGGCCCTCATCCCTCTTCTTTTTTTTTTTTTTTTTTTTCTCGGTATAAATGAATTAAAATTTATTAGCCATAGAAAAAAATTGATTCTTCAAAATCAATTCTTGTTAAGTTCCCTATAAAACAATAAGCTTACAGAAAATTTCTCATGAACAGAAAATCACTATGCTTTTGGTCCAAGATATGTTGGTTTTTTTTCCTTTCTTCTTCAGATGACAGACAGATGGATGGAGCTGAATCTATGAATGAGTGTACTTGCCCCAAATGTGCAACAAAAATACAGAAGCGATGAACAGAAGACTCATAACCAATACTGGAACGGGGACAACTTTGAACCCAGGCGAATCTTCTGTGTAGAATCGCCACATCCCCCCAGTGCCTGCTGAGGTCGTGCGGCCTGCGCTCCTTGTTCCGCAGCTGGCATTTTTCCTCTGCCGGACCATGGATCCACTGCTTTGCTAGGAGAGCGCCCTGAGGAGCCAACGTTAGTGCCACTGGGGGTTGGACCAGGCATGCTGGAAGCAGTGGGGTGGCAGAAAGCTGAGAAGACTCCTCATCCCTCTTCTTAAAAGTTAAAGCATGTTTACATCTGAATAGCTCTATTGTCTCATCCTGTAGAATCCTAGAAGTCTGAAAGCCTGCCTTCATTCCTTCTCAGTCCCCTTCAGAGCAAAATGGCAGTGTCTCTAAACCCATCTCTAGTCCCATCTTCTGCTGAGATGGTGTATTAATTCCATGTGTTATTACTTCAGGGAGTGACTGTCTAGCAACACATCTGATAGTCTCTCTAGAACACGCATTCTCACTTTTTACAATAAGTTGAGAGCTTTCCAAATCTTCAAGTTCTGGTTTCTTTTTCTTAACAATTCATTCGATTTATCTCTTCTCTCACATATTACTATAAGCAGTAAGGAGAAACTAGGCTATGGTATCAACATTTTGATTAGAAATTTTCTCAGCTAAATATCCAAGCTCATCACTTTTAACTTCCACTTTCTACAAAACACTATAAAGCAGTTCAGCCAAGTGTTGGCCATTTTTTAACAAGGCCCACCTCTCTTCCAGTTTCTAATAAAATGTTCCTCATTTCCATCTTCATCAAACATCAGAATCACCTTTAAAGTCTGCATCTTCAAGGCAATGTAGACTTTTTCTACGATACACCTCAAAAATCTACTGGTCTTTTACTCATTATCCAGTTCGAAACCATCTCCACATTTTTACTATTTGTTATAACAGTTTTCCACTTTTAGGAATCAAGATTTATTATTCAGCTGGGCTGCCATAACTATATACTGCTATACACATACATTATATTCATTACAAAACTTACCAAGTATCTTAAAAGATTGAGAAAAATTAAGATATTTTCTTCTTGCAATCCAAAGTCTGTATTGCCCATCCTGCTTTGAAGACTACAGTTCTACACAATCAATTAAAAACATTGCTTAAGAGCAAGATATTAAAAAGAAAAATTTGGGTCCTCCCTGGTGGTGCAGGGGTTGAAGTCTCAGTGCTATCAGGCTGTTGCCAGACACTACGGCATGGGCTCGGCCCCCAGCCACAAGCCAGTCCACATGGCGCTATAGACCTCTCCTGTCTCGCCCACTGTTCCCCTTAGCAGTGTATTTCAGTAGATCCATCTGTTCTGATCCCCACTCTGTCTCTGGTGAATCTTCTTGCCCCCCACACTTCTGGCTACACCCCACTTCTTGTATGCATAAATAAATAAATCTTTAAAAAAAAAAGGAAAAACAAAAATTTAGAATGGAGTCTGTTAATATTCTGGCTTAATGTATTAAAGGTATCATTTGTTGCCAGATTATAATTCTTACTTATGTTATTTACTACCCATGATTTGGTAAGAATATAGCTTTTATTTATAATCTAGGTAAAGTAATGAATTTTAATATAGTAATTATAGCCAATGTTATAAAAAAACTGTAACTTTATAATATTGTTTACAATATAGTTTTTTTTTTTATGAATTTATTTATTTATTTGTTTGTTTGTTTGTTTGTTTATACATGCACTGGGTACAGTCAGAAGCGCGGGAGGGTGAGAGAATTCACCAGAGCCAGAGCGGGGAGCAGCGGGCAGCAGGAGAGGTCTGCGCGCCATGTGGGACCCGCCTGCGGTGGCTGGGGAGCAGCCGGGGATCGAACCGGCGCCGCAGAGGCCGCAGAGGCTTCGCAACCCAGCGCTCAACTGCTGCGCCACCGGGGAGGCCTGTTTACAATATAGTTTTAAACGATGTGCTCTTCTTTTTACATATCTGTAGGATAATAGTTTCACTTAGATAGATTCAATATCATACATAATCTTATCTTCAATACCACCATATTCTAATTATACCAACTGGCTCGGCTACAGGTATCTCAAAAGGTTCTGAAATCTTCCTAAAACATGTATGTACAAAAAAAGTTACCTTTCTCATCAGGAAGAGATGGTGCACTATCACTTCGTAGAGAATCGTCTGCAGCAGTCTGTACTTGCTCGTCAATAGAACTCTCCAGCTTTTCACCATGAAGTTTCTTCTCATTTTCCTTAGATAGAACTGAAGGACTTTCTTGACGGCTGCTACCACTACTGTTCATGGATATTATAGAAATAAATACACAAAAAAATAAAAAAAAAACAAAAAAACAAGGATCATAACTTTATAGAGTAAATTTATTTGGCCAAGAGAATATGCCTTATGACTAAGATGTAAAATGAAGAAAGATGTAATAGAAAACATAAAGTGCTTTTGTAGACAGAAGTCTGAGAAGAAATTTTTATAAAAGATGAGTAGGGAGAGGAGAAGAATGTTTCACCTTTAAACAATCATGATGGGCAATCACTGTCCTTAGGTTATCATTCCCCTTTTTTATTTTAAAATCAAATTTCTGAGATAAGGGGATTCTACTCACTGTTTTCACTTCCTTACTTTTCATCAACATCATGATTTCCATCCCAGCTGCTCACCTCTGTTTTTATAAACTCTACCTAAACTTCTAATTGCCAAATCCAGTAGGTAATCTATTTTCTCTGCAATATTAGATGGTGTTGACATATAGCTCCTCCTTTAAAAGTTCTACTTGCAAACGTAGATGCAACAGAATGCTAGCATTAGGGTAATCTGGTGGAAAGATATTCGGGAACTTTGTATTACTCTTGCAACACTTATGCAAGCTTTGGAGGTACAACTATGACATGGTCCTTATCAGAATGGATATAATTAAAAAAGGCAAACAATAACATGTTGGATGTGGAAAATTTTATATTCTTGGTGGGAATGTAAAATAGAGTACCTCCTTTGTTAAACAATTTGGCAATTCTTTAAAATGCTAAACAGAGTAACTATATGACCCAGAAATCCCACCACCTAAGAGAAATGAAAACATAGGTCCACACATATGTCCACACAGAAATGTAAATAGTAGAACTACTCCTTACAGTCAAAAGTGGAAACAATCCAAATGTCCATTAATGATGGATAAATAAAATGTGGCATATCCAGACCATCAAATATTATTTGTCAAAAAAAGGAATAAACTACTGACACATGATAAATGAAAACACTACACTAAATCAGAGAAGCCAGTCACAAAGGACTATACACTGTATGACACCACTTGTATGAAATGTCCCAAATAGATAAACTCATTGTGAACAGAGATAGAAAGCCAATTATTGGTTGCCACAGGCTGGGGAGAAGGGACCTAAGAAACTGATATGTAGAGGGAGAGAATTATGAAAATGAAACCCTCAATAAACTTCTAAACTCATCTATAATTGTCAAGTAAAGGAACAGGATATAGAAGGTGGTAATGACTAATATATTTAAGTGCTGTGAGAGGATACAGAAGGGATACCTAAAGCAGACTAGATTTTTGAAGGGGAAGTAAAAGGTAAATAAATGAAAAGGAGGTTGAAAGTTCTAGAATGAAGTCATATTACAGGCAATCGCAGAGAAACAAAGAGCTTGGCTCTTTCAGAGAACTGGAAGTAAAAATTAGTGGAGTATCCTAAGAGGGGAAATGTCAACAGACAAGACTGGAGACAGACCAACGTTCAATTAAAGGGACTTTCATGTTACACTAAGTGGCACTGAGAGAACACTGAAGGTTTCAAGCAGGTGAATTCAACTGGCTATAAATTTTTTTAAAATCACTCTAGTTATATAGTTAATGAAGAGTGGGAAAAGGTTAGCGAATAGGGAAGACCTACTAGGATCTCACTGCAGTAACATAGATGATGACCTAAATGGAGTAAGTTTCAACAAAGGTATCAGTGAAGTTAATGAAAATCACATAGTTCCAGACACACAGTAGGTACTCAGTAACTACTGGTATTTACTCCACATTAATTGTCATGTATTTTATTTTTCATGATTTTTTTTAAATTGAGATTTTACTACACTATGACAATATAGGTATTCTACACTTCTAAGAATGCTAGGAATTCTAAGAATGCTAAGAATGCTACACTTCTAACCTCTAGAATCTTCTGATCCAAGAACAGAGCCACAATTAAAAATTATAGCTGTTACTACAGCACAAGTACCAATGACAAAACACAAATCTTCTTTTGTTACAATAAAGATTAGTACATAAAGTAATGTCAAAAAATAAGGGTATCAGCAAAGCAATGTACAATAAACACAGGCTTCAGAACTACACAGATAAACCAATTTTTAACTCCATGTTGTGCCACTATATGTGACATTGGGTGAGTTTAACATCTCCATTAGCCTCAGTTTCCCTATCTAAAATGATGAAAACATCTGATCTGAAGATTAAATTTATGAAAAACAATGTATATACTGCCAGTACAATATAGGCTCTCAAAGAAAGATTGCTAGAATTTTATATGGCTTAGTAACATTGTAAGTCAGCTAATTAAATGAGGGAATCCAGAACTTTAAAGAGCAGACACTGTTCCACTTAAAGAAATATTAAGAAGTCAAAAACAAAGAGCAAGATTTAAGCCATTTATCAGACTTTACTAAATTGAACTGCTTTTACCTTCTGTCATGATTTTTGTATCTTGAAGATTCAGAATAACTATCATATGAAGGGGAATACTTCTGATGCTTGGAGTCAAGAGTCCCTTCTTTACTCTGAGAGAAGGAAACAGACTGACTTTTCCTATGAAGGAAATTAAAAATGATTAAACATTCCAAATGTCTAATAAGATAAATACTCCTTAATATTAGCATGAGATAAAATTTTGAAAGAATCAGTATTATGAAATCATTGCCACAAAGCATATGAGAAAGGCAATCAGCCTAGAAAAGGGTACCACACATTAAAGTATCTTTTGCTTCATTGTGAGAAATAGACACAATACTCCAAGTATCAACAAATGTGCACAGAAACTTATGAATTAGGGACAAATTGCGATGTAAAAAAAGAGACAGACAAATACGATTTCATCACCTGGCTCTACCTAAAAAATTTTCTGATGACTTTCTATCAATCCTAGGATAAACGGCAAAACTCTTAAGGTTTGCAAGGTTCCACCATGTTCTGATTCTTGCAATATCTTCTTCCTTTCTCAGCCCCACTTTGCTCTCTGTCTCCACTCACGCTGGTCTACATTCATTTTCTCTTATTATTTTTGCATGCATTGATCTGCCTTTTCTTACCTCCTTTATACCACTGACTCCTTTTTATTCGCTAGATCTTACTAGAAGCTTTCTTCCTTAGGAAAACCTTCTCTGACTTTCTTGCATGCCCTTGCTATTCAAATTCCTGTGTTATATGTCTCGGAGACCTAAGTTCCTTCTTCTGTAACACTTCAGTTTATAAGCAGTCATTCATGTAAGTGAATAGCTGATTAAAGTCTATCTTCTCCACCAGACTATACACCCATAATCATATTTCCAATATCCACAATAGTGCATGAGAAATAGTAAGTATCATTATATATTTGCTCAGTTAATATTAACCTATCTGTTTCAGTTCTGGTCCTCAGTTGTTTCATGAAGACTGAAGTGTGTTGCCTCTGGTGGTCATATAGTGTTGCTAGGGGAGCTCCTGAAGCAGTGATGGCATCTGAGATATGAGTTCGAGTCAACTCTGCCATCTAAACATGAACACATACAAGGCAAAAGTAGATTTAAAAAGATAATGTCACAGAAGATCTGAGAGGGAGCATAGTGATCTTAGCTATCTGGATTGAGACCAAGCAAATTCTGCTAACATAGATGAAATATTATAGGTCAGTTATTTAGACTCTAAGTCTCACTGGCTTCCTTATAAAATAAAGCATTGGACCACATGATTTCTAAGGTTTCACAAGGCTGTAACAATCTATGAGTTAAACAAAAAACCTTCCCATTATATAAAAGCAATGGTAAATCAAATATTAAATCTTCCTTTAAGGATCAATACAATTCCTACTTCCTATCTAAGTATTTTCTGATCAACAACATGAAGTACATTTTCCCTACTATTAAGCCGCAATATACAGAGACAGTAGTAAAAGAATTATGCCTTTAACCTCAGTAATAATAAAAGACACTAACATCACAATGAGTAGAAAATGAAACACCTTTGGGCCTCCCTGGTGGTGCAAGGGTTAAAGTTTCAGTGCTATCAAGAAATTACCAGCCACTGCAGCATGAGTTCGAATCCCTGGCCAGGGAGTTAACCCACATGGCGCAGCAGACCTCTCCCTCTTGCCCACTTCTCCCTTCAGCAGTGGATTTCAGTAGCTCCACCTGTTTTGCTCCCCACAATGTTTCTGGTGAATCCTCTAATCCTCCAGCACCTTTGGCCTACACCCCAGTTCTTGAATGCATAAATTAAAAAAAAAAAAAGTAAATACATCTTAAAAAAAACCATGAAACATCTTCATATAAAACAGGACAGAGGTTCTCTGGGACCAAGATTGGAAACTGAATCAAAGGGAATGAGGAAACTTTAAGAGAGTCGAAATTCACCAACTGTATACTTAAAATGGATGCATTTCATTATTCATAAATTACACATCAACAAAATAAAAAAAATTTAAAAAGTATAACCAAGGGAAGAAACTTAAGAGTTCTTCTCCATCTTTTATCTGTCACTAAATCATTCACACATATAACACACTGCAACACAAAACCTCTTCTTGGAAATGGATATGGTCCCCCACTGAAGGTGATTAACTTCCTAAATATGTATTTGCTAGACAGAAACCCATCACTGTTAAGACCAAAGTTATTCACACTGACTAAAAAGAACTACAAAAAAAAGTTTCTCAGAGGCTCTTACTTCACAGATTTGGCGTGCTGCATCTGTGGTGAGGCGAGCAGTCTCTGTTTGCTGAGTGGCTATTTTACAAGTTGCTTCCTGCAGGACTTCAGTTACTTCCCGTTGTGATTTAACAACCTGCTGTAATGATTCCGCATGGACCTGTATATAAAAGAGAGTAAAAAGAAGAGTAATGTTTCAGTCTCTTTCCACCCCCAAAATTTTAAAGTTATAAATTTGTTTCAAGGATAAAATTCCTTGTTAAAAAAAAATACTTGACTACCATTTGGATTTCTTTTTTTTTTTTAAAAGATTTATTTTTATACAAGAATTGGGGTAAAGGCCAGAGATGCAGGGGGTGAGAGGATTCACCAGAGACAGAGCGGAGAAAAGAACTGGCAGACGGACCAAAGTACACTACTGAAGGGAGCAGCGGGCGAGACAGGAGAGGTCTGTCCCGCCATGTGGGTTTCTCCCTGGCCGGCTGAGTATCGAACTCATGCTGCAGTGGCTGCGGATTGCTGCGTCTTAACCCCTGTGCCACCAGGGAGGCCCAGCATTTGGATTTCATGTCTTAGTTTCTAGAGTAAAAATCTGGAATCTTAAAATCATTGCTGGTGACTCATAACTCTACCGCTTGTAACTTTATGTGTCTATAGACAAGTAACTACACCATGTATCTCAATTTCCACTTCTCTAAATCAGGAATAAAAGGAGTTGCTAAAGACTCAAATGACATGAAATTAACCCACAAAGCATAATGTATTAAAAATTACTACTTATACTATTTCTTCTTTACTTTTATATAACTGAAAGAATACTACAGTGAAAGATAGAAATTTTGGATTAAAGAACGATTAACTGCTGCAAAATAAGTTACCTGAGCTGCTTTGTTTCGAGTTTCTTCTAATTGTCTCTGACACTCCAGAGCCTCTTGTTCAGCTTTTAATTTGAAAAGGGCCAAGTCTCTTTCATGACGTTGCTGTTGTGCCTGCAAAATAAAAAAAAATGAGCAACTATTAATTCTAAGGCTAAAATGTTTTAACACAGTGGCTATATTAAACACACCACTATTTTCCCTCACAAATCTTTTGAAGCAACCAGTTAGTCTGAAAAAAAAGACAGTAGATAGGACAGACATCAATCATTATTCCAAATATTTACTGAAAAAAAGCTGCTTTTAAGACTCCTACATTCAATATTACACTGCTGAGAGAAATATTTTAAAACTTAAATAGAAAAGAATTAGAATTAGAAATTGCAATACTATTAAGATATGCATTCTCCCCTAAACTGATTCAGTGTTATTCTAATCAAAATCCCAGCATACTTTTTTGGGGGTGGGGGTGGAGGCAAAAATTGGCAAACTGATTCTAAAAGTTATGTAAAAATGTAAATAAGCTAGGAAGGCCAAAACTATCTTCCAAAGTAATAAAACTACACTCTGATTTCAAAGCCACAGTAGTAATACAGTATAACACTCATACGAAGGATAGAAAAACAGATTAAAGGAAAAGAAGAGGCCCTATAAATATAACCACACAGTTACTTAATTGCTGATAAAGATGCCAAGGTAATTTATGTCTTTTTAAGAAAATGGAACAACTGAATAACTATATGAGAGTATTGATAAATTTTGACTCCTTCCTCACACATAATTAACTAGCAACAGTTCACACACTTAAATGTGAAAGTCAAAATTACCTAAAGTTTTTGGGAAAAATATAAAAGAATATCTTTATTAGAGTATCTCAGGGTAAGGCAATAATTTCGTAGAAAACAAAAGGTACTAGCATGAAAGAAAAAGTTAAAAACTAGATTTTATGAAAGCAAACATCTTTTATTTTTTCAAAAGATAAAATTCAAAAAATAAACAGGCAAGCAAAGGCTAAAAAACAGTATCTGAATCATATCTGAAAAGGACTTGTTTCTAGAATATATAAAAAGCTCTTACAAATTAATTAAAAAAACACAATCCAATTAAGAAATGGGTAAAAGATAAATATTCAAATTATAAAAAATATATAAAACCTCCTACGTCACAATATATTTCTTCACACTCACTAGATACCTTTTCACACTCACTCTCATATATTGTTGCATAAGCACAAGTTGTTACAACTATTTTGGAAAAAAGTATGGCAATTTCTTATAAACATATACTTCACCCAAGCAATTATATTCCTACGTATTAACCTAAGAAAAATGAAAACACATTCAATACAGCAAGCTGCAAAAAAAAATGGTCATAGCAGGAAGGTTTATAATAGCCAAGAACTGAAAATGATACAAATGTATATCAACCGAATAGATAAGCAAATTGTAGCATTTGATGGAGTATCATTAATCATTAATGATATTAGAATCATTAATCATTCCAGATACCATTATACTCTACTGAGGAACACTGTTTAAGACTTTCACTGAATTTTGTTAGCAAATGAGAAGTTCACATCATCTGAAATTCAACAAACACTGGATCTCTTTTCTTTTTGGTACAAAGCATTAAAACAAAACAAAAATATGTCATTTCTGACTTTTCAGTAAAAAGAGAAAATAGTAAGAATGTTTAATTAGCTAATTTCACTGTCAAAAAAGGGAGAGAACATAAAAATGAAGTGTGTTGGAGAGAAAATGATTGTATTATTATTCTACTGCCAAATACTGCATGTTCAGTTCTCCTTTTAGTTCTCTATATAGTGTTGATTTTCCCATAGTCAATTATAGATGCTATGTAGCATTCTATTTTTTTCTACCTGGAATGTTAAAATTTGGGGTTTCATAAAATTCATTATTGAGACTATTTTAGACAGTAAGGAAGTGGGGAAAAAAAAAACCAAAACACAACAACAAAGAAAGCTAAAGAAGAAAACTCCACTAATACCTTTATGATCTGAGCCAGGGACACACTCTCCTGCTGAGCAAGAGAAATCCCCCTAACTCTTTCTACATCTGACAGCTGACGCACCGACTCCTCAATGGCACTCAAGTAATTGAGTTCGGCGGCCATTCGATGCTGGAGGCCAGCAGGAGAAAAGCGTTTAGAACCTAGAAGGCACAACAAATATCACTTGTGAAAAGTTCACATGAAATCACATCTCAGGTTTCTAAAATTTACTTCTCTTTTTAATGGTCAAAAACAAGCCCACTTTCCTCTGTAGGCTACAATGACAGTACAATGTATTCTACTTCTGATATATATGTGTGTGTACATGTGTGTGTACACCTATAAACACTTCAGAGTACACATATAAGGTACATTTTTCCGGCATTTTTTGACTAAAACTGGCAAGATGGGAAATTCACCAATATTGAATTGCTTGTGTTTTTCAGTATTTATTTTCCTGCACATTTTTATTTAATACTTCAAAAAGTAATCACATTCACTTGAAATAACATTTCCCTGTGGTTCAATGAAAAGAAAAGGTATTTTCAGAAAAGAAAAAAAACAAAAACAAAAACCGAGTATGTCATTTTTAAAATTACAATTGTAAGGGTCTAACTTGCCTGGAGTTGAAGTCATATCTGTAGTTCTGCTGGCAGGCAGATCAGTGAAATCAGCATTAGGCTTAAATCCTGTTGTAGCTGAAGGAATTATTACTGACGATTTAGATCTTTCTAACGAAGTTCCTGGAAGGTCAAACTGCAACAATTTCTGAGAACTTGGAGAAAGGGGAGAAGCTGGAGTTTTCTGAGATCTTCCCTTGTCTGACGAGACACTAGAAATTTTGTTTTACCAAGACATCAGAGAAAGGAAAATTACTTCAAGAATCAGCTAAACAATTTATAAAATAGCATGCATTACTTTCTTTATCAACATTAGATATAAAAAGCCACAATTCAAGCATTTACTCATCCAAGACAATCACTACGGTGAATGAATAACTATGAGTGTTCTTTTAATTGCCAGATTTACAATGATCAACAAGTTAGGTATAAACCTTACCCAAAATAAGATTAAAAAAAAAAAACTTCCTTGATTCTATTAACACTTAGCTCTTTTCTCTAAAATGTATACATATCATAAATTAATCACTGTAGTATAAGGCAAAATCCTCTATACTATACTATACTATACTTAGACCTTACAAAGCAATAAAATTACAGTCATATATATGGATAGCAAGGTCAAGCCTATCTTATAAAAATGTCTTAAAAAGGCTGATGTCTAAAATATCATTTTGTATTAAAAATTAAAAAATTACAAAAACAATTCTCCTGTCATTCTTCTAATCTCAGGAGACTCAGAGCAAAAATTTATTTTCATATTAACCATCTCTAAGAACTTAATTTAATATATATTCACTTAGTTCTATCCACCTTTTAATGCTATAGTCTTTCCAAACTTTCTAATAATGTTTATCAAATACCTGCTTATTAGAAACATCTCTTTTTAGTAAAAATGAAGTATTAAAAAAATAAAACAAGTCAGTTATATATGGTCAATGAATAGAGAAAATATTAAGAATGTTTGATTAGCTGATTTAAACACTCATAAAAAAAGGAGAGGATAAAATAAAGATTAAAAACTAGGGTTATGAACAGAACTACAAAGTCTATTCAGGAAATAAAATTGTTAATTTTTTTCTTTTAAATTAATGATACTGTAAATTTAATTAAATGTCAATTACAGTATAAAATGTATATTACTATACCTCACAGAATGCCCAGAAAGATCCTCCAAAGTGCTATCGGTGTCAAGAGTCTGCTCATAATCTTTAACAGAAACTCTGTTACTGGTTCCAGATTTCTTTCCCTGATGAGAGCCACGTTCTGAACTAGAGAGTACTTTTTCCTCATCAAGAAGTGAATTCTGAACATTTCCAGTGAGTGAATCTAGCCCTGTAAAGTAAATGTTACAGAGCTGACTTCCAATATTAGAAGTTACTGACAGATAACAGACTTTAGTAAAATAATAAAAAATAAAGACCAGAACATTTAAAAATTGACTTATTTTTAAAATATACACAAAATAAAGCAGTTCACCCTTCTGCTTCGATTTAAGTAAAGTGAAGTCTCTTCCTTTCATATCTTCTACTATTAAAAAGTAAACTCTTCTGGGCCTCCCTGGTGGCACAAGAGGTTAAGACAGCGCAACCTATGCAGCTATTCACAGCCACTGCTGCATGAGTTCGATCCCTGGCCAGGGAGCTACCCACATGGCATAGCAGACCTCTCCTGACTTGCCCACTGCTCCCCTCAGCAGTGTATTTCAGTCAATCTGCCTCTGTTCCCCGCTGTCTCTGGTGAATCTTCTCACCCCCACACCTCTGGACTGTACCCCAGTTCTTGTATGCATAAATAAATCTTTGGGGAAAAAAAGTAAAATATTCTTAAATCAATTGGTTTAAGAAAAAGATGTATTAAAAAAAGAATTATTACTCTATCCCAGTGAAAAAGTAAACAAAAAGGAGTTTTATAAGGATAAAATTCAGACCAGAGAGAAAAATGCAATTAACTATACAATCCTTTTGAAACTCATGGCAAGAATTATGCATGGTAATCTATTTTTAATATTTTGAGAATCCTCCATATTGTGTTCTATAGAGGCTGTACTAGTATACATCCCCAACAGTGTTCAAGGGTTCCTTTTTCTCCACTTCTTCACCAACACTTGTTTCTAGTCTTTTTCATATGGGCCAGTCTCACAGGTGTGAGATGGTACCTAATTATATTTTTGATTTCTATTTCCCAAACAAGTGATGATGAACACATGAACAGCCATTCTACTCTTCAGTATCTACCCTAAGAATACAAAACACTTATTCAAAGGAATATATGTACTCCTATGTTCATTACAGCCCTATTTATAATAACTAAAGTTATGGAAATGACCTAAATGCCCAAGAAGCATGGAGCAGATCAGAAAAATGGCATGTATATGCACACACCAAACATTATAATAGTACTCAGATATAAAAACCAGATGAACTGCCATTTGCACCATGAATGGAACTGGAAAGGATAATGCTAAGTGCAATAAGTCAGAAGTATAAAGGCAAATATCAAATGGTCTCACTTATATGTGGAATATAGAGAAACACAACAAAGGGACAGTCAAAACCAAACCAATAATAAACTCTTACCTAACTATAAAACTGAGGCAACCAGGAGGTGGATGAGGGGAGTTAGAGAGGGAAGGGGCCCAATGGAACATTTTGGAGGATTGTTGGGGCACCAATGGTGGGCAGGATATGAAAGAATATATTTGTAGCAGTTTGAACCTATGACCTTCGGAACAAATACAAAGATGTAAACCTACTTCACATCAATAAACATAATCTGGGGGAAAAAAAGAATTAGGTAGCCATATTCTGTTCATATTCTCTGACTCAGAATAATATTGGTTGTATGAATATCTTTAAGGAGGTTATTAAAACAAAAACTACACATAGTATCTAAAACATAACTCCATACATATTTACTAATAAAGGTTAGCGGTAACCTACTAGCAGAGCAAAACAGCATGCAAAATGTGGTTCCATACATGTTAATATTTCCTGTTTACGTATGGCTTTGAATTATATCTATGGATTTTGCTAAAATTGAACACCCATTAGACTATTGAACAAACAAAACAGATGACAAGTGTTGGCATGGATGCAGAGAAAGCAGAGCCTTTGTGCAAAACTAGTGGGAATGTACAATGATGCAGCCACTAAGGAAAAGAGTACACCAGTTCCTCAAAAACTTAAAAAGAATTACTGTTCAATTTAACAAGTCAACATCTGGGTAGATACACAAAATAACTGAATGCAGGGACTCAAGCTATTTGTACACCAATGTTCATAGCAATTATTCACAACAGCCAAAAGTTGGAAATAACCAAAATACCCACTGACACATCCTACAATATAAATGAACCTTGAAGACATTATTCTAAATGAAATAAGCTAGACACAAGAGAATAAATACTATATCCTGCCACAACCTGGAGTAGTTCAACTCATACAGACAGAAAGCATAACAGTGATTTACAGGGGCTGGGAGAATGGGGAATTATTGTTTAATGGATACAGTATTAATATGTGATGTGAAAAAATTTTTGAGGTGGTGAAGGTTGCACAACAATGTGAAATAGCTTAATGGTACTAAACTGTATATTTGAAAGTGGTTAAAATGATAAAGTTTAGGGCCTCCCCAGTGACGCAGAGGGTTGAACGCAGTGCTGTGAGGCTGTCCGCAGCCTCTGTAGTGCGGGTTCAATTCCTGGCCGGCCAGGGAGATTCCCACATGGCTTGGCAGACTTCTCCTGTCTCACCCGCTGCTCCCCTCAGCAGTGTATTTTGGTAGTCTGCCTGTTCTGCTCCCTGCTCTGTCTCTGGTGAATTCTCTTACCCTCCCACACCTCTGGCCTGTGTCCCAGCTCTTGTATAAAAATAAATATTAAAAAAAAAAGATAAAAGTTTATGCCATGTATTTTATCATAACAAAATAAATATAAAAGCTAAAAAATGTTAGCATTGATTATTTCTAGATACAAAGATTACAGATGATTTTTTAATATTTAGTTTTCTATACTGACTTCTCTTTCCTCCATTTTTTTAATGTGATGAACAGGTTTATTTTTACAATTAGGACAAACAATTTTGGAAGCAAAATTACTCCCTAGAGGCCATAATGTGATTTTAAGAGTCCTTTACCTAATTACTATGTCTTCTTACCTCTAGGCCTGCACAGTAAATCACAACCAAGAGTGGAAATGAGGGGACTGAACGATATTTCATTGGGTCAGTTACTGTACTTACACTGGGATATACATACTACTTGTTAATTTCAAGTAAGCTTCAAAATCACTACATAAAGCATTTATTATCATCTTTACAGATAAGAAATTTAAGTATTATATTCAAGGATGCTCAGAGGTGTACATAAAAATACTACAAAGTTTTTAAAAAGCAGTTGAAAACAGTGCCATTTGTATTTCTGTCTTTAATACAGATGCTTGTGTACACCTGGTTTTATATTGGAAAAATATATACCAAAAATGTTAATAGCCATCTTTAGCAGCAGGATCAACAGACACTTCTGTTTCTTATATAGTTGTTTGTCTATAATTATTAATTTTATATCACTGCAAATGTATTCCCTTTGTATTAAGGAAAAGATTTATAATATATATATAGTAAAAGATATTGTATTTCTAATGGTAAATAAATGAATGCTAACATTAAGGAAATTTATATAGCTTTTTTACAGAATCAAATCATAACATTTAAATACTACCACTGTATCATTAGTAAAAGGAAATGCCACCATTTAGAATCCTACTTACATTCTATTTTCTCCTTTTTTCCTTTCTTTCCTTTAGAAGAAGCAGATGAATGAGACGATGCAGCAGAGTGGGCCCCCGATGAATGCTGGGAAGTAACATCCACAGAGGAAAGCTCATAGGCAGACTTTCTGTTAGACAGGTCCTCTTGAATGCCTAAACTGCTACCACTAGAACTGTCACAGAATATGTAATAGAGGTTAAAGAAATTAAGCCTTTAAATGCTGCTAAAACAATAGATATTTAAAATCTATTTAATTACTAGGAGAACATAACCATAGTCAAAGATACCTTCCATTTTTCTTTTTTGTTTTCCTACTATATAAGAACGGGTTGTTCCCTATGCCCCAATTTAATACTTAAAAATATTTCAGGGAGTTGTTTACTGAAATGAAAACAATAAAAATGGGTAATTCAGACAGATAAGAAAAAGATATAATGTTGGATACTGGCATATTTGGCCATGATTCTTATTCAAATTTATAATTTAATATCTTCTAATTATTTTCCTTCTGATAACCTCATAGAGAATAATAATTTACCATTTTCTAATTCAAATTAGAAATAAAGTACAATAATTTATATTGACAGGTGATATTAAACATCATCACAATTAAATCCTTACAAGTTTTGACTTAAAAATTTAATCTTTTCAAAAAAATCAAAATCAACAAGCAACTATGAACCAGAGACATACTACGGGGGCGGGGGAGGGTGAGGAGGGATTAGGGTCAAAATAAGGGGGGCGGGAATTGTATGTGGAATATAACCAAAATGAAAATGCATACAATTGTGCAAAAAATAAAAATGGTGTAAGAATTATATAAAATAATTAAATAAAAAATCTAATCTTTTCTTTGGAGCACAAAACTATTCTGCTATAATTTTAGTAATTTATTAATTTTGTTAGTCCAACTAGATGTACTTTTTAAAAATCATCCAATAATTATGTGGATTACAATATGTAATTTATGGAGAAAATTATATTGAATACAAGTAACTGCAGATTATATAACAAAACTTAGTGAGGAAATTTTCTCTAGCATAGTCTGATTCACTTACTATGTGATTTCTTACAAGTAACTTAAGCTTGGTGCTTCAGTTTTCTCTCCAAAATAGGAATAGGAACAGTAATACTTGTCACATGAGATTATTATAAGAACGAATTAATACAATAAAGCCCTCTTAGTACCTTGCACATTAAACTTTTAATAAATATTATGCCACCTTCATTTTTCAAAGTTTGCAAAATTTAAGATGTTATCCTAATTATTAAAAATATTACTGATTGCTTGGGATCATGGAGTCAAGGATCTATAGGGTTGTCTTCAATTCTATCATGTAAAACCATTTCTTAATTTTGTATTTCACTTAATATTCATAACACTCTAACAGATAGGTACTATTATTTTCCCTTTTACAGGTAAGGAAATTCGAGGCACAGGGAAGGTAAATAATATGCACAAAGACAAAAATTGGGAGATCCAGGATTTAAACCCCAGGTAGTCTGGCTGGATATATTTTAGTAACTACTATGCTATGTAGCTCAACATGTATCCTTAAACAAGCAAAATTTGATTAATATTCAGACCACACTTCTCACTTGTACATTTTTCTTTCACTTCAGATTTTATCCCATAATGTGAATATATTCTTACTTAGGTTCAAGAGCTGATTTTTTTTCTGTCAACGCCCCACTCCCTGAAGAGGAAACAAAATCATCTTCATATGAAACACTGCTTAAAGGGGTTGTGATGGCATTCACAGGCCGCGATGGTGATGTTCCTCTTTCCAACCTGTCTTCAAACCCTATCAAAAATAGTAATTGATAATGTTTTAAAACCCAAGTCAAAAACTACAAGCAAAGTATTCTGCAGCATGGCATTAACAAAATGGATTTAGGGACATTTTAGTTTGCTTTTTAGTATTGCTTCTTTTCAATTTATCTTTATGTCTAACAATACATTTTTAACTTTTGATTATGGAAATTTTCAAACATATATGAAAACAGAGAGACTATCATAACTAATAGCATCACCCAGTTTCAACAATTAGCAGATTTGATTTAATTAAAATTTCTATTACCAAAAAACCCACAAAATTCCTGTCCCTCCCCAATGCCCCATTTTCTACTATTCTCAAGATTATTCTGAAGTAAATAGCAGGTAACATGTCATTTCAACTTTAAATGTTTTAGTTTAGCTAAAAAATCTTAGTAAAAATTTAATGAAATTTAGGAATAAACCCAAATTTCTTATTTAAAAAGAGGTTTTTGTTTGCTATACTTCGCTTTCATCAAAAGAAAGCAAAAGAACTTTAAAATCTGAAAAACTTCAAAATAACCACCTACAGAAACAAAAGAGATCAATAGTATATATAGATCTGTACATGTTCATAACAAAATGGCCAAATATGAATTCTAGGAAAATGCAATGTGATACCCAATTGAGCAGATGAAATCAATACATTTGTCAAGTAAGTTGTTCACTATGTACAGTGGAAATGAAAAATTACAGTATCAAATAGCTGACTTAAGTTCAGTCTCACTCTCTAACCTGGAAATTCTAAGGTTATATTAGCAGAAGATGGGTAGAATCTGCCTATAAGAACACAGAAAGTAACTTAAAGGCATTTAACCCAACATAAAAAGGAAAGTTGTATTGCAAGGTTTCAAGGATAAGATGGGAACTTTAGAAATTACTTCAGAAACCAAATATATAGCCATGTAATGATTCAAAGTCTGTTTTGAAATTAGTTTTGACAAATAGTAATACATGTTTTCATACTAGAAATGTTACAGTTGCTCCCTTTCAATTCTTACACTATATTCCCAATGATACACAAATCACTGCATTGAAAAATACACTTATTTTCTATTTAAATACTTAACTATTTAACTATGGTCATAGACAATCTAGTATACATTTGATAGATACCAACCCTAAATATTACCTGTGAATTTCTCTAAATTTTATCAAAATTTCTGTCACTAGCAACCAACATATGACAGCAAATTTAAAAAAAAAGATTAAATTACTAACACTCTAGTTAATGCTCACAGATAATTTAAATGATGACTAATAAGGACAATAAGAAGTCTCTACCATCCTCACAATGAACTTGTAAAACGCACAGTAAAAATGCACAGTTAAATATTATCATGTATTGAATTATAAAATAATTTATCTTGAGATAACATACAAATATTTTTCTCACCTTTTCCATATAGCTGATATGATTTTGTAAAAATATTAATAACACTATGTGGACTTCCCTTTGCCAATTCTTCCCATGGTCCTTTGCTTTGCGTACCACCTATGTGCCCAAAAAGTGGTAAAAATTTTTCGGCTTCCTTCTGAAACTCCTTAATGGGTTCATAAGTATTTCTTTCTCCAGCACAAAATTCTTTTTCTTTTAAGACTTCCACTACCTTCAAAGGAGGTCGTCCATCTTGACCTCCTTCTTCTTCAGAGAAACTCCCCTCACTAAGAAGAAGCCCTTCACTGACTGAATCTGTGCTAGAACCAAGAGACCTTTTGGCTTTGTCTTTAGAACAAACTTGCATATCAGAGCCAGAAGAATCAGTCTGTCTCTTACACAACTGTGCTAGCAGTCCTTCTGATTTGGGAGCAGGAGATCTTATTCTTAAGCTTGATATGGCACTGTGAGGTCTTATCATCTCAGGAAGCTTTTTAAATTCACTAAGGTTGCCTACACCAGGAAGATCATCATCAAAAGTAGCATGAGATACACAGGTTCCCAGCATCTTTTGAATTCGGGCAGAGAAAACATCTTCAGTATCCTCTTTCACAGGTGGACTTATAGACTTGGTCCAAGGCCCATTTTCTTGGGGTGTTTGCTGCACGTCATACTCAGAATTCCACACTGACCCATAATTAATGTTGGCCCCAGCTAATTTCTTTGCTTCACTTTCAATCCTGCTGGACAAAGAAGCAGCTGTTGCTTTCAAGGCTTCAATACGATCCAGTTTACTCTTATATTGGCTGGCACTAGGTTTTAGCAAGGCACCTGGATGAGCAGCTGGTGAGGTTAGATATGGTTGAGGTGTAAAAGTTAATGGTCCTGAAGCCATATTATGATTCTTCCTGGTTGGTAAAAGAGATTCAAAATCCTTATGCAAAATTCCTACATGCTCTAGACTCAAGAGATGGGAGAGTAAATTTCCAGCTGTTCCAACATGAGACTGTGGTTGAGGATTGTGGACTCGTGGGCTCAATCTATCAGGTTGTATCCATGTAGGTTCCATCAAGTCCCTTCTGGAGATAAAAATCAAAATATGTTAGCTAACAAAGCAATTACATGTAACCCACTGTTTTTTTAAAGTTATTATTTTTTCTGATTAAAAAAGTAAAGCATACTCAATGCAAAAAAAATAAAAGAAGATAAAAAATAAAGGTCATTCATAGCTAAACAATAAATAAGTGGCACCATTAATATTTCATTTAAACTATATCCCTCCAAACATTTCTCTGTGTTTAGGTTGGTTTTGGTATTGTTATTTTCACCAAAACATAAGATCTTATCAAATATACTGCTTTGCAAACTGCATTCTTTAACTAAGACATCATATTTTTTAAAGTACTAATTAAAAAGAAGGCATTATAATCTTTAAAATTCTGTAAACAAAATCTTTACAACACTGACTATAAAAGAGAAATGCTTAAAATTGCTAAATATTAATGTAGACATATTAAATATTAACAAACACTATATGCTGAATATTTATGCTTAACATTGTGCATACTAAACAAATGAGAGTATTACAACCTAATTAAAAAATATTAATGAACATCAAACAACTAGATGCAAAACTATGACTACTAATTATAAATACACAACGCAAGGCAAGGTGTCCATAAAGTTTAGAAACAGAAGAAAGACATCTTAGGTGACATTATATAATTCACCTATATTTCCAGATTGGTAAGCATCCTGTATATTAAGAGGGACAGAAAGATTATATCCCTTATATATTCAGGGTATAGAAAAGCTGCTGCTAACTATCAAGGAGATCCTTAGAAAAATAACATGAGATTTTGTCCTTGGTCTTGTCCCTTATTTTTGAATGATGACAAAAAGATATGCTTATCAAATCTGCAAGTGACATAAGCTGAAAGGCATAGTTAAATACATAAATTATCAAATTAGGATATTGCTAAACCAACAAATAATGAATTATGACTCAATCATAATTACTAAATCATGATGGAACAGGCTACACTATCGACCAAACTAGTGTGGAGAAATGTAAAGTCTTACCAATTGCATTAAAAAAAATTATTTGGAGGAAGGTAACCACAGTGATAAGCAAATTGAAAAACATATCACTCAGATTGGGTTTCTTCAAAAAGATTGTAGCAATCTTTATGATTGCTTAAGGTCTGCCAAGAAAATCAAAGGAAGGAAGACTAGAGCATAGATTCCATACCACTGGAAACAGATTATTACAAATGCAAGGTGTTATTAGGGCCCAAACTAGGGCTAGGCATAATAGAAACATAAAGAAAGTTATAAATGTAAAAGATACTATTGCATTAAAAAACCAAGATTTTTAATTTTGGTTTTTTGGGGTTTTTTGCATATAAGAATTGGGTGTAGGCCAGATAGTTCAGGGGGTGAAAGGATTGACTAGAGACAAAGTGGGGAGCTGAACAGCCACATTTACTTAATTGCACCGCTAAGGGGCGCAGTGGGCAAGCCAGGAGAGGTCTGCTGCACCATATGTGGGTTAGCTTCCTTGTCGGAAGTAGTGATGATAGCACTGGCCACCAGGAAGACCCAAAAAGCCAAGGTTTTTAAATTCAAGCATTTAGCAGCAGGTGCTTTTTTGCTGGTAGAGGGATAGGGGAGACAAAAATGGAAAGACAATATAGTTAAGACTTAATTCTTACTCTTTAGGATCACAAGATTTAACAGGAACAGAGTTTAATAAACTGCTAAAATACAACATCATTAAGGACTAACACAAAGATATAAAGTTCAGGGGCCTCCCTGGTGGCACAGGGGTTAAAGACACAGCGCTATCAAGCTATCACCAGCCACCGCAACACAAGTTCGATCCCCGGCCAGGGAGCTAACCCACATGGTGCAGCAGACCTCTCCTGTGTCTCCCGCTGCTCCCCTCAGCAATGTGTTTCAGTCGATCTGCCTGTTCTGCACCCCACTCTGCCTCTGGTGAATCCTCTCACCCCCGAACCTCTGGCCTATACCCAAGTTCTTGTATGCATAAATAAATGAATCTTTAAAAAAAAAAAAGAAAGATATAACGTTCAGTAGGGTAGAGATGGGGAGCAATGAACATTCCTAGCCAAAGAAAGTGATATTTGAGTTGAATCTCCAAGTTCTTCAAAGTATATATGCAATCTGGATTTTTCCAGGTAGTTAAAGCAGAATGATGGAACACAAAGGGCATGGGAAAAAAATGCTGTGCTTTCAGGCATAATGTAATAATAAGCATAATGAGATATTGCAAAACTATTAACAGAAACAGGAAGGCTAAAGAACAGTAAAAAGAAAGTGAAGTCAATATACTATCTACCACAGGTTAAAAAAGCCTGACATGAAAAGAAAGAAGAGGAACTGATTCAAGGTAATAAGGTCTAGTAATAGATTTATGGTTGGTTTATTTTTAATATTTGGTAATTTGTTCAGTATTAGGAGGAAACTCAGAGAAAGGTAAAAATTGAAGATGTAAAATCTGCAGGGTCTGTCTGACAAAATTAACAGGATTGAGATGAACATAGAGAGTACACCTACCTAATGGTATTCAAAAAATTTTTAAAGCTTATTCATGCTTTGAATTTGAAATGTATTTACAACATCAAAAAAAAATTCATGCGAAACATTTCACTTATTTGGAGATAGTGTGTAAAGTGATTGAATAGACAGGTTTCTGGAATCAGACTGCTTAAGTTCAAATCCATCTCCATCACCAATTTATTAAGCTTTGAGAGTTTGATTTCTAGGTGTGACATCCTTTGTAAAACAGGAATAACAATAATGCCTAACAGTAGGAATTACAAGAATTGAATGAGAATATACATACAAAATACTTAGATCAGTGCCTGGAACATAACAAGTACTCAATAAATGTGAAGATATTTTTTATTGGTGTTATCATTTCTCTTGGGGGTATTAAGGTGCAAGTGGACTATGTACGTTAAGTTTCAAAGCCTTTCTTGGTGATTACAAAATATAATTTAAACCATGTAATCTTGAAACCACCTTAACTTTCATGCACAAATAGTTTTTTCCCTTATTACTTTATTGCAAACAATATTTTATCCCCCCAAAAAATTTAAGAAAGGTTAAGGTAAAATAGCTCACAATCACCAATCTGAAATCAAATCAAATCCCCCCTAATCCTTGTTTGTGTGTTTATATGCATATCCAAACATAGCTTGTAAGAGAAAAGAATAATAAACTGACATGACTTCTTTGAAGAAATTCTGGATAATAATAGATACAGAAAAGCCCTTTGAAAATTATTCACCAAAATACTTTAAAATTTTTTTTTTAAAGAGTGGATTTTTTTTTTTTTGAGATTTATTTTTATTTATTATTTATACAAGCACTGGGTACAGTCAGAAGCACGGGAGGGTGAGAGAATTCACCAGAGCCAGAGTGGGAGCAGAGCAGGCAGAAGGACCAAAGTACACTGCTGAGGGGAGCAGCAGGCGGTAGGACAGGTCTGCGCGCCATGTGGGACCCTCCTCCGGTGGCAGGGGAGCAGCTGGGGATCAAACCGGCGCTGCAGAGGCTGCGGGCAGCTTCGTAACCCAGCGCTCAACCGCTGCGCCACCGGGGAGGCCCAAAATACTTTAAAATTTTAATTTTACTGTGATTAATCCATCCAACAAACTTTCACTGTGTATTTAGTTCGGAGATAGAAAGAGTGCTTCAACTGCAAGTGATCACCAGGTAAAAGTGATATTTACACTGGGTACGAAAGTTGAAAGTAGAACAGAATCAGGCAGGCATGCAGTAAGTTATGATGGACACCATGCTTAAGTATCCATCAGAAGCTATTAACCACTTTCTAAATAAACCTCTTGCTCACAAAGAAGGTCAGTCAACAAAATTCAATGAGGATATGCTGCCACACTAATTTCAAGGAAAGAAAGAACCTTAGTCATCTTTCATTCTCCCCTTTTTACCTTGCAAGAGGCTGTGGAGGTTCTGAAAGAGACATGTCACTACTGGAAGATGCACTAGGGGGTCGTTCCTGCACTTTGTTTTCTTTGTCAGATTCTCCAGATGGCTGATACCCTGGTCTGATCTAGGAGAAAATAATACCAAATTTATCTGGCTGCCATTACAGCAACACACATATTTAAATAGCACATAAGATAAGTATTAAGTCATTTCAACTCCACAAAGATCATGAAATATAGGGACAGAAAAGTTGTTCAAAAAATTTTCAAATAAAACCAAGTTTACTTTGTCTTAAAAACAGCCATTACAATTAAAAGCAAAATTATATCTGAAATCCTACAAGGGTTACCTAACATTAACTGCCCAATTTAGAGTAAGTTATTACTCTTTCTAAACCTCAGTTTTACCATATAAGTAAAAAAATTTCAGTGCCTATCCTTCTCAAGGTTGTGAGGATTTACTGATGCCTTAGGCCAGTTTTTTAAAACAGTACATGACATATGGTATGCACTCAATGCTATTCCTATTATTCTTAAAAACATTAGCAATATTAATAAAATATTCTTTAACTTTAGCACATATCATAAAAATAGTCTAATCTAACTTCATTAGTCTAATCTAACTTCATTTGCTAGTAACACAATGAAACCTAGTGAGGGATATAACTAGCAGCAATGACAAGATGAACAGAGAATAGTAACATTCAGGAAACTCTTAACTGAGCACTAATTTACAATCACATTTAATAAATTGCTCTTCATACACAATAAATTGCATGAAATGCTATCAAACTATTACAAATATTATCTGAGCATATGTCTGAATATTAGGAATTGGGAGTAATTTTTAAACAGTATAGCAAATAAGCTTCTATTAACCATGAATTACTTCCCTTTGTATTTTCACCACAACTTTTACCTGTGCTTCCTGCGTAACATGTTGATGAGTTGGCTCTTCAAGCAAGGTCTTTTCTAGTAGCAATTTGGAGTAAGTCTCCTGCAGTCGCCTAGTAGCTGATGGTTCAGGGGGCACATTTTTTACTTTAGTAAAGGCTTCTTTCTGTTTCCGGTAGAGTTCCTGTAATCGTTTATTCTTCTGCTCTGTAGCCTCCTTTTGGGCCTTCTTCTCTTCGTTTTGCTTCCTCTTTCTTTCCTCCTGTTGTCTAACAATGTACTGACGTACCTCATCTGTGTCATAGTGGCGCTTTTTGGAAATAACAGGGGGATCTTCGTTAGCTGTTATTTTGTCAGGTTTTCTTTTTATTGGGCTATGACTCCTAGCGGCTTGTACTGGTGCTGATGACTTCTGATTCTCTACCTCCCCTGTCTCCTGCCTTGCAGCCTGAGCTGCAGAATCTAGCTGTAGGTCATCAAGAATTCCGCGAATTTCATCCGGCAAAAAGTCCTTATTTAAGGCAGTGTTTTCCTCCTGTTTATTATCCGGAAGAGATGTAGCTGATTTCTTTACATTACTTTCAGATCGAGCTCTACTTCTTGAACGTTCTGAGCTCCGTGGAAGATGTCTATGTGAAACATCCAACCTGGGATCAGATTCTGCTCTTCCAATATGACACCCTGCAAAGTATGAGCTGTTAGTGATTTATTAAATTACATATTCATTCCTAAGACTTATTGCACTAAGCAGAAAATTAGGGAACTTTGCTTCACCCTAAATTCAAATATCCTTTGAAGTCTTCTAGAGAATTATTATAAAAAGAAAGAAAAATAGGGCCTCCCTGGTGGGGAAAGGGGTTAAGACACAATCTATGAAGAGATCCACAGCCACTGCACCACAAGTTCGATCCCCGGCCAGGGAGCTACCCACATGGCACAGCAGACCTCTCCTGACCCTCCCGCTGCTCCCCTCAGCAGTGTATTTCAGTCAATCTGCCAGTTCTGTTCCCCACACTGTCTCTGGTGAATCCTCTCACACACATCCCCACACACCTCTGGCCTGTACCCCAGTTCTTGCATGCATAAATAAATAAATCTCTAACAAAAAAAAAAAAGAAAGAAGTCAGAAGCAGAAAGACAAATACTGTGTGGCATCATTTATATATGAAATATAGAGAAACAAAAAAAGGGTCAAATAAAACCAAACCAATAATAAATCCTGGAAATCTGACTGTAGAATTGAGGCTATTAGAAGGAGAGGGGGAGAGCAAAGTATGCAAGGGGAAAAATGGACTATGTTGGAGGACTACTGGTGCCTTGGTGGTGGGTGTGGTGACCCAACACCTCTAAAACATAGACAGTGTTGTAAGGCAATACTACCTCAAATCAAAAAAAGAAAAGAATAGCTAAGAATCTTAAAAAAAAAAAAAAATTAGCAGTAAGAAAAGAATTCAATCTTTTGAAAAAGTATATACTTCCTTGGCATTTTTAAAAAATATATATCTTCTTTTTAAATAAGGGCAGATACTATTGATGTGAATATTTAACTATCAGAAGTAATAGAGCATCAGTATTTCTATTACATGCATATTTAAATGTTAGTATTACTCTCCCCTACCCCCCAGTGCTAAAATAGCTAAAAAGGCTATAATGTTAAAAAACAACTCTACAACTCTACAGTGACAGAAAAAATTAAATATAGAGAAAAGCATTAAATGACTTAAATGCTTGCTGATGTGGTTTAATTTCAGACTGTGTACATGATGTGAGTTTACTTAAAAGGTAGATGAAAGTGAAAGGGCCGAATGCAAATATATACTGACTTCTATATGACAAAGCATAATTGTGATTTCTTACTGAATCCATTCCAGAAGCTCAAATTAACTGAGCCAAATTTTGCTTCTCAAAAGGAAAGCTGACCTGTACGAATTTATATTTCATTACTGAAAATTAGTGCTCATGAAAAACTAACATTCAAGATTTTTCAAAAAGATGAAAGCACTAGCAGGACTTGAAAGTCTAACTAGAGTTTATGGATCCTAGATCATATTTTGTTATCCACGGACTATATACCTTTCTCAGGTCCTGTTTGTGAATCTGTCAAATGAAAAAAATTCAATTTTGTGAATGTCTACCTGCCTTTGTGTATGGACAGATGAGGTAAATTGGATTTGACTCGGCAACATGGCGGCGAGGAGACGCTGCGAGTAAGATCTCCCATTAAAAAAAGTGAATAGGGAGGAAAAGCGGCAGGTCCCAGTGAGAACTGGGACACGGAAGATAAACGGGTGACTCCAGCAAACTGCCCAAAGAAGAAAGTTGCCATAAAAGAGGACCAGAAGGGAGGGAAGCCCAGAACCCTGCTCCCCTCCCCCGCCCACAGAGGCGGCACTCTCCGACCAGCAGAGGGGAGGAAACAACAAACCAAAACGGTCAACAAGAAAAACGGACGCAGCAAGCGGGACTGTGAGTGGAAAGGAACTATTTCAGCCACCACACCCCGTGAACGGGAGCTGTGGAGAACCCTGCAGGATTCGCCGCGGCGGTGAGCGAACGGCTCCGGGCGCCATTAGAGAAGAACAAAGACCCCGGGAGACGCGCACACAGCCCGGGCTGCCGGTAAGCCTGCGCAGATAGCGGCGCGCTCGGCGCGCTTGAAAAGCAAGTGCAGACCGGGATCGCGGCTGCCCAGGTCCCCGCGCCTGCGACCTAGGCTTGGGAGACGACCTAGGCTTGCGGGGAGACGCGCGGAGGTCCTCACTGAGGTGAAGGTCCCTCCCTGAGTGAGCAGGAACCAGGCGCCCAGGCACGAGAGCGGTGCAAAAGGCGCCCTTCCCGCGCCACTGAACTGGGCTACAGCCCGCGTCCTGGAACTGAGGGCTTTGGAACTGAGACCCGGGGCACGAAATTAGGGGCGTGGGTTCCCCACGACGGTGGGGCACAAGGCAGACACAGCACCCCAAAGCCGTTGAGGTGTACCCTACCATCCCCGCTTTGCTCCCTGTCCCACAGCGTGGAAAATCAGCTCCCCAAGGGCTCTAGGAGAGATCTTTGGCGCCACCTAGCGACTTGTAGACAGCACAGGCTCCTGAAGGAACTAGTGGCCAGCTGGGGAGTTAGCCCACACCGGGCCCCTTCCGAACAAGTAGTCTGAGCCCACAGGGAGAGCGAGCACCCACAGCCAGGGCAGACCAGGCACGCAGAAGAGTGTGCCTGACACCGGACGCGCAGGGAGTGTGTCCCACATCACCATTTTAGAACAGGGACATTTCTTCAGTAAAGACTACCTGCAGAAGGCTTCCTCAGGAGCCAGAGGTGAGCGGGGGAAGTTCGCCCACGCCAGACCCCCTCTGGCCTGCAGTCCAAGCCCAGAGGGGGAGCAGGAACCCACCGCCGGGGCAGACCAGGTGCACAGGGGAGTGTGTCCCCACATCGACATTTTAGGACAGGGACCTTTCTCCAATAAAGACTGCTTGAAACTGACAGATGACTCCAGGAGGAACCAGAGGGGAGAAGAGAAGCCCACCCAAGATGCCGGCCAGTCCCAACAACACAGTGTCCCAACGCATACGGCAAATTAGAAAACAGACAGTAGGGAGGAGAAGAACCACACGCAACCTAGCAACTCTCCAGAGAAAAAGCACACCACAAAAAGAAAACCAGCCCCCAGATTGCAACGACAGTAACTTGGAAGAACTTCTGGGCCTTCCAGAAAGAGAATTTAAAATTGCCGTGATTAAAAAACTGACAGAAGTCATAAAGGAAAACAATGATAAGGGAAAAATAATCAACGATCAGAAGAATGAAATTGAGTCCCTAAAGAGGGAAGTAAAAGAAATGCAGGAGATCAAAGAATTAGTGGAAGAACTAAAGAATTCTGGGAAAAGCAATGAAAGCAGAATTGATGAAATAGAAGAACGAATAAGTGCTCTTGAAGACACAGAAATAAAAAGAACCAAAACAGAAAAGGAAAGAGAAGTACGAAGGAAAAAGAATGAAGAAAGACTTCGGGAACTATCTGACTCCATGAGGAAAGGAAATATAAGAGTTATAGGAATACCAGAAGGAGAGGAGAGAGAAGTAGGAACAGAGAAAATTTTCAAAGAGATAATTGAAGAGAACTTCCCAAATGTGAAGAAGGAGCTGAAAATTGATATACAAGAAGCAAGAAGAACACCAAACTTCCACGACGAAAGGAAAAATACAGCAAGACACATAATAGTAAAGCTCCCAAGAATCCAGGACAAGGAAAAAATAATGAAGCTGGCAAGAGGGAAGAAACAGATAACATTCAAAGGAAAGCCAATCAGGCTGACATCAGACTTCTCCGAAGAAACACTACGGGCAAGGAGAGAGTGGAGGGACATAGTCAACAGACTCCAAGAAAACAGATGCCAACCAAGAATACTCTATCCCGCAAAGCTCTCCTTCCTCTTTGAAGAAAGAATATGGACTTCCCAGACAAACAGAAACTCCGGAATTTCATTGCAACTAAACCCCCACTCCAAAAAATACTACAAGGAGTCCTAAAGCCAGAACCTCAGAGGGACGAATAACAATGAAAGAAGGCCAAAAAAAAAAAAAGTTATTAAAAGAATAAATAAATAAAATCAAAGGAAAGACAAACACAATGGCAAATACAGATGTTAACATATCAATATTAACTCTAAATGTAAATGGACTAAACTCTTCAATAAAAAGACACAGAGTTGCAGCCTGGATTAAGAAACAAAACCCAACCTTTTGCTGTCTCCAGGAAACACATTTAGCTACAAAAGATAAAAATAGGCTCAAAGTCAAAGGATGGAAAACAATCCTACAAGCAAATGGGCCAAAAAAGAAAGCAGGAACAGCTATACTTATATCAGATAAAACAGATTTCAAACTCAAAAAGATAAAAAGAGACCCCAATGGTCACTACATTATGATCAAGGGGACAATACTTCAAGAAGAAATAACACTCATTAACATATACTCACCAAACGAAGGAGCACCAAAATATATCAGACAACTGTTGTCTTCTCTGAAAACAGACATCAGAGAAAACACATACGTAGTGGGAGACTTCAACACACCACTATCAACAATGGATAGATCAACAAGACAAAAAATAAGTAAAGAAACCAAAGCTCTAAATAAGGACCTAGAGCAATTGGGCTTAACAGACATCTATAGAACACTAAACCCCAAAAAAACGGAGTACACAATTTTCTCAAGCGCACACGGATCATTCTCCAGGATCGATCACATACTGGGGCACAAGACAAACATCAACAGATACACCAAGATTGAAATCATACCAACCATCTTTTCTGACCATGAAGGCATCAAACTAGAACTAAACCATAAAAAGAAGGCAAGGAACTTTCCTACCTCATGGAGATTAAAAACCACACTACTGGAAGACCACTGGACTAATGAGGAGATCAAAGAAGAAATTAAAAAATTTTTTGAATTGAACGACAAGGAGGACACCAATATCCTAAATGTATGGGATGCAGCAAAAGCAGTAATAAGAGGAAAATATATAGCAATAGAAGCTCACATCAAGAAACAAGAAAGAACTCAAAGAAGCAACCTAATCTCGAAGCTCAAAGATCTAGAAAAAGAACAACAAAAAAACCCAAAACCAGTAGAAGAAAAGAAATAATAAAAACCAAAGCAGAAATAAATGAAATTGAAACTAAAAAAACAATCCAAAAGATCAATGAAACCAAGAGCTGGTTCTTTGAAAAAATCAATAAAATAGACAAACCCTAGCCAGGCTCACAAAGGAAAAAAGGGAGAAAGCACAAATAAACAGGATCATCAATGAAAGAGGAGAAATCACAACGGACACAGCAGAAATCAAAAGAATAATCAGTAACTACTATGAACAGTTATATGGAAATAAGTTTAATAATCTAGAGGAGATGGACAAATTCCTACAACTCTACAATCACCCAAAGCTAGATAAAGAAGAAATAGAACACCTAAACAGACCAATTACAATTACCGAAATTGAAATGGTAATCAAAAACCTCCCCAAAAACAAAAGCCCAGGACCTGATGGATTTACAAATGAATTCTACCAAACATTCAGAGACGAATTAGTGCCTATCCTTCACAAACTCTTCCAAAAAATTGAGAAGGAAGGGACAATACCAAACACGTTCTATGAAGCCAACATTACACTAATACCAAAACCGAACAAGGACAACACTAAAAAGGAAAACTACAGGCCAATCTCCCTAATGAACACTGATGCAAAAATCCTCAATAAAATTTTAGCCATCAGAATCCAACAATGTATCCATAAGATAATTCACCACGACCAAGTTGGATTCATTCCAGGGACACAAGGATGGTTTAACATCCGAAAATCAATCAACGTTATCCAACACATCAACAAAAAGAAATATAAAAACCATATGATAATATCAATAGATGCTGAGAAAGCTTTCGACAAAGTGCAACACCCATTCATGATAAAATCCCTTGAAATTCTTGGGATACAAGGAACATACCTCAACATCATAAAGGCCATCTATGACAAGCCAACAGCCAGCATCATTCTCAATGGTGAAAAGCTGAAAGCAATTCCATTAAGATCTGGAACAAGACAAGGATGTCCACTCTCACCACTGCTTTTCAATATAATACTGGAAGTCCTAGCCAGGGCAATAAGACAAGAGAAAGACATCCAAGGAATCCAAATAGGAAAAGAAGAAGTCAAACTATCACTATTTGCAGACGATATGATATTATACATAGAGAACCCCAAAAACTCCACAGAAAGGCTAATTCAACTCATCAATCAGTTCAGTAAAGTGGCAGGATACAAAATCAACATGCAAAAGTCAGTAGCCTTCCTATACACAAACAATAAATCTGAAGAAGAAGAAATCAAAAAAACCATCCCTTTTGTTATTGAAACAAAAAAATCAAATATTTGGGAATAAATCTAACAAAAGAGATAAAGGACCTATACAAAGAAAACTATAAAACACTGTTAAAAGAAATAGAAGAAGACACAAAGAAATGGAGAGACATCCCCTGCTCGTGGATTGGAAGAATAAACATTATTAAAATGGCCATCCTTCCAAAAGCAATATACAGATTCAATGCTATTCCAATCAAAATTTCAATGTCATTCTTCAAAGAAATAGAACAATTATTGATGAAATTCATATGGAATCACAAAAAACCCGAATAGCCAAAGCTCTCCTGAAAAAAAAAGAAGGGAATGGAGGCATTACACTCCCAGACTTCAAACTATACTACAAAGCCATAATCATCAAAACTGCATGGTATTGGAACAAGAACAGACATACAGACCAATGGAATCGAATAGAAAATCCAGAAATAAATCCACAGATTTATGGTCAACTAATCTTTGACAAAGGAGCAAAGACTATGCATTGGAGCAAAGAAAGTTTGTTCAATAAATGGTGCTGGGAAAACTGGGTCGCTACATGCAAAAGAATGAAGCTTGACCACTACCTCACACCATACACAAAAATCAACTCAGAATGGATTAAAGAACTAGACATAAGACCTGAAACCATAAAATATATAGAAGGAAATATAGGCGAAACACTACGTGATCTGCACATCAAAGACATCTTTACAGACACATCACCCAAAGCAGTGATAGTGAAGGCAAAGATAAACAGCTGGGACTACATCAAATTAAAGAGCTTCTGCACAGCAAAAGAGACAATAACAAAAACAAAGAGAAACCCCACCAACTGGGAGAACATTTTTGCACCCAACACTAATGATAAAGGACTGATCACAAAAATCTGCAAAGAGCTGATGAGACTCAGCAACAACAAAGAAAATAATCCAGTCAAAAAATGGGCAGAAGAGCTAAAAAGAAACTTCTCTGAAGAGGAAATGCAAATGGCCAACAGACATATGAAAAAATGTTCAACATCACTTGCAATCAGGGAAATGCAAATCAAAACTACCATGAGATACCATCTTACACCAGTGAGAATGGCACATATTAAAAAAACTAGCAACAACAAATGCTGGCGAGGGTGTGGAGAAAAAGGAACTCTTGTGCACTGTTGGTGGGAGTGCAAACTGGTCCAACCACTGTGGAGAGCTGTGTGGAGATTTCTGGACCTACTAAACATAGAGCTTCCATATGATCCAGCAATTCCACTCCTAGGTATTTACCCAAAGGACACAGAAACATCAATTCCAAAGAACACCTGCACCCCTATGTTTATAGCAGCACTGTTTACAATAGCTAAGCTTTGGAAACAACCCAAATGCCCAAAAATAGATGACTGGATCAAGATGTGGTACATATATACCATGGAATATTACTCAGCATTCAAGAAAGATAAACACATGCAATTTGCAGCAACATGGATGGCGCTGGAAGGGATCATGCTCAGCGAAATAAGCCAAAAAGAAAAAGAAAAATACCGGATGGTCTCACTCATAGCAGGAATCTAGAAAACTTAAATAAGGGACCAGGAAAATGAATAACTATAAGAAAGTGAAAATCAAAATCAACAAAAAACTATGAACCAGAGACACTTTTAGGGGGCGGGGGCGGGAGGGGAGGGATTGGGGTCAGAATGGGGGGGCTGCAATTGTATGGGGAATATAACAATAAAATTTATAAAAAAAAAAAAAAATTGGATTTGACTCTCTTAAGGCTCCCAAAATATAATAAAATTTGGTACAACAGTGCTATGTTATGCACAAACAGCTACACATAATTAATATAACATGTGGAATTCTTTTTAATGTCTTGGTAATTTTAATTTTTATTGCAGTAACTTTGCAGTAACTTACATTGTTGTTAGTATTTTGGAAGTATAAGAACCATTCCCTCCCCCAACTTTTAGAACTCAGATACACTAATTCAAAGGAAAACTTGCACTCCCATATTCGTTGCAGCACTATTAACAAAAGCCAACTTATGGAAACAATCTAAGTACCCAAATCAGATGGGTGGGTCAAGAAGATGCTATCATAGCACTCCCAACACCAAAGCATACATAGTCTACTACCATAGTCCACTGTGCTCCTTCCTGGATTTGTGCTCCCCTCCCCTATCCTTACTCCTGAATGTCTCAGTTCTAGCATCTGCTTTCAGGAGCTAGTTTTTGAGTTTGGCATGAGTTTGGTCTGGTTTCTCTGTATTCCACATATAAATGATATCATCCATTATTTGTCTTTCTCTTTATGACTTATTTTGTTTAGCATGATCCCTTCTAGCTCCATCCATGTTGCCACAAATGGCATGAGTTTATCTTTTTTGATTGTTGAATAGCATCTTCTTGACCCACCCATCTGTTTTGGGGCATTTAGATTGTTTTCATAGTTTGGTTTTTGCTAATAGTGCTGCAATGAATATGGGAGTGCAAGTTTTCCTTTGAATTAGTGTATTTGAGCTCTTTGGGTAGATACCAAAGTGTGGAATTGCCAGGTCATATGGTAGGTCCACTTTTAATCTTCTGAGAACCCTTCATACTGCTTTAGGCAGGACCAGCCTAAATTCCCACCAACAGTGTAATTTTTTTAAAGTAAAATAACATTATTTTAAAACATAGGTTTCAGGTATACAACATCTGTGTGTGCAATATTATGCTCATCACCAAGTCTAGTTCTAAATTCTTAATAAAGACCACTATTAAGTGGAAATCACCAACAGACAATCTCAAGAGAACATTCTTCTTTTATGAGCTACATTCATAATTACAAAGCAAAATCTTTAAGCATTCTCAAGAGTATTTTCATCTTTTCTAAGTATTTATATAAGCAACTTTTAATTGCTTTTCTCAGCAATTTTAATTATTGAGATACTTTAACTTAATAATTTAATTACTAACCAGATTTAGTAGTTCTTTCTCTTCCACTTCTGTCACTAGATGCTGTTCTTGGCTCTTTTTGCTCCATCCTGGGTGCAGGTCCCAGAATCTTCTTTACTAATTTTTGTCCATCTCGCCAAGAAGATGTACTTATCAAATGACTGCTACCTAAAATATAAATATATGATTGAGCTTAAAACTTAAATTTTAGCTCCAAGAAGTATATCTACTCAATCAAGCATCAAAAATGTAATTCATCTTATGTTTTTTTATGTCAAAGTCCAAAGGTTTGTAATGCAATTTAATTTTTAGCCCTAAGTCAAACTAATGGTTTACTTAAATCTTGATTTAACTACCCATCTCAAGTAAGGGTAAATTGTTTTGAAAGTAAAGTAGCAAACATTACTGATGCCTCAAAACTTTGCACAATGAATTCAATTTTGGCACAAAACAAAATTATATATCTATAATAAGTGTTTGGCTTACCAATATTATTTGCACAGTACATAGTACATAGTAAAATGTATGTTTTCTGAACAAATGACTTAAAGTTTAAAAAATTGAGGAAACATGTAGCAGTTAACAGTGATTATCCATGGAGAAGAGGGTAATACAGAGAATTTTACATTGTATTTTACAGCTATATACTATAACTATACACTAATTACAAATTACTGTAACTAGTAACGACAGACAAAAAGCTATATTATCAACATTTTTAGCTGATCTAATCATAAGAGTTCATAAAAATAAAAGTATGTTCCAATTAATACAACTGTTTACCAGGAAAAAACTTTCCATTTACAAGTTTCTGAAGGTTAAAAAATTAAAATCAGACCACTATTTCAAAATATAGTAATTAAAAAACAAACATGAAACACTATTTATAAAATAGAAAACCATAAAAAATAAATGCAAAATAAGTATGTTTAAATGCAAAGCAACATTAAAAAATGAAATGAATGAAAATAATTAAATAGCACTTTAAACCTAATCAAAATTAGAAAAAAATTTTATATGCATAGCCAATGAGGGTAAAATTACAATAAAACCAGTCTACTTATACTCTGCTTGTTGAAATATGAGTGGCTATAGTTTTATTAAAAAACAAAACCAAAAACAGTACTATGTTTCAAGGATCCCAAAAGTATTCATTCCCGTCAATCAAATAATCCAAATAATAGAAATGTGTGCAATGGAAATAATCCAAATGAAAATGTTCACTGTATGATTTTTTTAGTATCAGAAGCAACCTAAATATTGAAGAATGGTTAATTTTTCTACTAGATGAAATATCAATTTGAATGACAATTTCCTTAAATAACATAAATGTTTTTATGGAAAGATGCCAAAAGAAAGCTATATCAATGTATAATTACTACGATCACATACTATTATGATTTTAAAACTACTGTAAGGAAATGCACAAAATAATAATAGTTTTTTTAATTTAAGTAAGGATCATAGTTTTATCTGTTTCATTTCTGTAATGCTCTTTTATGTTTATAATAAAAGACATTCCATTTAGTTACTTTAAGAGGTTTTTTTAATTTAAAAGTTTAAATGTAAATATATCTGTAATAAAAACATCCATTATAAAAAAACATGAATTATAAGTGCATGCTATTTAAACCTTGATATTAACCTTAAACAGTCTATCTAAAATATTTAAAAGATTTTAAGTCTATTGCTCTATCTATAAGAAATGTTATGTCCTCAAGCAAAATTAGAGAACAGGCTTCTTTCATTTTCAGCTTAATTTTCTGAATCAAAAGCAAACAACCAAGAATATAAGAAGTAGCTATTTATAGATGTAGACTTCTAAATACGCTCTGTGGTTATTTCTAAACCCTGGCTCTCTAGAATAGTGTCATGCAGTCATTGGTAGTAAAAGAGGACTTTCATTATAAACTATTAATACAACTTTAGCACACTTAATGACTCTGTCTAGTTCTTTGCCACTGTGCATACATGGAATTAGCCATCCACAAAACTGGATAAATATAACCCAAGATCAGTGTTCAGAAGTTATAGTAGTCCCAGTGCTTCATTTCAAACTATGCTACTGACAATGGTGTTGCACAATATCATACAAAAAAACAATACTTTTTAAAATGCAAGAATTAGTTTAGTTTACATTCAGACACTTCAGACAATTTTAATGTTTTATTTGTATACAACAGAGTCATTTTATTATTATTCTAGATTTAACAATGGACATCACAAAACATGTGCCACATTATTAATTAGTTTTTGACCGGAAACATAAGTTCCCGGTCAAAAACCAATGCCCCATCACTCCTGCTCCATGTTACTACAAGACCTTGTACATCCCTTATCAGATATGTGTCATATTTATTGTAACTATCCATCTATTGTTTTCCTGACAAGATTATAATTCTAGGAAGACAAGAGTTATATACATCTTGCTAACCACTGTATTATTTACACACATATAGTAAGTGCTCAAAAATATTTACATTATGAATGTATGAATGACTGATGCAGAATGTTTCCTAACTGAAAGTGACAAGTTCCCAAGTTTCTCCACTGTCTTGAACCAAAATATTCACTAATACACTAAATAACCATTTTCATATAGTCAGAAATAATAATGGAATCACACCTGATATTTAAGCACTTACTAAATGCCAAGTATGATACTGAGTGCTTTTAATAACAAATCTTTTAGGTCTCACACAACCATGTGAGATAATTACTACTGTTTTTCCAATTTACACATGAGTAAACCAAAGGACGCGATTAACTCATCAAAGAACAAAACAAGACAATGACAATGGTAGGTTATAAACCCAGGCAATCTGGATCAAACCTAAAATGTTAAATCACTATGAAACTAGGGAGTTCTCTATTTTCCCAGTCCTGAGCTCTTCAGAGTCTGGTCTGATCACCCCTAACATACACTGCCATACTTCTCTTGAGTAGAATTTACTCTTTTATGACAATAAAATACTTAGTCATAACGCAATTCCATTGTATATAAAAGTTCACTACATAAAAATCATTACCTTTAACCTGACTGATTTCTATTAAAAATAATGATAGAAAAAAACTGGGGGGTAATAAGCATGATCAATATGGTAAACAGTTTCATGGGCAGGTACATATATGAAAGTTTAGGAAACTAAACATTCTAGAAATATATGGCTTATTCTATGTCAACTATACTCAAAATAATGTATTTTTATATAAAGCATACATACATGAAATAATGACACGTAAAATGTATTAAATTTTTGTATGTGACAAACGCAGATATTTAGTTCCATGCAGATCTCACTTTAGTAATAGGTATAACTTTAGGATGGACATGATATCGAGAAAACTAACCTGTTTTACAATCTGGACTTGATAAATGTGCTACCTTTTGGACTTTTCTTACAGGTTTGACCACTTTTTTCTCTCTATTTTTTTCAGCAGGTTTTTCTTTCACAGAGACATCATCTGAAAAGCAGAACATTTACAGCAAATATTATGATGATTTTAATTAATTCCCTCACCCTCCACCCAATATGAAAAGTCAGTATGAGATATATGATTCAGATAAGGAGGAAGAAACCTTTGCTGACACATAAGCTACAAATGCCATTTCTTCTTATGGAAAGGTAAAGATTACTGCTACTTACTGTTAGGTGCCAATTCTTTATCTCTTTCAGGCTATGCTTCAGAAATTTACCTTGTTTTCACAAACATGAAGAAGCTGCACAGTAATGTTTTTGAAGTCACGGTCATAGTATTTATAGAATCTCAGAGGTTAAGCACTTTTCTAAGATTCCTTTTCATTTAGAAATACCAAAGGCCTCCCTCGTGGTGTAGGGGTTAAGTCTCAGTGCTATCATGCTATTGCCTCTGCAAATATAATTTGATCCAACCAGGGAGCTAACCCACATATGGGGCAGCAGACCTCTCCTGTCTCACACGCTGTTCCCCTCAGCAGTGTATTTCAGTAGTTCTGCCTGTTCTGCTCTCCACTCTGTCTCTGGTGAATCCTCTCATCACCCACTGCCCCGGACCTCTGGCCTACACCCCAGTTCTTCCACAAATAACCAAGTCTTTTAAGAAAATAGAAATACCAACATAACTTACATATTCATGAACTTCTAGAATAAGGTTTTATAAAATACTCAATATTCTCAAATTAGGCCTATTTATGGTTATGCCAGTGGAAGGGATCAAGGTATTTCACATATAAATTACCAGTCATTTTTAAAATTCCAATCTTGGAGACTATACTGACTACACATATAAATTTGAAATTATAGATCTGAATAAATATATTTTAAAGTACATATAGTGCTCTACATGCTGGACAAAGTAGAATTATTAATCAAATGGGCCCTCAGGCAGGAGCATTCACAGTGTCTAAGAAACACCAAAGAGACAAATGTGACTAAAGTGAAGAAAGAAATATAGTAAGAAAAAGGGTAAGAGATATAACTGAGGGCTATATCATATAAGGTTTCATAGGTCATTGTAAAAACTTCAGGTTTTACTTAAGCTGAGATGGGAAGTTTCTGGATGATTCTGAGCAAAAGAGTGACATGATCAAAATTAAATTTTAACCTAGCAGCTGTGATGTGAACAGACCTATAAGAAGAAAGACAGATATAACCAATTAGAAAGCCATAGCAGTAACCCAAGCAAGAGACTGATGGTGACTAGGTGGTAATGTCATAAAGATCTAGGTGGTAATGACATAAAGTAGCTATATTTTAGATAATAGGGGTATTAAGAATGACTCAAGATTCTATGCCTGAACAATTAAAGGATAGGATTAACTAAGATGGAAAGATTGCAAAAGGAATAAGTTTAAGAAGCACGTCATGAACTCAGTTAGTTAGTTAGCTCTATTTTGGGTATATTAGGCTTGAGAAATCTATTATACATCCAAGGGGTAATATGGAGTTAGCAGTTGGACATCAGAGTCTGAGTTCAGACAAGTCTGAACCAGAGACAAAAATGTGGGAATTATTAGCAACAAAGACTATTTTTTTTTTTTTTTTTTTTTGATGAAAAGCTGTTCTTATGTTTTATTTTTTTTTTTTTAATATTAAATTTTATTTTTATATTCCCCCATACAATTGCAAACGCCCCATTCTGACCCCAATCCTTCCCCTCCCGCCCCCCCACCCCCCAACAAGTGTCTCTGGTTCATAGTTTTTTGTTGATTTTGATTTTCACTTTCTTATATTCATTTTCCTGGTCCCTTATTTAAGTTTTCTAGATTCCTGCTATGAGTGAGACCATCCGGTATTTTTCTTTTTCTTTTTGGCTTATTTCGCTGAGCATGATCCCTTCCAGTGCCATCCATGTTGCTGCAAATTGCATGTGTTTATCTTTTTTGAATGCTGAGTAATATTCCATGGTATATATGTGCCACATCTTCTTGATCCAGTCATCTATTTTTGGGCATTTGGGTTGTTTCCAAAGCTTAGCTATTGTAAACAGTGCTGCTATAAACATAGGAGTGCAGGTGCTCTAACAAAGACTATTTTAAACCCTGAAAATATATGAGCTTGCCTAATGTGTATGTAGAGAAACAAAAGTTAAAATTAAAAAAAAACCCACAGGTTAGAGAGAGGGGAGGGGAAGGAGAGAATGATGGGCAGGGATCAAATCAGGTAAATGGAAGCAAAAAAAAAGAAAGATACAAGTTCTGAGACCAGGGCATGCCAGTGTTTACAGGGATCAGGGAGTCAATTAGGAAAAGAAGCAACTGAAAGGAGCTGCTAGACTTAGGAGGAAAACCACATAGGGATCCTAGATGTCAAGTAAAGTGTTTTAAGTAAGAAGGAATCAATAATGTCCAATGTTGCTGAGAGGTCAAGTAAATCGACAAATGAGAATTAAACATTGGGCTTAACAACATGGAAGTCACAGACGATCTTGAAAATGGAAGTCCACAGAGAAAGGAGCAAAAACCTAATAGAATTTAAGAATGAAACGGAGGAGAACAATTTAAGACAATGAGTAAGTTTTTAACTTTTGCTGTTAATAAGGGAGAAACGGGGCAGTAGCTGAAGAGACAAGTGCCAAAAGAGGGATTCTTTCACGATGGCTTAAATAACAACATGTTTCAAATATGTTGATGAGGATACAGAATTGATGGTTTGTAAAGAGGAAAAACTTGATGATGCAAAATAATGGAAACAGAGTTGAAATAACATGTTTAAACATAAAAGATCAAATGGAATCTAAAACATAAGTAGATTAGGGTGGTCTTTGAAAGGAGGATAGAGTTCACCCCCCAAAACAAGACAGAAGGCAGAATAGGCAGACCTCTAAAAGAATTCTTTGATATATAATCTATTAGTCTATAATACTGTCTTATGAGGTATACTGTTATTATTCCCATTTCACAGATGAGAAAACTAAAGATGAGATATTATACAACAGGTAGTATATACAGGTAATAAGTAGCAGAGCCAAAATTTGAAGGCTTGTAAACTAATTCTAATCTTTGCTCTCAACTATTATATTACACTTCTGCACAAGGGAAAAAAAAAGTTTGCACAGTGTTCCAATACAAAAGAAAAATGGACTGAACATTTAATGAACACAATATTTATTAAGAGAATCTTAATGGGGGCTTACTATAAAGATCTCAGGCTTTAAAATCAGACAGACTGACTCTGAATCTTGGGTATGCAGCCTTGAGAAAAAATTATTGAGTCTCCACTCCCCAACTTAAAAAATAAAAAGACTACCCAGACCTTGCCCACAATCATAGTAGGTATTCAATAAATAATAACATAATTATTATGACCTATTTTCCTCTTCCACTCTTCCATAACTTCCTCTTCTTTCCAATTCTCTAACATGTTCTTCCTATAATGTTCATTTTTCTTTCTGATTTGTCTTCTTGTTAGTATCTTATTTGCTGCCTGCCCAATTACTGATCAGTTTAAAAATCAGAGGTCTAGAGTAAGTAAACTACAACAATACTATTGCTGTTTCCTTCAAATCAGGCATCTGAAAGTCCCTCAGTTTAAAAATAGCCTAATTTTGGGCCTCCCCAGTGGCGCAGCGGTTGAGCACTGGGCTGCGAAGCTGCCCACAGCCTCTGCAGCGCCAGTTCAATCCCTGACCACCGGGTAAGGGTCCCACATGGCGTGCAGACCTCTCCTGCCGCCCGCTGCTCCCCTTCAGCAATGTACTTCCTCAGTCTGCATGCTCTGCTCTCTGCTCTGACTCTGGTGAATTCTCTCGCCCTCCCGCGCTTCTTACTGTACCCAGTGCTTGTATAAATAAATAAATAAATCTTTAAAAAAAAAAAAAAAAAAAAAAGAAACAAAACCCAACCTTTAAAAAAAAAAATAGCCTAATTTCCCTCTCATCAAACACATATGCTAATTTTAACCCTGTAGCTAAGCCTAAAAGCTGAGAGCATTATGACTGAAACCTCCACCACTCTGGAATACATGCAGTTAAAAAAGGGAAAACTCTTTGGTGATGATTTTATGTTTGAATACTATAAGCCAGACAGTATATATGATAAAAAATGCAAAAGCTAAGAAAGTTTTCTCTCACCTGCAAAGTGAAGTGCTAGGTCTCGATAAATTTCTCTACTCATGTTTTGAAACTCAGCCTCCTGCCACACTTTGCCATCAGGTGTTCGAATCTTGGTCTCTGAAGGATTGAAGCCTAATATATACCAACAATACAGAACATTCTTATCAAAGTTGCTTTATAAGTTTTGTTACTTTTATTTTTTTGGTGAGATATAATTAACATACTATAAAATTCATTCTTTTAAAAAGTATAACACTGTTTTTTAGTATATTTACAAAGTTATTCAACTATCACGGCAACCAAATTCCAGAGCATTTCATCATCTGAACAGAAGCCCTATACCAATTAGTAGTCATTCCCCACACCATTCTCTCCATTTCCTAGAAAATACTAATATACTTTCTACCTAAGAATTTGCCTATTTTGGATATTTCATATAAATGTAGTCATACAATATGTGGTCTCTCACATCTGGCTTCTTTCACTTAACCTAATGTTTTCAAAGTTCTCCCACTGAATAACTTCTATCATGGCTTTATTTCTTTTTATTGTCGAATGACATTTCATCATATGAAATACCAACATTTGTTTATTCATGAGCTGATGGATATTTGGGTTGTTTCTACATTTTAGCTATTATTAATAATTCTGCTATGAACATTCATGTAAAAGTTTTTGTCTGGACATGTTTTCAATTCCCTTAGATATTATACCTAGGAGTACAAGTGGTGGGCCATATGGTAACCTTATGTTTAACTTTTAGAGGAAACACCAACCAGTTTTCTAAAGCAGCTTCGCCACTTATATTCTCACCATTAATGTATGAGAGTTCCAATTTCTCCACATTCTCATCCACACTAGTTTTGTCTGCCTTTTTTGTTATAGCCACTCTTAATAGGTGTGAAACAGTATTTCATTGTGGCTTTGATTTGTGTTTCCCTAAGAACTAATGATGTTGAGCAGCTCTAAGTTTTTAAAAGAGGATTTCATAATAAATTACTGAAAAGTTGTCAAAAAAAAAAAAAACAATTCTTCACTGTTGGGAAAAATAAATCTATTGCTCGGGACATAGGAAAACATATTCTGTTATGATTTTTCAAATGCAAGCTACATTTCATAAATGAACCCCAAAAGCTCTATTTATAAAATATTTTAGTATAACAACTAGCATGTTAAAAATAAGTAAGGAATATGCAAAAGCTAGTCAGCTTTATATAACTATAGAAATTTATATTTATGGTTGTCACTCTTGTTCTTCAGTGTGTCTTTTTAATTTTTAGATTTGTATAAATTAATAAATATGTATTCAAACCAACTATCATAATTTGTGTTATCTTTGTGGAATAACTTTTGGAGTTTTAAACTTTGACTTCTAAAATGAATAAATCTTAAATATACAATATGTCTTACATGGGTCTCAGGTAAGTGTGTAAAATTTTGACCACACCATTTGCTATGTTCTTTTAGTAGGGTAGACAGCTTATTAACAACACATTAGGCCAACACTGGATAACAAGGCAATTTTTCAGTATACTAAAGAGAACTGCTCACAATTTTATCACAGATTAGCTAAAATAAAATGCAAATTATCCAATTTTTATCTAATTCACTATGAATATCACTAACAAAACACAATAAGCAACACAAAATGAAGCTGATACTTCCTCAAACGATAAACTGTAAAATTTGTTCTGGAGAAAAAATAACTAAAGACACCTTAGTACTACAAAAAACTGCAACACTGGTCAAAGAAAAACTAGACCTGATAGAAAAACACAAAACAAAATTGACTAGAGCAAAAATGGTGTTAGTTTGTTAATAATTAACATAAGAAATAAATCTTGACAATATTTTGATCTTCACATGTTTATCTAGAAAAACTGGACTTGCAGAAGTTATCCACAAAAGAAAACCTACAATGGCAGAAGTTTAATAACAAAACTAACACAGACTAACCTGATCAATGAATCAACTCTTTTAAAAACTACATGGATGATCCTGTGAAAATAACTTCAGGAACTTAAAAATACAAACTCCTTAAGACTATAAAAACTCAAGTTGGCTAAAAATAAATTCTCTAGGAAAAGCATTTTCTCAATGCAAATCTATCAGTGTGGGTATAAATCTGATTTAAATATTTGTTTTCTTAAATATGCAGGGGGATGACCGTAGCTTGTAAAAACTCACAGTCAATCTAACAACACGATCAAAATATCCTATAAATATCAAAATATCCTTTAAATGTTAACTAGAATTGAGTGAACTATCTTTTAAATGTTACTTTTAATTAACAACCCAAATATAGTGGCAGAATAAGACCAATATTCTTCCAGTTCTCTGATAATGGTACTCTCCTTTTCTGTTTATTCAATTTGTTATATGCTCACATAGAGGATTACAAACTATTAAAAGTTTCTGAGGGACTTGTTAAAAATTACAATTCTGGACTCTATTCCCAGAAATTCTGATTTAGGACCAGTGTGGGATCTAAGAATTTGTATTTTTAATATGCATTTTGAATTAATTTCTTATTTTGATTGGATTTGACAACAGCACATTGTTCTAAAGATGCTATCTCTACTCAAATACTTCCCAGAGAGAAAAGGGGACAAAGAGGCAGAGGGAGAGAGCGAGAGAGATACAAAAACTGAATACAAACCTTTATACATTGGAGCAGGTGGTGCTGCTGCCACTTTCCTGACTTTTGCTGTCACTGAGCTATCAACATTAACAACCATTACTGGGTGATTAAGATGACCCAGGTTCTGGCCCCGGCCATTTGTTTCCTCTGAGTGTTCCCACTGTTTTCTAATCCGCTCCTTGAGTTTTTCCAGTTTTGCATCATGTTGCCGCCTCTTTAAGATATCTAATCTTTGGGAATTTGAAGTACTAGTAGAGGATGGAGAAGAGTCAGTGAGCCGTAACACTTTTGGATCAATGTCGTTACCCATGTTACTCACAGAAGCCTTCAGAATGTTCTCATTTCCTTTTGTTCTGTTGGGCTTTTCTTCTTCAGTTCTCATAGGAGCAGCCATTTTAATTAAACATTCAGAATTTTGCAATGCATCAATTGCTGGTCGATCATTTAAAAATCTAACAACTGTGTCATTGACAGATGATTGAGAGCTCTCAAAATCATAGCAACGTATATTCCGTTCTTCTCGATTGCATATCAATGGATTCCCACTCTCGGCTTTTTCTTCATCAACATCCATACAATATACAGGCTTTGACTCTACGTGGCTGGGACTTATGCTAGATGGTGTGCCATGGATTTCCCTATTATTAAAAAATAATAAGCTTTGGATAAAAAGTACAAAAACCATCAAACTAAAACATGTCATACAAACTAAATGGAGAGCTCTTAGCTAGCAGTAGAGATCCCAAAAACCTAGAAATTCCAGTTCGTTAAAAACAATAAACATTACTAATGTTAAGACCGGATGCCCCCTCTATTAAATTAGATGGCAAATAATGTAAATCATAATCTGCATATTATAAAATAAGAAATATGCAAAAATATATGAAGAGACATTCTTAAGAACCCCAGAAAATGGGATTATAATATGACTTTGGATATTCATTTGTTACTTATTACCAAAACGTAAATTTTACTCCTCCATGAAATCTTAAATGCAAGGGAAAAAGTTCTCAAATACTGGCATTTCACATGCGTAAACTCTAAATAATGTGCTAAGTTAACAGATTGGGAATAGAAATAAAGTGGACATATAATAAATATTTTCCTCCAAATAAATGTGGCTTAGTAAAGGTAATCCTCTCTGAACCACAGACCACATTTGTGGCAACCTAAAACTCTGGAAAGTATATCTAGAAATTCCAGAGTAAGCAAAGAAGATCGGGAACAGCCAAAATACATATCACAAGGTCCACAGCTGTATTCATAAAAATACTAGCAAAAGTTTCCTTCAGAGACTATTTCTATTCTAATACAGGTACTTCAAGAACATAAGCAGTTCATTAAAAGGGAAGTTAATGAACCTCAGCGATTAAAAAGAGCATTTTTTTTAAAATCCAACAAAATTATAAAAGCAGACATAACAACCTGGGCCTATGGATTCTATTCTAAAAAATAGAATACTGAACACTTGAAATGTAGCAAGTCAAACTAAGATGTGCTATAATGTAAATTACATACCGGATTCTAAAGATTTAGAACAAAAAGAATGCAAAATGTGTGTGTGTGTGTGTGTGTGTGTGTGTGTGTGTTTAAAGTACACCTGTGGCTCATATTAGTGGTTCTATATTAGGGTACTGATCTAGATGTTTCAAATAAAGGAATATAAAATCTAAATAGCATGAAAATTCTTAAGACCATGACTTTATTACAACATAAAACAAATAGGGGTTGAGAACTGAGTGCTGTACCTTCTACTAAAGATCAAGACAAAATGTAATTATTTCACTATCTTGACTAGAATGCAACTATTCAATTAAAATGATTTAGGTCTAAAATTAACACATGTAAAAAATAAAGCATAAAATAGTAAGTTAGACATCATGCCTCAATCTTAAAAAGGGAAGGTGAATTGACAAAAAGTCATTTTACATAATCCTTCATTCACTCACTAAGTATTTACTGAGTACATGTAAAATACGTTCACTATATACAACTCTTTCAACCATTCTGTAAATGTGAAAAATTTCATAATAAAACAAAAATATTTTTATTGAATACTTACTAAATGACAGGCATTAAGCTAATGCTTTGAGAATAAGACAGATTGACAGTCTTATATAAACTAATAGGTTTATCAATTGGGTTGATAAGAAGTCAAAGTATAATGCAACATGAAATCCTACAACAGATGAAGTTATATAGTATGAAGGGATCACAGAGGAAGGGTTAAATAGCCTGGGGAATGGAATGGCAATGTTTCATACAGAAGGTGATAAAAAATGAGTTTTAAGTATGAATGGAATCTGCCAAAAAGCTATCAATGGGTATTTTTTTTTTTTTTTCAAAAGAAGACACATAATTTACACAATTTCAAATACAAAATAGCATTCTTTGCAAGAAGCATATTATATAAATAGCAATTGAGTTTCAATTCTGATAATGGTTTTGTTTCTGGGTCAGTAACTTTATATTTGTGTGGTTAAAGATTCTGAACTCTGATTAGTCTTCAATTTTTTCTTTCTCCTTTTTCTAAACTATGAACTTATGCCTAAATTAAGTCCTTGCCTTCTTGATATGTAATTTTTCCACCACTTTTAGAGCTTTAACACTACTGACAATTCATAAATTTATAATACCAGCCCTGAAACATACCCAATTGCCTACTAAATGTTTTTACCTAAATATTTCAAAATTGCATCAAATGAAACATTAAAAATGGAACTCATAATGTACCTGGATCACCTAGTCTTTTTAATTTCAAATTTAAGAGTACAAATAAAACAAGTACTACTAAGCATCATCATTAAATAACTTGATTTACTTACTGACACTCTGAAACACTAAAAATGCTTATAAATGAAACAAGGAAATACAAGGTTCAGTGTTAATTATCAGCTAACAAAAATAGAGATCATTTTATATTACCCATTCTATCAAAATTCATACATTAATCTTGAACATCTCACTAAATAAGTTGATGAATAGAGTTACCAGCATAAAGTAAAACAATAAACCACCTCATGTTTTCAGTAAAAAAAAATTTTAGGTAACTAAATCATAGTAACTAAAAAAATTAGAAGAAAACTAAGTTAAACAAGGTTTCACTATGTAGAATACCCAATGTGAGATATTGAGGGTAAAAACCCACACTTCCAGAGACTCAGGAATTTGTAGAAAATTTATTTATTACAATGGTGGTGGCATGGGACAAACATTAATACTTCTTTCTTCCCTGAATAGAAGATTTTCATTTTATCTTTTTGTAAAACAGTAATATTAGAGCCAGAAGGCTACTGTAAATATTACTGATTAACCCCATATAACTTTTTATAAAAACACTAACCTGTAAGAAACCAAAGGTTCACGAAATTCCACACGATTATTCTTCTTTACATTACTCTCTAGGGTGGTAGCTCTGAGAGGACTACGAGATTTTTCTTTACGTGATTTGGCAGATTTGGAAGTTGATGCATTAATCCAAGAATCATCCAGGTATCTACCATCTGAAGGAAAAGGAAATCTATGAACACACACGCTATAAAACATAATTGTTTCTTTTTGTTGTGTAGTTGGATATTATATAAGTAGATGGAAAACTCAGGTTAGACTGTTACAGTAACTTGGCTTATAAAGACTGTGTTCTGACCAAACAATGCAAAATAAAATTTTACATGTAAAATTTCTTTACATCAAAGATTCCCTCTCATTTTAAAAAAAAAGAAGTACCAGATAAAACCCAACAGACTCACAGGTTTTTAAAAAATCAGTTTGGGGAGAAAGTACCAATCTGTAGGTTTTAGCCCACTAATTATGAAACCATGAGATTAAATACATAAAAAGCAACCAAAGAAAATATTTGTGTTATGTCAATTTGTATTAGTATATGTAAGACAGATATTACATTTATAATTTTAAATGCCAACAAAAATAAAGTCTTATTAAGGCAACTAAATTTCAAAGTGATGAAACACCTGTGAATTTTTAAAAAAGAGATATTCCCAAATTCTCATCACTAAAAAGAACAAAAACTCACTGATAAAAGTGATAAAGTGGGGCTAAAGTCCCCAATCAAAAAAACAAGGTCTCCCTGGTAGTACAGAGGTTAAGTCTCACACTGTTAAGCTATAACCAGCCACTGCAGCCTGAGTTTGATTCCCTGGCCAGGGAGCTAACCCACATGGCACAGGAGACCTCTCCTGTCTCACCCACTGCTCAGCAGTGTATTTCAGTTGATCCACCTGTTCTGCTCCCCACTCTGTCTCTGGTGAATCCACTTATCCCTCCAACCTCTGGCCTACACCCTAGTTCTTATATGCATAAATAAAAAAGAAATCTTTTTTAAAAAAAGGTAAAACGTCAACTAATGTCAATGAATATAAGCCTGCTTCACAGTTACTCAGCATAAAGGAAATAAATTAAATGCTGTTGAGGTATAATCTCTGACAAAGAGCAAACAAACATGGGACTATAAGAAGCAGTTAAATTGAAACAAACATCAAAAATTTATATGCAATATACTTACATCTCTGAAAATAAGTTCATACCTTTTCTACTTATTTTTCGGGTAGCACTTGAAGAAGGTTTCTTGGCATCCATGACAGAATCAAACACAGCTGTACTTGTAGGAGTTACTTCTAATTTGTTTTCAATGTGTCTCAGCTAAAGTTTAAACACCATTACAACAAATAGATTAATTCTGTAAATAATCCAATTACCTTCAATTTACATAGTGATTTAAAATTATATTGTAAAATACCTTTCTTCAAAGAAAAAACAAGTCAGGAATGCTTTCTTTGCAATATTTATTTTTTCATTATTTATTATTTCAGCTAATAACAACCGGTACAATGCTGCTCAAATTTGTACAAGAAAATTGAAAAGATTCTAAAGAATATCGAGAGTTTCTATTTGTCTTAGGGACATTTTTTAAAAACAGTAAATTTTCTGACATTATATGTTGTAAATCTTATACTATATGTCTTGTACATTCCCACTTAACATGCAAAAATGAGGAAAGAACAAATGAGCTCTACTAAAATTTAGGACTATTTAAACAGCCACAACTTTGCATAATCTTATGTCTATAAAATAAGTTTCACAATAAGGGTAGAATTCAAGTTTCCATGTACCTTACAACATAAGTCTATTTCTGGTATAACCACCATGTTCTCAAAGATTTTAAAAAGCACTTTCTCCTGAATAGTCAGGACACTCACACAATTAGAATACTTCTTTATAAATTCTTTATATATTAATAGTTCTGTATCACACTTTATCCCCATTTATATTATGAACCCTGTATCACCCTTAAACATTCTTTTTAAAAAACCATTAGTTTTGAAAAACAACTATTAACAGATCAGTTTTTAATTAGTTTAACTCTAAATTAAATTGAGAGATATAAACTATTCCTACATTATAGATGTGTAATATTTATGTAGTAGAGATAGTATATTGCTATACTCATAGGGTGAAACTTTGACCCTGTGTTATTACCAAATCTAGATTATAGTACTTTTCGTCATTTTCCAAACAATTCAAAAGATTAGAGGACAGAAAATACCATATTCAGACAGTAAAGAGGTGATTCAAATTTAGGTAGGCTAAAAAATAAAACAAGGACATATTAGAAGAATAATCTGCCTAGCAAGCAAAGAAAAGAGAAAGGATCTCCCTTTGAAAGGACTATGTATCATTTGCCAAATTTGGATTCCTAAACCCTAGACAAGATTTTATAGAACACAAGTGAGAACAAGCTGCCAATAGTCATTCTTCTTCAGTAGTACTGAGAGAAAACAGTCTGTGATTGCCTCAAAAAAAGAGTAACAGTCCACTCAAGGAGAAACCGTTTGTTTCATTGTCTCTGACTTGGAGCTTTCTAAAAAAAGACATATTGCCACCTTCCCCAATTAATTTTATGTTTTAAATCTTCATTTCAATATTTCAAATGAGCAAATTTATTAATGGAAAATAAATAGCCCAAATTATTTTAATATTTTATATGCCATTATATTTATATTCCTGACATCTTAAGGTAGAGTACTGATTATCCTTTTACTACTTAATAGTTGTCATTTACGTTAATTTTCTACTATACAACTTCTTATGAAAATGTTTAACTTTATTTTCCTATCAATTTTAAACCAAATAAATAAATGGAAATAAATAAAAAGAAACCATAACTACTTACAGCAGCCTTGGTCTGCGAAAGTGCATCCCATGGTGTGGTTATGTCTGCCAGGGGAAGAGTGATATTTACTGAATCTGAAATTTCTGAAATGAACCTCATAATTTGCATTTTAATAGGCTCCCAAATGCACACATAAGTTTAAGAACCACTTTATTAGGCAGAACCATTCCTCAGCAAGTGCTTTTTATATGGAACCAAAATGTGGTTGTTTTCCTATCCTTTAACGTTGAGAACCCAATACATGGTTCAGAGTTGTATTAGACACTAATTCTATTCATCCTCAGGATAGCTGGATTGACATCCCCACATACACCCCTATCAGTATCTCCAATAATAAGTATTCTCAACTTACCCTAATAAGCTGAACAAAAACAAAATTTTGTATTGTATTTCACACTGATATGAAAAAATTAGAAAATTAGAAGATTAAAAGATTAGAAAACTACTCCAGGCTTCCATCTACTAATAGAGAGAAATAAAGGTAAAATCTATTTAAGTTTTTCAGTTAACAGCCCTTCAAATAGTATAAAACAATTAATTTCCTTTGATATTATATGGAACCAAATATAATATCTCTCTAGGATAAAAATTTTCATTTCTTCCAAATTCACTTTATGTGACTTGATTTTCAGATCCCTCACAAACCCACCAATGTTCCTTCAGATGTACTCTATTGTTTGTCAATATCCTCTCAAAAAATATCATGCCCTAAATTAAAGTTACTGATATCTCCAATTAATCATTTTAAAAAAGAGTTTAATAAGGCTATTGCTTTTGTTATCTGTGCACTATAGGTCTATAACTATATTAGGAGCTACTTTATACTACTTAATGATATTAAGTCAGAACTTCTAAGAAATTATATAAAACTATACATAGGCACACACTTGAATCTTTTAAAAAAATTATTTTTCCTTTACAAAACAGTTTACCATAGGTTACCTTTGAAGGTGAAGTACCCTGTGTATTTAAGACAAAACTGAATTCTTAAATTTATCCACTTTCAATAAACCAAAGCTCATATATAACTTTCATTCATTTATTGATTAGCCTTGACTTTTATAAACATGACCTAACCAAGGGATTTAGTTCCATTAAAAAAAAAAAAAAAAAAAAAAAAAAAAAAAAAAAGATCATACCTTGAACAGTCTCCTTGTTTTGAAAGTTCCTTGAATTTGGTAAAGGCACCTCTTTTGATTTGCTGCTCCTCATCCTGCCAATTTACCTGCAATCACATAATCAGCATTCATTTGAATTTTATCATCTCTAAAGTTATATTTATACCTTCTTGAGAGTTCCTGATCATCCAATAACTTTATTTTTCCTTGGAAAACTAAACCATTAAAAATTATATTATGATCACTTCACACCAACCAGAAGTCAACTACTAACAAAAATAACAAGCTTTGATGAAGATGTGGAAAAACTGGAACTCTTGTGCCCTGCTCATGGGAATGTAATATGGTATAGCAGAATATCTTAAAGATTGTGTTAGGATTCTGAGACTAGGAATGAGTTTTCCCTTCTGTATTTCCCAAACATTCTGTGTTGCTGTTATGTAACCTTTCTAACAAAATAATTCCTCCATATTCATGGGAAAATATAACTTTTGTCAACAAGCTATCTAGCCAACATAAGCAGATCAGGACAGAAAACAGTGGTAGCATGGCAGAGGGAAGGGGGAAAATAGGGAGTTATTATTTAATAGATATAGTTTCAGCTTTGTAAAATGAAAAGAATTCTGGATATGAATATTGTGATGGCTGTACAATGATGTGAATGTACTTAATACCACCAAATTATACACTGAGTAGTGGTTAAAATGGGAAATTTTATGTTATATATATTTTACCAAAACAAATAATCAATTTTTTTTATCCTACTTAACTGCTGAACACTTGTGATGGCTTTAAAACACATCCACAAGCAGAAAGTCCTTTAAGAAATGGAACTTAAGTTTTTCGCATAATGAATATAAGTTGGACTTAGTGACTCCCTTTTAAATCAAATGTAGCTGAAGTGACAATATGTTACTTTCAAGACTAGGCATTGTTTGTTCTCTCTAAAGGATCCAACAGCCATGTCACGAAGACAATCAAGCAGCCTTATGAAGAGGTCTATGCAGCAAAGAACTGAGGATTCCTGACTCCAGGCATGTGACTAAACTATCCTAAAAGCAATCGATTTTATATTTCTTCAATAAAAAATTACCTTTGTTCCCAGAGAAATGTGTTTTGGTATTTAGTTCTATTTTATATGCTATTAATAAAATGCAAGTTTGGCTTAATTTTATTGCACCTGACCAATCCTTTTAATTCTCAGCTTTCTGGGACATTGATTGTAGATAATCTTGTACATAGAAGAGAGGATTTATTTTTTAATCAATGTAAAAAATCTTTGCCTTTTAAGACTGAGAACAGGTAAAGTAAACTTGCATACCAATAGTTTATTATGGTAATAGCCTATTTCACATCAATACACAAGTAACTGCATATGACAAAATAACATCTTGGGGGTACCTACTGTGAGAAGCACTGTGTTATAGAAAAGGAAGAAAAACAGTTCTACCTTCTACAGTTTCACAATTTAGTACACATGTACTTCTCCAGGTTAATAATAAAATTCAAGGAATTTATAAATGAAATTCAAGGAACTAGAGTACAGGTCAGAGGTGCAGGGGGTGAGAGGATTCACCAGAGACAGAATGGGGAACAGAACAGGCAGACTGACTGAAATACATTGCAGTGGGTGAGACAGGAGAGGTTCCTCTGCACCATGTCGGTTAGCTCCCTGGCCGGGGATCCAACTCATGCTGCAGTGGCTGCAGAGAGCTTCATGGTGCTGTGACTTAACCTCTTGCACCATCAGGGAGGTCCCCCAAACTTTTTCTAAACCAAAAATCTATAGTCTAAAAAATTACTTTTTCCTGATTCACAGCTTTACTTTTTGGTCTTAGAAAATAAGCAATAAAAATTTCTATCTGTCCAGAAATTCTAAGTAATATACCTTTCTTGTAACACAATTTTCCAGCTGAATATTATAACACTAGCTTATTAACATTTGGAGATTCAAGCTTTCATCTTGGAAACTCTCACTATTTTGGGGATCAATGAAATATCTCTCTCCTATTTCCCACAATGTTTTTTTTTCCCTTGACTGATAGCATCTCTATTTTTGCCCAAGTCATCAGTGTAACATTTCCAAAGGTTCCATTCCTAGGCCGGTTCTTTTCAGGTTCCTTCTTCAAAGATAATTTCACATACATCACCTATTTCCTAAATGCCATCATATCTTTGTCCTATATCTTTCTCTGAGTTCTGGAACCAAGCCCATCTCCAAGTACACTACCACGTTACTGATAGCATCAGACTTCGGAACTAGTCCAAGATCAGTAAGCTATTAAGACATTAAATTAAATATAGCTAGTTCTCTCAAACTTCTGAAGGCCTCTAATGTTCATTCGTATAATATTCAAATTCACCCACCATCTATAACACAGTGCTGTATTCTTTCTCATAATTTCATCATCATAAAATAACCTTGCTTTTCCACCTAGATTATGTCTTCTACTGTAGAGCTATTTTAGGAACTTCACTGCATGTTAACTTCCTTAGAGAATGCACCTTTAACTTACGTGCCTCAATTGTTAACTGGGCATAAACTCAGTCTAAAGGACAGGATGTCCTCACAAGCATCTACAGATGTGAAGCATTTTTATTCCTCACTCCCACCCCCCAAACAGAGCAGATAAGATGTTTCAGCAAACTTCTTGGTACTCCCATTACTGCATCAGATTATATTCTTCTACTTTCATGTAAAACCCTTTCCTCAATATGACCCATGCCATCCATTCATATAAAAAATATTTGTTGAAGGGCTTTCCCAATGGCGCAGCAAGTTGAGCACAGCACTGTGAAGCTGTCCGCAGCCTCTGCAGCACAGGTTTGATTCCCGGCCGGCCAGGCAGATACCCACATGGCACAGTAGACCTCTCCTGCCTCTCCCACTGCTCCCCGCAGCAGTGTTTTCTGTAGTCTGCCTGTTCTGCTCCCCACTCTGTCTCTGGTGAATCCTCTCACCCTCCTGCACCTCTGGTCTGTCCCCCAGTTCTTGGATAAATAAATCTTTAAGAAAAAGAATTCTCTTAAAAAAAATTGTTGAAATGCCAAGTATATATTAGGAATGAATACTGAAAGCAGTGGAGGGAGATACAGTAGTGAAAAGAATAAACATGGTTCCCACACTAAAGAAGTCTAATGGCTTGCTCAGAATGGGATATTCAACAAATACTACAATGGAATGAAAATATTTAGGGAAAAATGCAAGAGAAAGATAGATAGATAGATAGATAGATAGATAGATAGATAGATAGATAGATAGATAGATAGATAGATAGATAGAGATAGAGATAGATAGATAGATAGATAGATAGATAGATAGATAGATAGATAGATAGATAGATAGATAGATAGATAGATGGATGTATATGATATATATAAAAGAATTCATCTAACCTGGGAAGTAAAGAAGGAAATGTCATTTAATCTGTGAATGAAAGGACAAATGAAGGGGTTATATAAGACAGGAAAAGTGTTCCAGGCAGTAGGAACAACATATACAGTGGCTCTGAGGCAAAAAAAATATGACATAGTTTAAGAAAACACAAAGCACCCTATGTTGGAAAGGGGAAGTAGCAAATGATGAAGCCTGAGAAGGAAAGGAACAAGATCATGCAGGGTTTCTGATGTGACCACATCTGTGTTTTTAAGGATCAAGTGATGGCCACTCCTCTTATATGCCCTGACCACAGTTTTCATAAATCAATAGCTATTACTTTATTGAACTTTGTCTCTTTTAAGTTTCTTACATTTCAGAAAACAAGAATACTTTCATTAATCATTCAGGTAACTCAAGAATTACATTCTAGTATCCATTTTACAGTGTTGCATCCTGTAAACAAAGTGTTTCATGCAAAAGTCAAAGCATAAACTATTATATATTACAAAGACTAAAAACAAATCATATTTGACATGGTCATGTAAAACATAAATGGAAGTTCAAAACAATAATAAACTCCTAAGAATTAACTAAGGATGACTCTAACTTGCCAATAGAAAATGGAAACAATTTTACTAAAGCTACATCATCTTTTAAAAATCTGGCTAAAGTGATATAAATAAAAAGCAGACACACCTATAAATCAAACAAGGATGCAACTAAAAAAACTTTAAAAGCCAACAAGGAGTCCACATTTCAAGTATCACCAAAATGTTCAAATCGGAAGGGAGGTACAAAGGTTCACAGGAAACTAACAGCAATCAAGAAATTTAAGAGGGCCTCCCTGGTGGCGCAGGGGTTAAAGACACAGAGCTATCAAGCTATCGCCAACCACTGCAGCAGGAGTTTGATCCCTGGCTGACCAAGGAGCTAACCCACATGGCACAGCAGACCTCTCCTGTCTCTCCCACTGCCCCCCCTCAGAAGTTTATTTCAGTGGATACACCTGTTCTGCTCCCCACTCTGTCTCTGGTAAATCCCCTCAACCCCTGCACCTCTGGTCTACACCCCAGTTCTTGTATACATAAATAAATCTTAAAAAAAAAAAAAAAAAAAAAAAAACGAAACATCCCTCAATCCAGCACTATGATATGCGGGCTAGGATATCAAAGAAGATCTAGACTGGAGTTTGGGCAGTCATTGGCCTGTAAATGGTTTTAGAAGTCTTAGGCATGGGTGAGGTCATCCAGGAAAAGGCCCAAAGTCATATTCTCTTGAATCTCTAGATTTAAAAGAGAAAGATTAGCTAGCAAAGGAGATGAGAAAAAAAAGTAGAGAGGAGGTAGAAAATCAGTGTGTGGTTGGAAGCCATGGGAAAAGAGTTTTAAGAGAGTAGTCAACTGTAATGAATGCTGTTGAAAAGTCAAGCAGGTTGAACACTAAAAAACAACAAAGAAACCAAAAGTCCCTCCCTCAATCCAGCACCTTTCTCCATTACTGCTCTTTTTCCTTCACAAATGTCTCAAAAAAGTTGAACACACTCCAATCTCCATTTAGAGATACTTTTCAATCATTCTTCAAGCAATTCCAGTGTGGCTGCCACCGCCTTTTCTCCCCAACAGCTCTCACTATAATCACCAAAGACCACCTCATCACCAAGTCTAATGGACATTTTCAGTCACCTCATGATTATACTCCCATAACAAATTTGAGGAATTTCCTATCTCA